TGGCTCCGACTGTGACTTGGCTTTCTTGGGCCTGGGTGGCCGAGGCTGGCCATCACCGGCACCCTTACGCTTCGGAGGCATGGGGGCAGAGGATGCTGGATGCCTGCCAGTGGTACTGGTCAGAGCACAGACTTTTTTTTATCGTACAATGGCGCGATGATCAGATCAAGGCGAGATGAGGGAAGAAAGCAGCAGGACGAAGGTGTGGCATTTATACCCGAGAGCAGGAACCCGTCTGCGCGGGCTGGTTGGGGAAGTGACCCTGTTCAAAAATCGCCGAGAGGTTCAAGCCAGGGATTTGGGCGTGAAAATGGCGGCTTGATTGGAGGGAACTCAACCCCAGAAGCGCATCGCTCGCTCAATCAGCCGTGGGAAGACATCTGGAAGCACCCTCCGAACGGCAGACTCAAACAGGGTCACCATCCCGACTCTGAACCCCTCGGACGCATTCAGCGCTCCTGCCTTCCTGTACTGATGCTTCACAATCCCAAAGAAGTTCTCGATGGGATTGAAGTCGGGCGAGGCAGGTGGGGTGAAGATCACTGACCATCCTCGGCGCTCGATGCAGTCCAGGACAGCCATTGTCTTGTGCATGCTGACATTGTCCATCACAATCACAGAGTCGTCTGGGAAGCTCGCTCGCTCAAAGAACTCGACCATCGAGTGTGTCTTGAATGATGTGGGGATGTACACGCGATGCAGCTGAGACAGACTTGTGTTTCATGTGATTGCGCTGGCGAAGCGGAGCACCCTTCGGTGAGTATCCGTAAAGAGGGAAAATGGATCTCCTGATCCCTGTCTCATCGACAAAAACGAATCGCCGCGGGTCGATGGAGCGGACCTGGTCCCTGAACTGTGCCACTCGCTCATCCAGTCGCTTGGACTTGTAGAGGTGTGTTGCCCTCTTGTGAGAGAGACCTGCTCGCTGGATGGCAGTGTGGCAGAGTGAGAGTGATACTTTCCTCTGGAGGATGGACTCGAGCTTGCATCGCAACACAGGACCAGTCTGGAACGGGTCCTGTTCAATCAGGGTGCGGATGACTGGACATGCCTGCTCGAAGAAAGTGGATCTGCGAGCTGGGACCCGGGATGGGTCATCCAGCTTGCATCCTCGGTGCCATCGATGGATGGTGCTCTTGGACACACTGGCGAATGGTCATGGCCAGCGCGCGATAGCATTGGGTAACAAAATATTCGATGAATGGTCAAAAACCCGGGTGTCCCGTTTTTTATTGGATTGCTTGTTAGTGGATAGACTGCTATGGTTCCAATCGTTGGCAGTCCGTTTTGATTGGCGGCTGTTTTGAATCGCACTCAATCGTTGGCGACTGTTGCGAATGGCCCCCAATCGTCCCGAACGCTGTCAATCAGATCACCCAGAGCGCCCAAGATCGCGCTTCTGGTTTTGCTGATCGCGCAGCGACGCTGTCCTTCATCTGCCCCTGTCCTCCCATCGCCCTGCTGCTCCCGATATGCAGTCGCTCGATCAAACATCGCCGACGGAGCCCCTCTCGGTGGCCTTCATCCACCCCGATCTCGGCATTGGTATGCAGCCCTGGCTGGAATCACTGCAAGACAGCCTCGCATTCTCTTCTGACTTTCGGGACCGATTCTTTCTTCCCCAAGGCGGAGCCGAGAGACTGATTGTCGACGCTGCTGCTGGCCTCAGGAAAAAAGGCCACCATGTTCGAATCTACACCTCGCACCACGACCCTCGCCACTGCTTTGAAGAGACCCGAGATGGTATGGTATGGCCCCCGCCAGCCGCATTGCAATGACCAAAGCCAGGTTCCAAAGCGGGCGAAGAAGGAACTTGCAGGTTGACCGCCACTCGGAGGAAGATAGCGATTCACCTTTCCCGCATCTCTGACTGTGCTCTGTGGCTCTTCTCTTCATACTCGCCTCTCTCCCTCTCCGTCCAATCTGTTGCGCTGCGGTCGGTTGCCAGGCACACTTGATGTCCAAGTTTTGGGCGACTGGATGCCAAGGACAGTCGCCGGCAAGGGCTACATTGTCTTTGCAATCCTCCGAAACCTCTGGCTGTCGGTTCTGCTTCTGCTGTCCCACAACCAGTTCCATCAACCCTACGATGTCATCGTCGTCGATCAGCTGTCCATATCGATTCCGCTTCTGCGCTGGACTGGGTCCAAGGTGGGCCTCTGCCAGTTTGCAGCAACCGCCGCTGAGTAGGGTAAAGGATGCAGCGGCATCCTGCCAAGCCTCGCAGATATATTCAACATGGACTTTGCTCCGCCAGCGACATTTGACACACTGGCCATGGATGCAGAACGATTATGCTGGCGGGCTTCTGGGCATCACCACCACCATCACCACCACCATCGCCTTCACCTCGACCTGTAGACTGACCCCTTCCCATGTTCTTCCCTTGCCCAACATCCCTCGCGCCGCTCATTTTCAAACGCAAAACCTTTCTGTCTCAGATCCTCTTCTACTGCCATTTCCCTGACAAGTTGCTGACCAAGCGCGAGTCGGCGCTCAAGCGACTCTATCGGATGCCGGTGGACTACCTCGAGGAGCTAACAACCCGTATGTACCGACTGCTGTTCCGGCAATCGGCTCGGATTCGGACCCGGATTCGGACCCGGATGGCAAATGCCCATGATCCGCGCACCATCGCCTAACCCCCCCCCATCCAATGCCTGAAGGAATGTCGGATGAGATTCTGGTCAACAGCAAGTTCACCCGCCAAGTCTTCAAGGACTCGTTCCGGTCGATCCAACGTGTGCCCAAGGTCCTGTATCCAAGCATCCATCTGGAATCGTACGACAAGCAGGTCGACGAGACCGATCCGAGTGTCGCCATGCTCAAATCGTAAGTCTATACCGCTGGTGTGATGCTATACACGGCGTATCTATTGCACTGCCCTCAGGTTAGAAGGGCGGCTCCCGATCTGGTCGTGCTCGCCGGCTTGCTTCCGGGTATAATCGGGGGCGAGAATGGGGTTGGTACACTGATTGATGTTTGATTTGCTGCTCTGGCCCCATGCGCACACTCTCGCACTTGTTCGCTCCGGTGCGTGTTAGGCCAAAGAAGACATTTGTGTCGATCAACCGCTTCGAACGCAAGAAGAACGTCGGGCTAGCCATCCGGGCATTTGCTCAGCTCGCTGAGCGGTACGCCAGCGACTTTGCCAACCTGCGTCTTGTCGTTGCTGGTAAGGAAGACTGATGTGCGTCGTGGCGGATTCCTTGAGAACGCAGCACTTCCGCACTACGACAGCGTAGAGCCCAATGAGTGTTGGGAACCAGCCAGATAGCATAGCGCCAAAGCCGCTCATCATCATTTATGCAAAACTAAAACCCATGATCCGTTCGCCCGCGGCATCCTTGGGGGCTCAACCAGGTGGCTACGACAAACGCAGCATCGAAAACCGCGAGCACCATCTCGAGCTGGATCGACTTGCACAGGAGCTCGGCCTCTCGACGGCAACGGTGTTTCCCGGCGAGGTTCAGGATGTTGGCGATGCCCAGGTTCTGTTTTTGCTCTCCTTCAACGAGGCACAGCGAACCTTCCTGCTGGCATCGTCGTTTGGTCTCCTGTACACGCCAAGCAACGAGCACTTTGGCATTGTCCCGGTCGAGGCCATGTACGGCCGACTCCCTGTCGTCGCCGTCAACAACGGCGGGCCCACCGAAAGCATCCTGCACGAAAAGACCGGGTTTCTGTGCGAGTCGGATCCCGCGGCTTTTGCGACGGCGATGGTGCAGATCCTGAGGGGCCAGCCTCTGTCTCGCGACGTCCTGGGCCAACAGGGACGGGCCCATGCACAAGCCAGGTTCTCACTCGACACGTTTGTCAATCAGCTGGAAGGCTACGTCGTCGAGCTCAAGACGGCCACGAACTCTGAGGCGCTTTGGACCAGTGCGAGCTTCTGGGTGCTCATGCTGCTGTGTCTTGCCGTGCCGGGCTACTTCCTGGGCCGGCGCTAAGCGGCTTCGCTTTGCCGGGGTTGTGTTGATCGGCCCGACGCAAACATGAATCCATGATTATCCATCGCACTTATTTTGAAACGGGACGCCTCAACGCGCGGAGGGCTTAATGCGGATGCTGTCGAGAACACACAAAGCTGATATCCATGAGCGATTGTTGTCCCGAGCGCGAAGAGCATCAGTTCCAACCAGTGTCCATGTGCAATCTCATCTCCTGATTCTCAGGTGCAAGCCAACCATACTCTGTGATGATTCAGCAAAGATAGCGCCACAGTCAGCGCACAGTTCCGCACACCCATGATGTTCGTGAGTGAGCCAGACGATTGCCGCAAATTATGGACCAAGGTTGGATGTATTCAGGGTCCAAGAAAAAAAGGAGGGGGGATAGGGTGTGGCTATTGGGCATCACATCGGGATGCAATTCGAGTGGGATGCAGTTCGAGTGGGAGAAGAGTATTATTGCTGCAAACAGGCAGCGTGACAAAATGAGCTGTGAGAACAGCTGGTATGATGGAGTTTTTTGTGCAAATGGAAGATCGGTGGCAAAATAAATGACAGAGAGATGGGTGCATTGCACTGCATTGCATCGCAAGGCGAATAATCGCTGCACTTTGGTGCGTCGCAGGACCACAGCAGCAAGATGCTCTACAGTGCCAGCGAGGTGCTTGACTCGGCAAAGAACGGGTGGACAAGGGCCTCGCTGGCGGTGTAGCGGCTGCGGTGGTTGTAGCAGAGCAGACTCTCTAGCAGACTCAGGCCCTGTTGGCTGACTCGGGCCCGGTTTGCGTCGTTCACAAAGCTGGCCCAGGACTGCTTCTGGTATGCCGACAGCGAGCCAGGCACCAGCGACTCGGCCTTGTGTCTGGGGATCGCAAAGGCGCTGCAGTAGTCGAGCAGATCGCCGCCCAGGATCAGGAGGATCGACTGGAACTGAGAAGCCGGGGTTCGGTCTTCGCCCTTGAAGACAAAAGGGGTGCGGAACATCAAGGCAGCAAGAATGCAGCCGACAGCCCACATGTCGACGGCAAAGTCGTAGTGCTCATAGTCCAGGAGCAACTCTGGGGCTTTGAAGTACAGCGAGGAGACACCGTTGGTGGAGTTGCGCTTGAGAGGCTCGTAGAACTCGGCCTGGCCCCAGTCGGCGAGCAGCAGCTTGTCCGCGTCGATGTCATATAGGATGTTCTGGGGCTTGACGTCGCGATGCATGATGCCGAGGCTGTGGCAATAGTCGAGAGCCTGCAACAGCTGGCGGGTGTAGCTGCGGATCCGAGGCAGGTTCATGCTGCGGTCCAGCTCGGACCAGGAGCACACGTTTGAGTACTCCAGAACCATGGCCGCAGAGCTGCGTCCAAAGAAACCGGCCTTGGGCAGCGTGTAGGCCTCTTGGAAGGTGACGATGTTGGGGCAGTCGCGGAGGGCCGAGAGGACGTACATCTCGCGCTTCCATCGAGCGACTTCATATTTCTCGGATTTGGCAACCTTGACAGCGACGACGGTGTTGGTGCGAGTGTCGGTTGCCCGATGGACCTGGGCAAAGGTGCCGGTGCCGATGACCTCGTGCAGCTGGTAGCAAGTGCGGTCCGAGCTGATAGGACGGCCAAGAAAGTGTGTCAGATCACATACTGCGTCGATACCGGGGGATCGCAGCACGCATTGCCACAGATACAATCGAGGCGCTGCGCTGGCACAGAGCCGGACAGAGTGCTTACTTGGTCTCGGGTTCCCATCGCTGCAGTCCCGCCTTGGAGGCTTTGAGGCTGTGTTCTATCGGCGTGACTCTCGAGACACGGATGTCCGCTGGAGCTTGGATGGCTGAAAGCCTGTTTGACGAGTTCGTTTCGGCGGCGGTTTTGGTCGAGCTTGGGTCGCTGGACTTGAGGGCCGCCAGCTTCTCCGAGAGGATGGCGATCGACCACCGTTTCTTGAGCGGCTGGACGCGGGTGGGAGGCAGGGTGCACACATCGTCGTTTTCACACAGAGTGGCGATCTCGGCCTGCTTGAGGGCGTCGGCGGGTTTGAGGGTGTCGGAGGGACATGTCGAGAGGCGGCGGGTGGGGGCACCGGATCCCTGGGAGATTTGCATGGTTGCGGGTGACTGTGGAGAGGACAGGCTGGACTGAAGCGGCTTTTATCGCTGGAGTGTGCGAGGTTGCGGGCCCCGGTCGAAGGCAAATGCAGCTTATATCTATCTCGACCCAGCTTGGCGTGGGACGGCCAGGGATGGGTGCCGTGGGCCGACCCCACAAGCCGGGCACGCGGACCGTGGGCCGCGGCGAATGCATGGCGCAGTGCGGTATTGCGGTGAGCCAGCGAAGCGCAGCCGCTGGTGCTGAGGAGCGGATGCCAGCACCGGGTGGTCTGGCAGAGGTGGATGGTACAGTCTCCGACACGGCTGGCCCGGGCAGCAGAATGGGCCATCGAGGGAATGAATGGGTGTGCAGGACTGGAGGACTGCAGGCGAACGACATGCGGGACAACAGCACCGGACCAGCGGGCAGCGGTGGCGCTGGCCCTGCTGAGGAACCACAGCAGGTCGCACAGGACACAGCGCCGACTGCGTCGTGGCCGCAGCCGTGGGCCATTCACGATCCCACAGAGCACCCACGGCCGACGGGCTGGGCGCCAAGGAAGAAGGATCGGCGGGTGGCCAGCGGCGGATGGATGCAAGGGTGACGAGCATGACAATTGTGGATCCAGCGCATGGACGGGTGCATGGACGGGTGCATGGACGGGTGCATGGACGGGTGCATGGACGGGTGCGTGGATGGCGGCCGCTTCAGGAGCAACGCCAGCAGCGACCTGTATTCATCAGCAATCTGCCCGACCAGCGTGAGATCCGAGGCCGCCGACAGAACACCGGGGGGGGGTCGCACCTTCCACGTCCGTCTGGCAGACCCGTCGCAGATCGTGGGCGATGACAAGTGCACCACTACGATCGGCCCAGCCACTTGCTGAACCAAGCATCCATCTGCCGCATGGCCGTTTGGTTGTGGTTGTTGACCGTGGGGATGACCCTGTGGATTGCCCCACGGCCGCCATCAGCCCCGTTGAGCTGCGTAATGAATGCCTCGAGCTCCAGGAACGACGAGTGCTCGCTGTACGGAATGCCAAACAGGGTGATGTTGTGTGCGATCCTCTGGGGTTGAAGATGCTGGATGCCAAACGGAACATCGGCGCCTTGGTCGTCGCCGACAGCGACTGTGTCATCGTCCGGGGTTGTTTGTGGCTCCGGACCGGATCCTTGGAGCGAATTGCCTTCGAGCGACAGCGTACCAGGTCGTTGCGGCTCTTCCTGCTGTTGACCTTGCGGCTGCGGCTTGCCCCGAAATGTCCAGCCCGTGGGGCGGACGGCAACGAGATGGGTATACGATGGATTTGCCTGGAGCATCGTCCTGAGGCTCTGGAGCAGCCGTGTCGGCCCGGAGATGAGCAATTCGCAAGGACAGCCCCGCAAGGTCAGCAAAAGTTGATTTGAAGCTGTCAGTGTCATGTCTATGCTCTGCCGGTCGCGCATGTACTCTGCTGGTCGTGCATGGTACTCTGCGACCGTGCCTATGCTCGGCATCGGAAGCAACCGTGACCGCCGGCAGTGTCGTCCGTACCTCTCTGTTCATCTGTCCCATCGATACCACATGAAGGTCGGCCTCGTCCTTGTCCTGAGTGAGCATCCTCGCCAGTTCCGGGTCCTCCAGGCAGGAGAGAATTCTGTGCTTGCGTGGCTCGACATAGATCTTAGAGCCCATGGCCTTGGCGATTCCTGGATTCACCAGATCGATCGATGCCAGCAACCGTGCACATCCACATACCAGAAAAAATCGCAGTCGGGTGAGTAGGCGCTGTGCGAGTGTCTTTGGGGGCTGCTGAACTGCCCAATATTACAGAGACCAGGAAGCAGCCCAACCCCCTCGCTTCGATGGCTCTTACCCACAAAGATGCGCTCTTTGCCTATCAGATAGGTTCCGACAGCTACCAGGAGTCTTCCTGGTCGTGCCTCCGTCCATAGGTTTGGTGTGGCCGTCGAAGGGCTGCCGGATGCCTTCATCCAGTTCCAGAGCATAGATGCGCTGCAGCTTTTCCACGAGCTCTGGGCTTTGCCTCGGGACTCGCTCGTCGGCGAGCAAGTGGACTTGTGCTTGGCATCTTCGATGATGTCAAAGCACGATTTTCGGCACTGCGATTCCAGAACAAGCCCGACGAGGCTTGAGATCGCACGCACGACGAGTGACTGCTCTGGGAAGCAGTGGGACGGAGCGCAGTATGTTGTGTCGAGGTAGACGGCGTGTAGGCGCACATCTCGAAGGGACGGGTGCTTGATGTGCTCAGGCGAGGCTCGAAAGTCGCCGGTGTGTAGGATCTTGATGCGGTCAGGCTTATCCAGGGCGTCGGTTGTGGGAATGTCGAACAGGATCAGTGCAGCACCTGGACAGCTGCTAGCCATTGGCGCCACATTCGATTGAGGAGAAACAAAAGAGCAGGACCTTGGTCAGAGAGTGTCTTAGGAGTACCAGCATCCGAAACGGAAGCTCGAAGGTGCGTCAGCAAGCATAGTGCGGATCGAGCCGTACTGGTTGGCATCGATGAGGGTCACTTTGATTCCTTGGATATCGTATTCTCGGTTGAGCTTGAGCCTGTGGACGTACTCGGGTTTGACCCGCAGCTCCGAGATGACCAAATTGCCGGTCACAGATGAGCAGTAGATCGGGCCATGCTCGAAAGATGGCCCAAGTCCGGTGTACTGGGGATGGTGGTGTGTCAGCGATACAACTGCGACTGCTCAACCCCACTAATCACCTCGCCATCAGTGGTCGCCCTCCACAAAACCTACATGATCCGAATGGAAGTGCGTCAGGAAATACGCCGAGCATCCCTCGATCTTGCCGTAACAAAATGCATCGACAGTAAACGGGGTTTCGATGACTTTCTTGAATGCCGGACAGATCTTCCTTGGCCGTGGGGTCTGTCGGTGGAGCCGAATGAGTATCGGCTGCTAGTTGCATCCCCGGCCGGCATTCAGCAACAAGACTGCCACTCGATAAAGACGGCCGATACAGCGGCTGTCCTATCCGTACCTTTTGTGGCTTGGCTTCTTTCCTGTTCTCCTTGCGCTTGGCTTTGGCCGGAGTTGTCCTAGTTGTCCTAGTTGTGCTGGACTCGGCGAGATCGTCCCTAGGATGCCGACCGCTCGAAGCCGCCTCGGGGCTGTCTTCTAATGAGTGCTTCGTCGGATATCCGTCCGACGGATTATCGAATATTGCGGTGTATTCAAGGTCAATACTACCGCTTGCCAGGCTGTCGTCGACAGCCAGAGAACAATCCTCGACGCCACGACGATCCAATGAGGGCATGTCGGCGATGCGGCTGTCGTTGGACCACAAATCTGCCGAATATTGCTCGGCAATGCCATGTCTGCCCTTCTGTGACGTTGCGGATCGGCGGCCAGGGTTTCGATCGTCGTCCTCGTGGTGATCGAGACAATGTGGGTCGAGGCTGCAGTCGTCTCTGCTCTGGGCTTCGAGCGAGCTCGTCTTGGCCGCGGACGGCATGCTCAGAGATGCCTTTGCCTTTGCCTCAGCCAGGAACTCGCCCCCGTCGAGCCCATCTTCGTCCAGATCGATCGGCGATATCGATATGGCGCTGGGAGTGGGTCGAGTATCCGCAGGAGGCCGCACCTTGGGGAAAGAGGCATGAGCTCGGGATGCGCCTGGAGTGCTCAGTCCAAAGAACGACGTGATCTTGGATTGATCTCGCTGCAAGACATCGGGCCGAGATCCTCTGGGAAACGACGGCAGAGACGGAGACGGTGGAAAGGAGCGACTCTGGGCAGGGTCGCTGCGGCAAGCTGGGTTGCTGGTCGAGGCAGGCGATTGGAGCTGCTCGTCGAGACATATGTTCACATGGGCCTCCCGTTCCTGCATCATCGCCAAGCGCCCAAGAGTGGCAACACAGGGGTTAATGCGTGCTGCTCTCCCAGACTCTGTTTTCTGATCAGATATCTGCCTGCCATTCTAGAGTCTCGGCTTGATCCCCGGGCATGCGCTGGGCATGATGGCTGAGGAGGGGGCAGGACAGGAATGTCGCCGTCGAGGATGCAGGTTTGAGCAGTCCGATGCCGTTTCAGACAGATGGCTTCGGACAAGCGCCCCCCCCCTGATGCCTACCGAGGGCGAGAAATGCTGGATGGCCAGGCGACAGAGCGGACAGTGGATTGTGCTGTTGATGGTCCCGGGCTCGGCCGGAACGTCGTCGTCGGAGGATGAGCAACTTCGCACTGCGGCCGAAGGGTTGGGCTCGCTGTGCTGGCGACGATGGGCATCCATCGAGAGCTTGCGCTTTCTTGGGATGGTTAGATCAGCCATGGCGGGTGGCGAGGTGACCGGTGCTGCCGCTATGGCTCTCTCGTCCATGCAGGCACCCCCGTCCTCGACAAGATGGAGGGAGGACATGGCCAGATGGAGGACGAGGCCGCATCCTTGTGTTCACGAGACCGAGACGCTCGGCCAGGTGCCCAAGGGACGGACGGACGACACAGGGCGGCAAGTCGGCCAATGTATTTCAAGTGTCATGGAAGCATCGCACCTTCTGGTTGTCGGTCTGAGGGTCGCCCAATGAATGCAAAAGAGTGGAGTGGAAACTGGCAAGGGCAAGGGCAAGGGCAAGAACAAGAGCGAGGGAGAACAAATGCAGCCAAGGCCATCAAGCTGCTGCCGGGCGCTAGAGTTTCTTAGCCTTCGTGATCTTTTTCCAGGTGTCGCGAATGATAGTAGCAGATCTTTCGGACTCCTTCTGAGTATGTCCCGCTGAGCAGCAGATTCGGATGCTGGGAATCAGGGTGGGCTTCTGGCGGTCCTGGGAAAGAACATGCTTGGCTCGCGAAACCAGAACGCCTTCCTTGTAGATCTATGGAGCAGAAATCCGGTCAGGACGAGATACTCACAACGAGACGTTCACAAAGCAGCGGGGCAGCAAACGCAGTCGTGGCGCACCTGGTCGACAATCTCCTGCAGAACTCGATCTTCCTCCAAGCGGTCCGCCGGGCGGTTCTTGAGTCTCAGGTGGAACATGGGCGAGGCCTCATCTCCGCAGATCTCCAGGTTCGGAACAGTCTTCAGGATGTTCTTCACTGTCAGCGTGTTCTGTCTCATCCTGGTGAGGGTCTCGGGCTGGTCGATGAGCATGCTCAGTGCCTGGCTGGCGGCAACGGCCAGCAGAGCAGGGAGCGAGGCAGAGTACGTGTACGCCTGGCCAGAGAGCTTCTGGTGCTCGCAGATTTCCTGCTCGCCTGCAACAAATCCTCCGGAGGAACCGAGCGCATGGGTGAGGCCGGCGACAATCACATCAATTTCGCGGGCCTTGTCAGAGAGATAGAGCCGACAGAGCCGGATGTGTCAGTGCCGAAACTCCCGACGAAGAGTGCATATTTCCTGGAGAGCAGCTCCAGGCGTCGTCTGCGCATTCTCCCCCTAACGGATTCGAGGGTACCTACATCAATGTCAAAGTGGTCTGAGACACCGGCCCCGCGCTTGCCGAGAACACCAAACGAAAGGGTCTCCTCGACGATGAGTCGGTACTTGTACTTCTTCTTCAGCTCGATCTAGCGTCGAAATGGGGAAGTGGGAGGCGTGAGTGCCGACGAGGAGCCGACGAAGAGCCGGTGAGGAGCCGGTGGGGATCCGGGCATGGAAAGCTTGATGAAAATATCGATTCATGCGATGAAACTAAAACCAGAGCGTGCCCGAGCCTCCTCAGTCTTACCAGCTGAGGGAGAGGAACAATGTTGGCGGTTTGGGAGTAGATACCCTCGACAACAAGGAAGCGTCGGCTGAGGGGTTTCTGGAGACAGGGGAGACAGGAGCGACGTCAGCATGTTATGATCAGGACAGGGACTTCCACCGTACCATGCTTTCATGGCGCTCATGTGTGCCGAACATGGGCCATACGGCTGCATCCTGAGCGATATGCAATGAACTGTACCTTGGCGTTTTCCTTCTGGAGCTCAGCCAGAACACGCTCGAGGTCCTGCATGTCGTTATGCTTGAAGAAACGAACGGTCGAGCGCGAGATTTCCAGTCCCTTCTGGATCGCAAACGAGCAGCACTCGTCGCTGGGAAGGATGCGTCCGATCAGGCTCAGCGCGGACATATCTGGATGCAACTAGCGACACTGATAGGCAACGAGTCGCAGCGACCATTAAGGCGTCCATCAACAGCGCATGCCCACTTACGCCACAATGATGTCGCCGCGCTTGCAGAACGAGGGGATGCAGCTGGCAATCGTGGAAAAGTCCTGAGAATAGAGGATGGCAGATTCGGTGCCAAGGAATTTGGCCAATTCGTTTTCGAGCTGGAGGTGGACGTCTGACAATCGAGCGAATGTTCAGCGCTTGTCGGCGGCGCACCGCAGACCTGTGTCGAGCAGGAACTCGCCACAAGCTGTGCCTTCGATGTGAGCATCGAGATCTTTCGCACAAGCTGCCTACCGATTGTGCCATAGAAGCCGCGGGGACCGCAGGTGCCGACGCCGTACTTGCGAAGAGCCTTGACCGCCGATTCCTGCACGTTGCCGAGAACACATTCGGAGGATACGGTCAGCTACAGATGCCGAGACTACGGCGTTGCTTGGAGCGCTTGCGCATCGGGTTGCTCCAGCGAGCAGCCTCAGATTGAGCGGACAAGCAACCGCCACAGGCCAAACAGAGGCGCTGCGCGACGACAGGGATATCCGTACCTTGACAGCCTCGCTGTTGAGGAAGCCAAGGAAGTTGTAGCTTCCAAAGTTCAGCTTTTCCTTTCCATCGGCCATCTTGACCTTGGTGCCGGCAGGTCTGGCAACGAGACAGGCAGAAAGACAAAATACAGAGGGTTAGATAGAAGACGGCGCGAGACGGCTGCACGGCAAGCGCTGAGCATCGAAGCACACTACGAGCCACAGCCACCAAGGATCGTACCCGGCCAGGACGGGGAGCTTATCGAGCTCTTGTCGACGGAATTCGGACAGTGAGGGGACGAGCGGCTCAGGCTCCCAGGTCTCGCAAAGCTCATTGATTTCCTGCAGGATGGTTTCCGTTCAGTCCAGAAACAGGGAGGGGAAAGGTCCAAGAAGCCGCAGAGCAGAGTGTGAGAGATCGGCGCACGATCGGACCAGCGTCCAGCGCCCAGAGCGATGGTGGAGGGCCAGATCGATGCGGGTGCTGGCATCGATGGCGAAAGCGCAGATATCGCTGCTGGCGGCACCGAGCCAGAGAGGCGATTACCTTCTCAGTGAGGACCACGGGATTGGCTCCAGGACGGATGCGGTAGCGGCCATGGAAGATGTACCAGAGCAGGAACGCGACCAAACAGAGCTCAAGCAACATGCGGAACGGGTCGTTCTGGTAGGAGGCACGGATGTATTTGTAGGCGACATTGGAGCCAGGGATGGTGTGATAAAGGTCCGAGGCAACCGAGAAGGTGGTGTTGACGGCAATGACGATCGAGTAGGCAAACTCTTTCGCGGCATCGTTGACGAGCGGCACGGCCGCAAAGTTTCCGAGGGCGGTTGCCATGGCAGAGGGAGCAGTGTCGGCCGGATGGATGCTGGGATCTGGACACCACACTCCGATCTGGGGCGGTGGATGTTGCGAGAGGGGAGAGACGGCGGTGATGGACAGGACCGGGACAGACGAGGGCGGGCTGTGGGGCCGTGGCGGCGGCGCACGTGGGCAGCCCAAATCAGGCAGCTGGACGGCCGAAAGCGGACGGTGCGCAGCGCCAAGCAAGAGCAGCCAGGCGCACTGGGCTGTGGGAATCGATGGGTGCAAAACGGCTGTGAAAAGTCGGCACACCGCAGCGGACGGTGCTGCTGGTCTGGTGTGTCTGGTGTGTATCTGGTGTGTCTGGTCGTTTCGTTTTGGGAGCGCTTTTTTTTTTTATTTCAGCTCAATGGGTCAGTTGACAACTTGTTCTTTTTTCACAGGCTATAGAAACACTGCTCGCGCTGAGACAGGGTCATAGGGGATGTGATGGGAGAAGGACAGGGCAGTGGCGGAAGGTTCCTGCGGCGACGGTCCGTGCTCGGGCATGGGATTGAGGCGAATGAGAATGAATATCGATGAGGCCACCGGGCACGAGGATCCGAGGCATCAAGGAATGCTACACTTCACGCCGCCTCCGAGACAGGGCCAGAGCAAGGGCAAGGGAAAGGCGCCAGCCAGAGACCATGATTTGCACATGGGAGGCAGGCGGCCCGTTTACTCGCGGCCCGAGAGACGGTGGGCCCAGTGGTTGGGGTTGTAGCCCATGTCGTTGCGGATTCGGAGGTCCTGGTCGAAGCGGACCTTCTTTTGGACAATGTAGCCACCGACTATGCGAGCAGCGAGGGGGGGGGAGCAAGCACAGCAAGAGAGTCAGCAGCGGTAACGACGGTATGGATGCTCTGGTGATCCGCGACAACTTCAGGGTGTTCCGGCGACCCGCGGCCTCGTGAGCAGAGCAAACTTGGGATCAGATGACAACTCACAGGTCATGGCGATGCCGATCATGCCAAAGATGGGATAGACCTCAAGGGGCATCTTGCGGATCATGGCGAGCATTGTGGCGTGTGTGTTGAGACGGAAGTGACTGTGGGAAGCGGCGCGGCGAGAAGACCAGAGTCAAGTGATTTGGCTTGGATGCAACTGGGAGACAACCTGAGTATGGATGATGCAATGCTGAGGCGGACCCAGCATTTATATCCGAACGAGACCTCGCCGCGGCCCTCGCCCCGCAGGCGTCCATGACCGCCGGGATGCCCGTCCTGGTCAGCAGCGATCCAGCCTGACTCATGAGGCATGGCCGAGCCATCCAGCCTGACTCACTCCTGTGACACAGGTTCTGGTCACGTGGAGGGCTGTGTTGACTCAGTGTGGCGATGCCGACGCGGACCCAGGCGGGCGGCCAATCCAGCAGCAGAGGCAGTGCGGAACAAAAGTAACCACCACACAGATGCTGATGGGAATGGCTGGCGGGTGTCTGCTGTCTCTACGGCACTGGCAAAGCAGAATGTATTGAGGCAGCGCATGATCGCACCACAGCTATCCAGGTTGTCATGTTGCGAGCGGTATGCAGGCCGCAGCGAGTGTCCATCGCATGCTGACCGATGCTGCCGACGGAGCAGGCTCTGCAAAGACACGACGTGATCAGCGACATGAAACCAATAGGCGAACAGAAGATGCAGTCGGCCCTGAGACAAACTCCCACCTCTGTCCAGACCCGTGCTCGAGCCTACTGGCATTGCGGTGCGCGGCAGTTGGGCTTGCTGCACACGGCCACGCAGTCGTTCTTGTGATGGCCGATCTTGAAGCAGTGCCAGCACTTTCCTCGGCGCTTTGTCTGCAAGGGCTCGGCTTGACGCTCAATGTATGGTCTGGAAGGTCCATTGGAGTGTTCACGAGCGTTGGAAAACGACTGCGGGGCTTTCTTGGCCTTGGCCGAGGGGGCGTTGTTGTTGTGGATTGCGCTGTCTTCCTGAGCGTAAGGAGTGACGATGGCGAGGCCGGTCTTATGGACTACGGGCGATCTGGGCGGTGCCGGTTCGTATGGGACAACCGAAATATGCCCGATTGTGAGGGTCTGAGCTGGTGCCGACTGACGGCGCTCGAGAAGAGAAATACCCCGCTCATAGAGCTCGTCAATCTGGGCCTCCGCATGGCGAAGATCGGAAATAGTGCCACGCTTCTTGATCTGTCCGGCACGCGACTTGATGACATGGATCTGCTTGAGAATAGCCTCGACATCCTCATCGCTGCCGATGCGATCTAGAGGGCCAAACAAACAGGATGCACCAAGACGCATTAGCCTACATTCAACCGGCCAGCAATCATGTTGGTGACGGCCTTCGATGCAAGTTGGAAGCACGGTCGACTCCCCTCCAACCGAGCCATGTCCCTGCATGTCTGGGGAATCGGCTGTCGGTGCAGCACACATCATCTCTATGCTCGAAACGCGCACCTTTTTGAAGCAAAGCATTGAATCTATCCTTGAGATTCAGATCCAGATCCACGATGCCATGTTCGTTCGAGCTTGCTGAAGCCTGTCGTTGGTCCACCTGCGCCGTCCGGACCTCGGCGCCGCCGGCCTTTGCTTTGGGCTTACTAACTGACGGCGAAGCGGCCGCGAACAGTCGTTGAAGCCACTCCGCGCCGCCTCCGTGCTTGACGCTGCGGAGAGTCGTGCAAGCATAACGAAACTCGCTGCGGATTCGTTCCAGGGAGCCAAAGACGGTGCCGGCGCAGTTGCGATCCACTAGAAACGGGTCTTCGACAACCAGGCAGCTGCCCTTTCGGGTCTTCCATGCGTGCAGCGGCGGGGTACATGGGGTCAGAACCCGGCCTTTGCGGATCGATATGATGTGATCGGCATCATAGCTGTGTTCGAAAGCGTAGTAGTGGAAGAAGCGTGCGAGCACCGTGGCAAGCTTGCTGTGCTCCACTTGCGGACGGTCGGCGCCACCAGCAGACGGCGAATCGACCTGCCGATAGGACACGTCAACCCGGATGGTGGTATCGGCAAGGGTCTCCATCAGCACGTGTGTTCGGGGCAGTGGCTTCTCGGATGTGGAGACCATGCGCTTGAACATCTTCGTGAGAGCCCTGACCAAATCGGGATCGCCTGGGCTCCCGTCATCGTCAATGTCATAGTCCTCATAGTAATATTCATCGTATTCGTCGTCGTCGTCGTCATCATCGTATTCGTCATCATCGTACTCGTCATCTTCGTCATCGAAATAGGCGTCGATGTCGACCCCGCGGCTCCGCAACAGCGTCCTGAGCAGATTGGTGCCGAATTCAGTCCGCATATACGGCGAAAAATACTTGTCGTCACGGTCCCAGCGGTCAGCCATGTAGATAGCCATAGCGACCTCTTCATCAAGATCGTAGTCTTCTTCATCTTCATCTTCATATTCATCATCATCTTCATCTTCATCCTCATCTTCATCTTCGTCTTCATCTTCATCTTCATCGTCGTATTCATAGCCGTCGTAGTTGAATACATGCTTTCCAGAGCCTTTGTCGGAGCTGCTCGCGCTCTTGGGATTCTGGCGGTTTGCTGGATGGCTGTATTCATAATCAGGCTCTTCGTCGGTGGACATGTCTGTCCACCGGATGCTTTTGCTAGCTGAAGGCGCCACAGCCTTTCTGTTTTGCCAGGGTCGATGCTGTTGCGTAAAGGGAGGAACGGTGACCTTCTTGCGGGCGTGGGCTGGAACGTCCCTTTGCAACGACGGCAAAATGCCTTCGCGCTGCAGGTGGTGAATGGCCATCAGGGCCAGGCAGTACGAGCTGAACGTGCCTGGAGACAGAGCAAGGACGTCAGGATCAGCTGCAGGCTCGGGCTGCTCGTCGCATCATTTGTCGGAACCTACCCTCGCCAGCGTTGTTGATGCCCCTCGCTTTGGCCCACATCTTGATGAGGATGATCAGCGGCTTGACGATCGGGCTCATGTTGACGTACGATCGGATCAGATGCGAGTTGTAGACGCCAAGGACGTTGCCCGCCGACAGGTCGCAGCGCAGCCCGAGCTGCGGATCGTAAAACTTGCAGATCGGCACCTTGGCCGAGGCCACTGGAACCACCTCCTCCATTGCGCAAGCCCGAAGAATGTGGGCGGCCTGGTAGACCCACTTGCCCTTGAGGACCTCGAAGGGGAGGGCGCCATCGCAGAACTCGATGCAGCAGTCGACATCCGAGTTGGCGATGCCAAGGCCAGTGACGGCCGAGCCAAAGACATGGATTCGGATCTCCTTGCCTCTGAAGCATCTCGCCAGCAGCCGGTGGAGTTTATTGGCGAGGGTGTTGGCGCGGGCAGAGTTGTTCAGAGATTGGGTGCCCTGTTGACGGGTGATGGTGGTGGCGGCGGCGGTGTTGTTAGAGGGTTAGGATATGTACATTTGAGAGCAGGCGGCTGTCGCCGTGGAGAGGGGCAACAACGATCGGCGGGTGTGCTGCCGGGCTGGAGCTGTGCTGATCCATTCTTTGCTCGCAGTGCACCGCCAGGTGCCAACGGGCACCACCCGGTATCTCACATGCTCTACCTCAAAGGTCCACCAGAGACTCTGCCCCATACGCTGGAGGTTGGGCTCCAGGTCTGTGGACAAGTAGAAAGGCGGATACAGAGTAAGCCCATGGTACATTCGAGGCTTCATGGCGCTGCAAGAGTGGGCAGGGCCATCAATCAGCCAAGCAGTATCTGGATGACCCCGCAGACAGCACCGCTCTTCCTGAGGAAATCCCAGAAGCGACCTGGGGCCACTGCAGACAAATGGGGTTGGATGGACATCTAGATACCCAGGATGAACGCTCTGCAGCGCTGAGCCTCGGCCGAGAAGGGAACAGACCGTCGGGCGGTCTGAGTTCCTGGCGGGAAGGGCCTGGACGGCCCGCTGGTGTTGATCGTCAGGTGAGCCTCGGCCATCGGACGCAGCGGGTGCAGGTTGAGATGAGCGCAAACGGAGAACATCGCCCGCACAGGCGGGAACAGCAACCGCCTTTGGCCATGAGGCTTGGGGTCGCACAACAGGGCGAACCCGCGCTTGCTGGGGAACAGCCGCAGCGTTTGCTTTCTCGATCCATTGGCAAGGGCAGGGGCATCGCTGGACGATAGCTACAATGACAGCGGTGTCTCGGGACTACGGCATCAGCTATATTTGCGTTGACGAGAGGGAGGAAGTTGCACTCCCTGAACGGGTCGAGGCCGAGCCGCAGCACAAGACCAAGAGCGAAAGAAAGCGGCAAATCAATCCAAGGGCGACAAATATACACGAGAGGATCACATATCCACAATAGGCGCGGTGGGCAGGAGCGTAACAGAGAGCCTGATCCAGACGGACGGGGCAGGAGGCAATAGGGCTGGGCGATAGAGCAAAAACAATAGAGCATATGGAGAGTCAAACCAAGCAGAGCAAAGCACAAGCGGAGTAGATGGCGGCAAATATGAACAGAAGAAAGGAGAAACAAAACAAAAACGGAGAGCTTGGGCAATAAAGGCAGATGCAAGATGGAGGAGAGGCTTGGCAAGACGGAGCGGGGTGTTAGCGGAGGCATAGCGAGTGATGGCCAGCCGGAGCAAGGTTGGTGAAGGTCCGGTGGAAAGGCAAACTTGGTACTGGTGGTGGTGGCAGGTACTTCAGGGAAAGCGGCGGCTCTGATCTAGAGATATGCACCATGGGCCGCCGGGAGGATGTGTTTTGCCTTTTGGGCGGTGGATGTGACAAGCGACGATCGTTTCTTGAGCGCCTTGGGCTTTTTGGTGATGACTTTTCGACGAACGTACTCTGTCGACTTGAAGGTGTCTTCGGGCTTGACGGTGATAAAGGTCAGCTTGAGACCAGGGCCGGCGGAGGTCGGCGACTGACTGCCAGTGTGGCTGGGCAGGGACTGGCAACCCAAAGTCGGTTCATTCCATGAGCGAGACTCTATGACGGGCGATCGGCGAGGCGACAGAGGCGGGTTGTATGCGGCAGCGGCGGGAACAAGTGACGGATAGGGGCCGTTGTCCTCATGGGTGACTGGGCCGGCCAGGGGAGAAAAGATCCACACAGGGGATTCGTCGCCATTGGTGGGGATTTTGGTGAACTGCTGGGGATGCCGAGACAGATATGCCTTGATGTCGGTCTGGGGGACGGCGTATGGAGTAACCAAGGAAGGCGAGACAGTGTCAGCAGCCAAGGTCAACCGGCAAGGCCGCAGATATCGATGGCCCAGAAGCGTCAGCGGCGGACAGGGACTGGGCAAGTCAACGTACCATGACCTGCATCGAGTCGGCACTGCCAAAGGACATGCAGACCTCGTTGACGAGTCTGTCGAGTGGCAGAGGCTGGTTGCAGTTGGACCGGAATGCAGAGCAAATGGCTGATCCAAGCGAGCCCGGCCATGTGCGATGTGGATAAGGCAGCGCAGACGGGGCTGGGGGAGAGACTTCTGGGCCTGTGAGGGCATGCGCAAAGCAAATGGACCAGAAATGCGGTGATGAGAAGGAAAGCCAGCCATGGAGCGACAGGGGGCACCGGGTACGGCTCTGACAGGACACGAAGGCCAAAAACCGGGTGGATACTGAGGCATTCAACTGGTCATGCGATGGATTGGCCCAAGGACATGTCTCGGCCACCAGAGGCCACCAGAGGCTACCCAGAGGCCGCAGAGCTGGCACGACCAAGGAAACCAAAGCAGAGACCGGGGAGACCCAAGGGAGCCAAGACGTGCAGGGATGCCCAGCGTCTGGCCAGCGGTCGGACCTACCATAGTAGTAAGGCTGCGGTGGGCTTGAAAAGTAGAGTGCGACCCCGGGGTGATGTTCATGGACGAGGGGGGGAGACGGCGGTCGGACGGCGACATGGTGCGGAAACGGAAGAGGACGCGCAGAGACAGGAGACATGGCTCTGGGCTCCGACGGCGGGCTTGAAAGATAGGTGGGCTTGGGGCTGGCAGCGACGCCGTGCTTGGGCTGCGATGTCAGGAACTCGGCAGCCTGGGCGAGCAGCAGCAGACCCGAATTGTTTTCTTGGCGGGTGGAGCTCATGGCGAAACAGCGGATGAAGAGTGGATGAACAGCGGATGAACAACGGACGAGAACGGCGGCAGCAGGATTCCGAGGAAAGGGCCGGGCGATGGGGAGGTGTGCGGCAGGAACAACCGAATTGAGAGCGGCGAGGGCAGCCAAGGCAGGCGCCGGGAAGAAGAGGGTTTATATGGACGGCGCAAGCAAGTCCGGCCCGACGGCGGGTGATTTGAGGCCAAGAGAGGTCGTCGGCGGCGAGGGCATTGGTGGGCCAAGGCCGGACCAGCGAGCACAGGCCCAGGACCAATGCGGATGCGCGAGCACCACCCCTCCTCGCGGGTGCAATGAACGCAGGCGAGGGCGGTTGGTTCCCTGCCAGAAATGGATTTCGTGTTGGGCGGGACAGCAACGCACACGGGCCGAGTCGGGGTGAGTGCAGTTGGACGAAGCTGGGCTGGGCAGACATGGAATGGGTTGATGGGATAGATGGACTCGATGATGATGGGTCTCCGTGAATGATGAATCAAGTGAATGATAGACCGACTCGGTTTATGAATGATTGATCGATGGCCCGATCGGTCATTGGGTTACTGCTGAACTGCCCGACTACTCAACTGCTCAACTGCACAGTGCCGCTCCTGAGAGCCAGCCAAACCAAGCGAGACCAAACCCACCGACCCCCCCCCGATGCATTGCGGGCGCGTGTGGGTCTGCAGCATCCTGCCCTGATGACCTGCACGAGGACCCCTCGCGCGATGTTGCAGCGATACGATGCGCTCGCTGCAGAATCGCTTCGCTGCCAAGTATCACAGGTGCCCATCTTGCTGCTGCTGCTGCTGCTGCTGTTGCTGGCTCGTCTGTGGCAAGCGCACTCTCCCTCTCCCCCCCTCTCTCCTGTCTGCCTTCTCTCTCTCGCCGACCGGACGCCGCCCGCTCCGCTCCGCTTCCTCCGCCGTCCGCTTTTGGAAGCCGCCTGCCATATTCGGCGGCCCAGTCCGGACGGCGCTTCGGACGGCGGCGGGGCATGACAAATCCCGCCTGCTCGCCTGTTCCACCACCGCCGCCCGAGGCCGTCATGTCGATTCAGGATGCGCCAACAGTGGCAGCGGCAGAAGCAGCGGAGGAGGAGAGGGCGAAAGCAAGCAGTGGCCAGCAGCGAGAACCAAGGCGCGAAAAGCGGGCACTCTCTGCCATGTTTCGTGAAGACCTCTCTGCTTCCCAGCATCCAGCATCTATCCGCTGTCTGCGACACATGCGGTCCTCGCCTCGATCCCAAGAGCTCGGCCGTCCTCATGTCCCGTGTGGCTGCCGATGCTGAGCGCCGCCGTCGTCTGACCCACAGCCAACCAGGGGCTCAGCCAACAGACAGACGAGCCAGGTGGACAGACGGTTGGGTGAGGGGCTGATTGGTTGGTGGAGTGAGCCGGCAAATCAAGTGGGCAGCGACGGCAACTGAACCCCCTCGTCTCCATGGCCCGGGATCGCGGAGCCGCCTCTGCAGCCAGAACCACTGCAGCAACCACCGGGGTGTCCTGTCCTATCCTGTCCTGTCCTGTCCTGGCAGAGGCCGACAGTGGCCGACAGCGCCGCCTTCGGAAGCTCCGATCCGGGTGGTGGAGAAAGCCGCAGGTCTCGTTCCCTGAAATGGTTTGGTCAAGATGTGCTGTATTCGGGGAGGAAGCAGGAAGCCAACAGGGATGTCGCGCCCATCAGATACAGTCTATCCAGAAAGAAACGGAACAGCCACTCTCTGGCATCAGAGGCCAGAAGCCTACTGACGTGCGATTGATTCCCGTCCTGAGTGGCAATCTCTTTGTGTGGTGCATTCATTCGACCCTCTGGACAGCTCCATGGTTTCTCGATAGCAAGGGCGATGTTTTGAGGCGACAAAGTATTTGATCAATGATCAAAATCCGGGATGTCCCGTTTTATTGGATCGCCTGTATCTACGGCACACCTCCGTCCACCAATGGTTCTGTTTTTGCTTATTTAAGGTGCGTGATGCAGAGTAAAATCTGCGGGTGGGTGGGTGAACGGATTAGATGCATGAAGAGAGTCAAAAACTGGAAAACTTCATAGGCTCGGAACACCGTGAATCGGGTTGTGTGTGTTAAAAGGAGCAAAGAGGATAAGGAGTATAAAAGGGGTAGATAGCTGAGATAGCAGGCACACACCGCAGCTCACCCTCTAGGCTAGCGACGAGCGCTGGCTAGAGGGCTGGTGCAGGGTCTGCGACACAGGCCGAGCTATCTCACGTATCGCAGGGGATCTGCCAGTGGTTCGTTAGAACACAAGGGCAGCAACAGCGGCCACGATGGCAGCAACAAATGAGGCGGGAGCAATGCGGCTCGAGGAGCTGGGCTTGTTGGCACCGGCCGTGGCAGAGGCACCAGGGGCAGGGGCAGACGAAGCCGAGGCAGTCGAAACGGTGAGCTTGCCACCAGCGACACCAGAGGGCGGAAGGAGGTAGCTCTGGTTTTGATAGACACGCATGTCGCTCAAGCACTCGCCCGCAGTCTTGATCTTGAAGCCCGCCTGGTTGACAAGGGGAACGGTCAGGAGAGCAGCAGCGGCGGGCATGGTGTAGACATCGTGCTCGAGCGAGATCGGGCCCTTGGTGAGGCTGGGGTCCTTGATCCACTGGGTAAAGTTGTCTGTTCGGGCGTCGTCCGTGAAGCCATGCGACAGTGGGAGGGTGTGTTGCAGCGCAGAAAGCCGCCAGACGAGACAGCGATGAGCAGGAAAGGGTGAGCACACGGATCAAGAGCACCAACAAACAGCCGGCAGGCACATGCGGCGGATGTACTGACTCTGGATCCACTGGGGCCACAGGGCGTTAGGATAAAGGCTGACGCCCTCCCAGTCAAAAGTGTCGTGGTCCCACAGAAGGGTCTTGAAGCCCATAGCGGCGCTGATGCCACGGACACGGTCGTCTGTGGTCAGAGAGAATGATGAGCTGGAGGCGGAAGATGCAGAGGCGGCAGATGCAGAGACACCAGGAATAGACGGTGCTTCTCAAGTGACCCGCAGCACCGGCCCACACTACAGCCACACATAGCAGCCCAGAACAGCAGGGCAGTTGCCGTACCAGTGTCGCCGGTAGGAGGACGCATGTAACTGTTCACCAGAAGAGGAACGAGCCATTTAGTTGCGATCAAACCTGTCGCCGGTACTCTTTAGCGACACACACATCCGGTGCGCTCCGCTGCCAAGCTTCAGGCAGCACCCACTCTGGCAGAGGACTTACGTGGGACGGGTGCCGGTGATGTCCTGGATGGCACGAGCACAGTACTCGAGCTCCGAGATGACGACATCCGAGGTCATCGTAGGCAGAACGCGGTGACTCCAGGTGTGGACGCTGCGTAGGGCAAAGGGAATCTGAAGGTTACTTTTTACTTTCGTCGACGCACCCTGGCGCACTCTGGCATCCCAGCCGTCCTCAAGATCCTGCTCACAAAGTGCCCACTCTGCAAGCCCTCGTTCAAGAGCGACGAGTGTCCCCAACCATATCAGACGCCAAGTGTCGGCAAGTCAAAGCTGTAGACAGTGCATACCAGAGTTGGTGGCCAGAGTCAAACATTCTCTGGACGAGATCGGGGCGCTCGACGACACGGGAGCCGACCAGGCAGAAGGTGGCTTTGAGGTTGAGCTTGTCGAGCAAATCGAGCAGGGGAACGGTGTTGTTGCTCGGTCCTGGTGCCGAGCACAACGAGGAAGGGATGCAAGCGGGTGAGCCAAGTTGGATATGAGTTCGAGAAAGGCGCAGGGCAGCCCAAACAGCCCAGCAGGCGTGCCATGCTGGCAGATCACCACCAAACCTACCGTCGTCAAAAGTCATGGCCCAGTCGCCCTTGGTCGGGCAGCTGGAGATAATGTCCTTGCGGGTGGCATCGCAGCCACTGCCCTGGGCACATGGGAGAGAGCACCAGCTGATGGCATCGGCTGTGCTGGGGCAGATGGCATAGCCGCCGGCAGCGTTCCAGCCCTTGACCGGGATGGCAGGGACCTTGGAAAAGTCATAGCTGGCGTTGATGCCGGGGATGGGGGGAGCCTGCTGGTCAAGAGGCGGGTACTTTGTGATGTCGATGGTGCCGGCGGCAGCCAGGGCGACGACAGAAGAGAGGACAAGGATGGACTTCATGGCTCGGGAAGGGTGCTCGGCGATGCGATGCGATGCGATGCGATGGTCGGAGGAAGGAGGATGGGGGCAGCAATATATGCGCCGCGGGAGGGAAGAAAAGAGCTGGCGGTGGAGGGGAGCCGCGGAGGGAATAAGGGAGGAAAGAGACAAGGACGAGGCAAAGCAGTAGCCACACAGGGACAGTGATACTGCTGCCAGAGAAAAGACAGCGATGTATGCGGCCAACAAGGGCGATGTACATGGACAACGGCGCAGCGCAGCGCGGCGGGGCGCGTGCGGGAGGGCGCACAGACACTCTTTCGGGCGGATGTGGCTGGACATCCGCGCTGTGCTGTGTTGATGTTGTTGATGTTGTTGATGTTGATGTTGTGTTGATGTTGTGTTGATGTTGTGTTGCTCTGTCGCTTGTCTTGTTGTCACCGCCACCCCCCACTGCGCAACCTTGTGGCTTCACGAGTGCTCCAGTGCACTTGCCGCGGTTCCCACACCGAGCTTTGAGTTTTGGTCCATCGCAAGGGCTCTATCGAGCGCGAGGAGGAACATGTCCAGGGTGCTGGTCTCGGACTGGACAAAGAATGCGTGGGCTTTGAACGCCAAGCGCCGCAGAGACCGCCCGCTGGCGTCCTTGGAAGGCCCCGGCAAATGAACGAATGAACGAATGAACGAATGAACGAATGAACGAATGAACGAATGAACGAATGAACGAATGAACGAATGAACGAATGAACGAATGAACGAATGAACGAACAGCACCACCGCGTCTGCATCGGGGACATGAGGCGATCGATCTGCCCCCGGCAATTCCATACCTTGCACTTCTGGGCAATGGCATAGAGGCGCGAGCTCGGATCGCTGCCGTCCTTGTTGAAGAACAGCGAGATAGACCGGTGTTCGATCAGCGGTTGCTGTTCCCACGCAGGCAGCCGGGTTGGTTAGTGTTTTGGGTGCATACCGAGAAACTGCTCGAATAGGCCCAGCGACATCATCGCCAGACACAACGAGTATAGCAAACCCCTCAGCTTCTGCTGGCGCTCCCGCCGGAAAGACCACCCTCTGAGGAGCCATACCCTGGGCTGGATGATGCCCTTGATCATAAGCTCATCCAAACAGCTATGCAAAATGGCATAGCACGAAAGGGCCGAGGGATATCCTGTCCGACCGATAATAAGAACAACGGCCGCATCCTTGAGTTGACCAGGCATTGGCATTGGCTGAAGAGCGGTGATCCCCCGCCATCATCATGACCCAAACAGCTTCACCACGAATCCCGCCCTCCTCCCCCAAACAGGGCTTTCAGCAAACCAACCGATGAATTGTGTCAGATCAGCGCGGTCCAGGAACGCAGAATCCACAGCCTCAGTCAGGTTCGAAGTCGTCAGAATCAGGACCTGTCGGAGCACACAAGGTGTCTGGTCAGCATCCGCCCTGACATCTTGGTTTGCTGTGTGCTCTTCACACGGGCAAACTCGCGGCAGTCACAACGGGCCTATGGTGCATCTTCATCCTTGCAGCTCACGTTCTTCTTCTTGCGGAGACGGTCGATTTGTGTCAAAAGGGCATTCACCTGCCAGCGAGCGTCCCCGCAGTTGAGTGTCAGTGTCCAATTTGCATCTGGCTCGGGGAGATTCAAGCACTCTGATTACCGCGAGGCTTACCACTCGAATCGCATCTGAAGGCTCCAGACCATTGATTGCCGCCTTCCTGGATGCCGTCAAGCTTTCGACCTCATCTGTGTTTATGGGCAGCGGGTTGGTTGCGTGGTTGTTCGCTACTCCAAACGGAGTGTCTCTGACAGCCTCCTCCTGCCCGAACAGTCCCAGCTTGCATCGAATGACAGTCCACTACTCACCAATAAGGACGCACACAAATGCATCCGTGTCCTCGGTCAGCTCGCCGATCTGCTGGAACATCTTCATCACAAGCTTGCCACTCTCCGAGAAAAACTTGGAGAAGAGACTATGGCTGTTGATCTCGACCAGCTTGCCGTGTGTGTATCGGTCCGAGAGACGTATCGCTAGTTTCTGGATCAAACGTCGGTGAGTCCTGTTACTCATTTGATAACCAACTTGGGAGGCGGGCACTCAGGAAGGCCAAAGAAGCGATGGATCCAAAGACAGGCGGCCATGGATACCGATATCGGTCGGCTGGTCCGGCGCGAGACTCACCTGTGCAAGTGCCTTGCAGAGCGACGTCTTGCCCGTTCCAGGAGGGCCATGCAGCAATATGATCTTGTTCCACGCGACAATGTTGCTGTCGACTCCCCGGTCTGAAAACAGCATCGACGTCTCCATGTAGCTGAGCAGTTGGTTGTGGATCTGCTGGTCGAAGACTAGGCTGTCGGACGGAGCTATGAGTGTGCAAAAGTGGAAGCACCATCCCTGTCCGTTCCCGGCTCTCTGGTTCGGATGGCGATTACTCGCCAACATTGGGCCTCCCCGAGCTCCTCTGATGCACTTGCCTCTCCTACAGGGACAGGTTGACATGGATCAGCAGCAACTCTCACTATTTAGCATCTGCCAGAAGCACGTTCTTTGGCTATCCGAGAACCGGCGCTCTTGGCGACTCACCCATACTCCATCCAGCGATGCCGCAGGCAGGATCCAGTGATTTGAGGTCACGATATTGTCTTCGTCGTCCAGCTCGTCGACGCCATCCTCTTTGTTCAGCTGCGGCAGGACGCATTGTGCATTCCTTAGCCATCAATCGCTCTCAAGCGGCGGGATTCGGTCCGTCGGATTGCCGGCCCGAAAAGCTGGCCAGCAGGAGCCCCAGCCGCTTCGGCGAGTTCCATCGGCTTACTTGGTATACGTGGATCTTGAGAGCCACACGATCGAGCTCGACGACGCTCTGGGAATCTGTGAGCCAAGATCAACGGATAAAGGGGGGGGGAGGCAAAGTGTCGTTAATCTTGCTGTCGATCTGACCGAGAACCATCCATGTCTGTGCCGACAAAATCGTCCTCCTTCGCTCGTCCTTCTCCATGGGATGGGGCTCCTTACCCGTCCTTGGAATCTCGCAGATCCGGATCCGACTCACATGGGCTGCCAGCGCTGGATCGTGCTGGAGCTCCTCGGGGGCGATTTGCATGTTCTGGGTGAGCTTGGGGAAGTTCGAGCGCAAGAATACCTCGCATGCTGCCTTGGTTGCGTCGTAGAGGCAGGTCGACTCTTGGTGCAGTTCGACCTCGACTGGATCACGTTCGCCAAGGGCCCCAGAACCAGGGCCAGAACGGGGAGCCATGTCAGCGAATTCGTCAGCTGGCAAACGGGTCGGCAGGTCGCTCGTCGGAATTACCATGAAGCACCGGCTTGTTTGCCATGGCGGTTGTTGGAGCAGATCAAGTCAGAGTGTCATGAGTCAGCGTCCGATGTTTCCCTGGAGCTTTACGACGACCCTGGCGCGCGGCAGGCCTCGCCTCGTTGCAGTTCGCCGCCGCTGGAGTTCGCCGCTGTTGGAGTTTGCCGCCGTTGCAGTTTGCCGCCAGCGCAAGATCTGCTGCTCGATGCCTCTGCCACCCGTCTCGCATGGCATCCGCATGCACATCCACAAACTGGGCAACATCCTCCCGTCGCGAACAAAGGTCGAGCGAGATGATACAGCGAGAACGCTCAAAGAGGCTGTATTCAGCAAGGGGACGGACGGACGGATGGGCGAACAGAACAAGTGCAGTGGGCACTCTTCGTCAGCCTGAGGCAGTGCCGGAGCCGCTGACTCTGGAAGTGGAGGACACAGGGAGCTGGATGCACGCAGATGGCGATGCAGCTCGCCGCAAATGTATGGCCGCGGCGCTCACGACGACCCTGAAACAGAGAGCTTTTTGAGGTGCTCCATGAAGACTTGCAGGCTGACATCGTCCGTGGCGATGGCCTGGCCGGAAGCTTCAGGCTGTCCATAGCCGGTGTGGCCGGTGCTGTGGGTGGTCGAGGGATTGACCTTGGAGAGGAGGAAGCGGGCCTGCGAGCCACCGGCATCGCACTCGATATAGCGGGGGATCGGGAATCGTCCGACAATGAGCTCCTGTTGCATTGATTCGTTCGTTTCGTTCATTCCGTTCCGTTCGTTGCATGTCCAAGATTGCGAGTGTCGGAAGGAATTGATCAAGCCAGAAGCAGCAGCGGGTCAGTGACTATCACCACGGCATAGGCGAGCCGCAGAGGCCACCCGACAGTGTGCAGCACGGCAGCCGGACACACTTGTGACCGACGGAGCATTGCCTACCTTGGCATCGACGGTGGGAGCCTCAAGAGCGCGAGCAAACGACTCGTAGGCAGGCTGCTGGTGATATCCAGCTTTACGCCAGGCAGCAATGACCTCGCCGTGCCAGATCAGCACATGGAAGAAGGTATCCAGCAGCAAAATAACATCGGGCTTGATCGAAACTGAGTCGAGGAGAACAGGGCGGGGCTCTTCGTTGACAGCATAGGCGGTGAGGGTGGGCTGGATCATGATGAGCGAGTTGTTGACGTCTTCGCGGTTGATGACATGTCTGGAGCAAGGATTGAGTATATGCAATGAGCAACGGGGCGATGGTCGCCATTGACGAGAAGGCGCTTCGCCATCGCACGACAACAAGCCCGCCAAAAGCTACCTGTAGTAGGCCGACTCGTCTGGACTGTTGTTGAAGGTCTGCAAGAACTGGCTGCGGCGCAGATGGAACATGAACTGCGGATAGATTGCAAAGTTGTTGGGGAGGCGGAAGGAGCTGGGGTCGTCCTTGCGGTAATCGGCGTACTTCTGGCAGAGTCGGATGAGCATGCGATCCAGCCATCGGAGAACGTCCGGTCCGTCGTCGATATCGGCCTTGAAGACCGAAATGCGGCCCATGAGCACTGCAGCAGCTTCCTGGTCGAACGAGAGCGGGATATCGGGCGAGTTGCCATCGACCCAGCTGCAGTAAGAGGTTCCATTGGAGTCGCAAGCGAGACAGGAGACACAGGGTCAGAATCGAGGGCCAGAGGAAGTACGCTAGCCGTTGGCGCGCCGACCGCACAGGTTCGCCGCGCCGCTGCCCGCGAAGCTGGCTCTTACTTTCTCGAGATTGTCGTGACGCGGAGTCTGTGTTGGCGGCTCGAGTGTTGGTACAGAGTGATGAACTGGATGATGCCGTAGGTTCCGGGCACAAAGGCTTGTTGCTAAAAGAGTTTGGATGCCGCGGCGATAGCACGAGGATCAGATAGGTATGTCTCGGAATGCGCAACAGCACCTCGACCAGCTGGCGTGGCGATCTACTGCCGCTTGCAGGCCACCTCAATCGCACCAAGGCATCGACAGTGTCCCGACTTGTCTCGGTTATGCGATGTCCACATCAGAATACCACCAGAGATCTGGATAGCCCCTTACCTGGTTCGCAACCTCAAAGTAGAGGGCCAGCGAGGTGCTGGGGGTGATCGAGCAGAGCTTCCAACTGCTGGTGCCAGCAATGCCGATCTCGGTCTCACCAACGCAGCCAGATTTTTTCTGTCCAGAAACAGCGGGGCCAATCAAGCCGCTGACTTTGAGCTCCTTCGTTGTCTGCACGCAGAACGAAACGACGTTGGCATTGCGTGCTTTCGAGAGTGATTGCTGCATGGGGGCTAAAGCCCGAATATCACAGAGCAGACGTTGCTCGACAGAGCCGATTCGGACAAGGGCTTGGGCAAATGAAACTGCCTGCACGTGGTGGCCGTCGGTAGTCATCGCTGTATCGCCATACCTGCACATCAAGCGTAGCGTTGAAGCCCATCTGCAGATGGCCTTCGGCATCCTTCTGGAAGAGGCGAAGGAAAGACTGCTTGAAGATCTCGGTGCAAAACGAGTCCGACAAAACCATGTAGCCGTTGGTCTGGGTGCAGAGCGACTTCATTTCCATGAGGCCGATTTGATCCAGGCATCCCGTAAACAGATCGATGACGTAGCCCTTTTCGGAGGCACGCTTCGCCAGGCCCTCGTAAAACTGTGGATCAAAGGGAGAGCTCAGACTCGGCGCACTTCCATAGCCAGAAGACAGGCTCAAAGCGCCGGGATGTGTTCACGGGGAGGACGAGGGTGTCCTTACCTTTGTGGCCTTCTTGCAATGCTTGGCAACGTCCTTCTCAAGGTCGTTATGGGTACGAATGGGCTCGCGGAGCTCAGGTCCGACGATCATACCAGGGCCCTCGGTTGCGGCGCCGCCACAGAAGGTGATGATACGAGCACCTGTGTTGGAGAAGGCGCCCTGGAGCCATCAACAAGTTAGTCACGACGGCGTTGTCGCTGCGACTCTATTCGGGCCTGATGCTGCAAGCATACCTCCAGCAAGCCGACGGCTACAGAGAGAGCGGCACCAGTGCAGCGAAGTGGGCGCTTGTCGCTGTCGACAGGCCAAGGGTCCTGCTGCAGCTGCTCGACGATCGTGGTCAGGGTGAAGTCGCACTGGGAAATCGGCATCAGGAATCTGTCGTATACGTAGTGATGCGATCGGGCGGTGAGACAGACACGAAAGATACTCGGTCGAAACACAACACTGCCCGTTGGGCAAGAACAATCGCGTCGAAAGTCATAGTCTCCTCAAGTCATAAAGCAGCCGATCAGGGCCCAATGCGCTCGCAGTCAGTGCTACCGAGTCGAGTCCGCAAGCTATCGCATATACGGGCCACCCTCGGGCAGATTCCCAGCTAATGCTGGGTCCTAGTGACTCTCAGTCTGAGCCGCCGTATCTATGCTGGCTTTGCCTGGTTGGCGTTGACTCACCGAGAGGCGCCCGAGGGCTGCTGCGGCCCAGGTTGACCAGGACGGACCTGAGCCGCCACGCCAAGGCCGAGCATTTCCTGGATCTGCTTGGCGTTGTACTCCTTGCTGCCGCGGAAGACGTGCGATTTGGGGCAGTCACTGAATCCTAGCTCGTGGACTTGGGTCTGGGAACAGCAGGTCGAGCAGCACAAGGGACAGCACAAAGGCACAGCAGTCGGTCGAGTCAACATCAGAGTATACCTAACGGTGCATTGCGGCACCAACAGCTATCAAGCACGATCCACCGTACGCCAGCCGCGGCTCTGTGACAGGCCAGCAGGACATACCATGGTGCCAAAGGTAATGAGACCGACGATCGCCTCGGGAGGGAGCATGCTCAAGCTGATCAGGAGTGACGCCTTGACACCCTGCAGATCCTCCTCCTCAAGGCAGGTGTCGACCACGAAGAGAAAGATTGGTGGCAGGCTCGGAGGCTTGTTGAGGATGTACTCGATTGTGGTGAAGTTGCGCAAGAGTTCTGCGGGGAGGTTGGTGGGCGAGATGTCCTTGTAATGAGGCGGGAAGGGGTTTCGGTTCAAACAGAAGGGACACACCCAGAACTTTGCACGAAAGTCGACTTGGCTGTAGCGTGTGGCAAGCGCACTCGGCGCCGTTAGAGTCGCGCAGATGGACATGGCAATCACCCCGTCGATGCAATCACGAGACGGGTGGATCTCGAGGAGACAGCTTTAGCGGCGCCAGAGATCGCCAGCAGACCGCGCGGAGCGCATGGAATCCACATGTGCGGTCTGGTCTCCTTCAGGATCAGCCATCGCCGTGAATAGTCGCCTACATTCGAGCGAGTGCAAGCAGGGCTGCATGTCGGAGACGCCTACCAGTAAGGGTTGAGGATGGCCCTGCAGGGTGCCTTGCAAACCACCGGCTCGTACTGGAACGGCGTGTAGTTGGGCCGCTCCTTCAGAGGTGTGTACAGGCAGCCGATGGGGACGACCATGCGGGTGGCCTCCAAGCGGGTGGATGGCCAGACGTTCCAGGAGAGACGGACTCCATCTTGGTCCTGCGGGATTCCAGGGTGTCCATGCAACCGGTTAATGCCAAGGCTCGATCGCAGCGCCGTCGCAGGCAGGTGGGTCTCTTTGCACGGTCCCATGCCGCATCGCTGGTCTTCATAGCCGCATGCATGTGCGTCGTGTAGGGGGTGAGTGGGAGAAAGCCCAGCCGATGCGATCAAGCGGTGTTGGTGGTTGCTCCTTGAGGCTGCTGCCTCGACAATAGAGTGTCGGGAGTGCCAGACCGAACAACCGCACTGTCTTATCGTGCATCGGCATAGCACAGATTCCCAACTGGCGACGCCCTCAGCTTCTCGCAGCGGCCAGCGTCAGAGCGATGGCAGACAAGAGGAAGGCCGACAAGCAGCCGCAATCGAGGGTCGGCACTGACCTCGATCTCGTCGAATGTGCTCATGTTTGATGTCGGTGCAGAGGAGACAGGTGTGTGCTGGGTCCGAGCTTGCTGTCTGGTGGGTTGTTGCTCGGCGGTGTGCTGAGGGACCGGCAGACGCTCGTTGCTCGCTGTGAGATTCTGGCAGATGCCCCTTCAAGCCAGCAAAGCGCAAAACGAGATTCGCAAGAGCGAGGGGCGCGTCACGTGCGCCGCCTTCCCAGGCAAGAGCCAGGCAAGAGCCAGACACAACCGACATCAGAACGAGATACCGCTGGACTGCTGTTGCCTTGGGACAGCTTCAAGTTCCAGAAAAGCCGTGTGCATTCAGCGCGCAGGTGGGCAATGATACGCCGCTGGCCGTGTGACTAACGGCGCTCGCACGATGAAATGGATCTGTACGTGTATTCATGGTCCAAGAAAGCATCGATCCAAGGGCGAAACGACTCGTTTCGCTCTGCGAGCGCTGCAAACACACGGCCAAATGCACAATAAGTCAACACAGATGCGGCTGCCGAGTCTGAACTTGCTTCCGGAATGCTCGTGAGACACACCGCGTTGCTGCCGCATTTCACGCCGCCTGCCGAGCTTGGGACAAGTGCGGGAATGCCCATACGGATGATGCGAGCAGCTGGATTCGATACTGCTATCCAGAGGTGTGGACAGGCAGATGATGCATTGGCATTCTCGGAGTGGCCGTCTAGTCACCCATCAAGTCTTGGAGACACTTGAAGAGCGCAGGACACTTCGCTGGTTCGACAGGCTCGGCGACATGCGGTCCATGATTCGGTCAAGCTCGTCAAAGCGCTGGCTTTTCAGATCAGTGGGACTGACGGCATCCTGGTTCTGCATTCGGCGCTCGCTCATACGATCGAGCTTGCCAAAGACACTCGTGACAAACATCTCCATTTGCTTCTTGGAGGACACCACGTAACGCTGGTCCTCCATTTGCTTTGTGGACTTTGCCAGGTCGCCATTGAGCCTGGCGAGGTCCTCCAGGAGCTTGGTTTCGGGACTAATCCAGTCCTGTCGGTGGTGATGAGAAAGAGCTCGGTCAGCGTGGCACCGTGTGGGTCCTGGTGTCAGCACGGATGGTGCGGGCTATTTCACAGGGTCCTCGCTGCAAGTCCGTTCCACTGGTCGGACCACTGACCGATTTTACAGCCTATCTCATAGCGAGCTCCCCCCCCCCACCACCTCCCTCTCTCGGCCAAGGCTGTCTTCATTCACCTGGTTTGTAAAGCGTGAGCGGCTCTGCCGTTCGACGACGCCACTTAGACGGCCGAGTTCAAGCTTCTGTTGGAATGCTGGAGTAGTCTCGGCTCGCTGCGAAGACATTCTGCGCTGCCCAGACTTTGTGATCTGGTCAATCAGGATGTTCAGAGCCGTGGTGCCCTTGCCCGTGGGCGAGAAGACGCCGCGCTGATCGTCATAATGGACTCTGTTCTTGACCAGCTTCTCGATCAGCGCAGCCAAGGCCGCGGCCGACATGATGCGCTCCTTCTCGGGAGTGAGATAGACGGTCTGGTTGACGAGACGAGGAGCCACGGCCACCAGTCTATCGATGACATTGAGGATCCTGTCAAGCTCGTCCGGGCGGGTCCGCGAACTTTTAGTGGCCTTGGTCTCAAGCACGGAGGCCTGGTCTTGCGAGGGGCCCTGGACTTGCGAGGCCCGGAGTGCCTCCTCGTAGGTTGGTGGCTCGGCGCTGCTGGAGCGAATGTGGCCCACGTTCTGGACGTGCAGCATCAGGACGTCGATTTCTTCCCACAGGCTCTGAATGGCGGCGGGGTACCTGGAAATGTCGATTTTGTGGCGGACGGCCTGTGCATTCGAGACCCTCAGGGCAAGGTCTTCGAGTTGGCTGTTTTGACTCGGATCGGGCGTTTCGGCCAGCATCAGCGATGTTAGCGAGCGTGAGGGCCCAGACACGGCATTGGGTGCTGAAATCAGCCGAGTGGTGTCGCCAATGACCTGAAACGACTCGTGGCTGACCGACTCTTGGTACTCGAGGATCTGGTAGATGCAGTTGCAGAGTGCCGCGAGAGCCAGGGCAAGATGGTGGTCCTTGGCGAGGTCGGACGACGACGGCATCTTGGTGATGTCGATCGATAGTGTCAAGCGTGGAGAGGCAACACCACTCCGGATTGGTACCCCGAGGCCACCGGCGTTGGCGACAACGTCGGCCTCGCTGCTCTTGGGCCGGTCGCCCATGCCCTGGGTCAAGGCTGCGACGAGCAGACCGCCGGTATTTTCGACCTGGCTGGCCTGTTTGGCGATGTAGTCCATGGAGGTGGACGGGTGGTTAGCTCTTGGAGATGCGCTGGTCGAGGGCCGATCGTGAAGCCCGACCGATGGACGACCAGAGACCGGGCTCGAAACCGATTGCTCCTGCAGCATGCGGCGAACAAGGGTGTTCAGGGCAAAGAGCGACGAGCGCTTCAAGTCGTTGAGGAACAAGGTGATTTCTTCCTGTGAGCAGAAGTAGCAGCAGCAATAGCAGCAACAGCAGCAGAAAATGTCCGAGACATGAGAATCGTCGCATATTCGAGCCAGCTAACAGCGCACCCTGGTCAATCGCAACCGGGCGAGCCATCCCGGGCTTTCTGGACATGCAAAATGGATGCAAAATGGACATGCAAGGGTGCCTCAGCGAGCAGCGGCCTGGAGGAGGGGTGATCCCACCTCGGTTGCATCCTCCCCGATGAGACGAGTCTTTCCCGGTGAGTAACGGAAATGCAGAATTGTTGAAGCCAGCCGAGACAGACAGCATTTCGATGTTAGTTGCGGCATCCCACCCGACGAAATGGCATGCTCACATACAGTGAGCAGCGTTACCTGGCTTTGTCTTTCTGGGCTCGCCATTGGGTCTTGAATGCCGATTGCGGTTGATACTGGACGAGGCGATGGAGTAGGGGTACGCAGGAAGCGATGGAGCCGGGTTATAGGGGGAGGCCGCAAGAAGCAATGTTGATGACAACAGTCACACTGGCGCCGGTATCGTGATGTGCTGATTTGTTATGCTCAACGGCTTTCGGAGCAGGAGCGTCCCAGTCGAGGATATCTGCTGAACGGCGATTCTCTCCGGGAAGCTCGGCTGGAGACCGGAAAGCGGCGGAAAGCGACGGGAAAGCGACGGGAAGATGCAGCTCGGCGTGGGCCGAAGGTTAATGCGGAAGCTGCGGACGAGACAGGGCGACGGACCAGGGCCTCGATGAGCCGGGGGGGGGGCAGAGATGGAAGGTGAGCGGACGCTGCTGGTGTTGGTCTGTCAGGAGCGGACAGGGGTGCAGCCGGCGGGTTGTGTGTCGTCTTTGAACCCTGGGACGACCGAGATACGAAAGTGAACCGCTCCGACTCGTCCCGGCCCCGGCCCCCCAGCGACTGCCAATCAGTCGCCCGGTGTAATAATGGCAGGAATCCGTGGGCACAATCGGGAAGCAGCACCCTCGGAAGTCTGCCCGGAATGCCGCAGAGCCGTGGGACGGGGCTGGCGGTGTCGCCGATACTCCTCGGCATCCAAGCGGACGGACAGCAAGCCGACGATCAGTGTAGGACAGCAACAACAATCAACAGTGGGCCAACAATCAGCAACGAAGGCGGTATCGGCCGGTTGGCATGTCAGGGAATGGCGCTCTTCACAGAAAAGTCATCTGGCTCAACGGGAGGATCTTGGCTGCAAAGCAGAAGCAGCATTCTCTATTCACCGAGGATTCAGCCGACAGCCAGAAGCCGGGAGCAAAGCCAGCATCAATCTATCCAGACCAGATGAGCACACCCTGTGTCGCCGCTGTCCGGATACGAGGGATCAAAGAGAGCTCAGCGCTGCTCAGCGGGAGTATACCGAGTCAAAGTTGACATAGATGTTGGAGCTTGAAAACTTGGCAATGTGCGCCTCCAGGTTCTTGAGCTGCTGCTCCATGTTGACTTTTCTGTGCGCCAAAATGAAATGACCCGCAGGAAGCGGAGGAAAGACCGGGGCAAGACTATCAGCGATCGCAGGCGGGGAAGATGCAGGATGCAAACGGGATCAAACAGCCTGGCTCCCCTCCTCAAGTAATGCCAGCCAGTTCCCACCGACACAACCGACCTGGCGATCTTGGGAACAGTGTCGACCGTCAGACTAAGCTTCTGGTAGTCCGAGTTGAGTTTCTCCCAGTTCAGCTTCAGGCCCTCGAGAATCTTGAGACGCTCTTCGTCGGGCAGCGGCACGACTCCGCCGCCGTTGGCCTGCTGGTACTGGTGGAGTTGCTGCTGCCCCTGCTGCTTCTGCAGCTCGAGCTCCTCCTCTTCGAGCTGCCGTTGTCGAATGGATTCCTGCTCCTTCTTTCGGTCGACCAAGTAGTTCGGCACACGGCCATAGTCCTTTTTGCTCTTATAGCTCGGTGGGGTGATATGGTTCTTCTTAGCGTCTGACGAGGACATGGTCAAGAGAGGATGCCCGAAGCGATGAGCACCATGCAAACTGGGCAGTGCTCGCGGGCGAGCGGTCTCGTAATCCAGCATGCAGATAGCCACATGTGCAGATCGTTGCTCGCTCGAATTCAAGGACAAGAGGCGGGGGGGGGGATTTGCTACCTGAATTGATGTTTTCCAAGGCGTTTTGGACGACAAAGTTCTTGCTTGTGGGGGTTGCTAACTTGCCGGCCTCGTCGGGAAGGGGCGCCTTGCGGATCATGCGGTCGGGTTGATAGACCTTGGCTGCGATGGATGCGATGGATGTGATGGATGTGATGGATGCGATGGATGCGATGGGTTCATTCTATGTGTGAGCTTGTTGCTTGTGTGCCGAGATACATTCGCATGCGTACCCAGAGCCGTCCTCGCCCTGTTTCCAGGCTTCCTCCGTATGATATGAACCGCTCATGCCTGTTACCTGGATTATTGTGCTTCTCGCGCTCGCCCTTTCTCAGATAATCCCTGGGGTCGTTCACGCCAACCTTGGCCGGGCCCATGGATGCGGAGGCCTTGAGGCCGTTCCAGTACTCCTTGCGGGCCTGCGACGCAAACTTGCTGCGGTACATATCCTGCTTTGGCGGCGGCTCGTACTCGACCGGAATAAGCCCATAGACAGATTCTTCGAAGGGATCCGGGGGTACGGGATGGGTCGTGATGATGGTGTTGGGGCGGTCAGCGCCAGAGTCGCTCATGGTTGTCTGTTGTCGAGGGTGAGAGAAGGACGAGTCAGTCAGTCGCGGCTCTGGCTTGGGTGAGACTGGTCTCTTGCCCGGGTGAGCGAGCATATCTCCGCTGCTTGACGCATCGCCTCGCAGCTTCGTTGAGCGTGCTCTGGTCTGGCTCTCTCGTCTTCTACCGAATCCGCTGCATCGGTAGCGGCGGCGAGGCAAGTACCGGACGCGTGATACTTGACGGGGAACAGCGGGGTGAAGGACGAGACTGCCGAGTCTGAATGAGGCGAGTGCCTGGCGCAGGAGGGCGAAGGAGAGGGAGAGAGGGAGGGAGGGAGGGAAGAAGGTACCTGCGGATGGAGCTCGAAGCGATTGGACTCGGCAAGAGGAGGGACGGCAAGTGCAGCAATGTTGGATGTGTGCTGCTTGGGACCGGCTTGGGACCGGCGGGCCACCTCCACTGAGTGTTAAGGAATCTGGTCATTGCGGCCCCGACAAGTGCTGCCTATCGGCGATGATTGGTAGATGAGTGACATCAGCCAGTCGCCGGGAGGCCAAGCAGACATTCGACCGCCACCACCGACCCTGGGCAAGAGTATGCGGCGGGAGCGCCATGCCAAAGGGCTCTTGCTGGCGAGAATGACATGCGAAGGAGAGTCGGGCAAAGCGATGAAGTAACCTGGTCGGACCATGAACGCCTTGGTCCTGCCTCCCGAGCTGGCCTCGCTCCCCGCCAAATGATGCTGGCTTGACCAATCATCCCAATCGGAATGCATCGAATGTCATCCAACCCAGATGTGCAGCCAGTGTACGAGCTGCGCAGAGGCTGTCCCTGGGGCGATGTTCCAGATGCAGGCGAATGTTTGGATTACTCCATTTCCAAACCGAAGCAAGGGCCGCAAACAACAGCGGATACGCCGAGATGTAAAGGCGGAGTCGACGCCCCTCTGCTCAGGAGCCATCGAGTCCGCTCGTTCTTGTCCTCCAGTACCAGTGTCAGTGCCATCCATCAGCCCCGTCTCTCACATCCATTTCGCATCCATAACCACTGCGCTTGATTCGCCTCCAACCATGAAGTCTTTGTCTATCGGCGCCGTCCTTCTCCTGGCCTTTGTCGGAAGCGTTTTGGGATCGCTCTTTGGCTTCGGCTCGTCCTCGCTCATCCACCACGGGACCAGCGGCGTTGGCATCAAGGCCTCATCGGGACTGAGTGTCGCCCCGGCGAACCGACTGTGTGAGTCACGATCCTATGGGATGTCTCTGACGATTCCACCACTGTCCATAGCTGCCAGCAGGTATCGCTATCTGGCACTAACATCCAAGCCTTCAATCAACGCTGCCAGACATCCAACCCCGACTGCAGAAGCATCTCCACACGCACGACAAAACGACCCTCCAGGTGTCCACCAACCTGGCCGGCAATCTCCCGCTGCGAGTGACCTTTGACAGCTACAATCAATCGTGGGTCGCGGGCACGTTCAAGGCCCGACAGCTCCAGAACGGCGTCCCGGTGCGGGTTCCCATCGGCCGAGGCATCTTTGACGTCACTGTCCATCCGATTTCGAAGGTGGGTCTGCCGGACGGCTGGGTTGGATCTGACCCTGTGCTTGTGGTTGTCACAACTATCGCCGATAAGGCTGTGCGTGTGACAACTCTTTCATCCACAGCAGTACCTGCGATGCGACACACTGACCATCCCCATGCACCGGTCTGTAGGTCCTCTCCGCCAAGGGAAACAAGTGTGCCTACATCAATGTCGAGGGCCACCAGACCATTGTTGTCGAATGAGTGAGTCCCACCATGTCTATATGTCTGGCGAATGTGCATTTCAGGACGACGAATACACAAGTGATGATGAGTCAATGGGAGCGCATTGTCGAACACCGTTCAATCGTAACAGGATCCTCGGGTGTGCGGACGCCTCTCTTATTTTGATCTCTCTTTCTTCCGCGAAAGAGCAGCGAGCAGCAAAATCGATATCGCTGCTCGGTTTGGGTTGGAGCAGTATGGGACATGCCAATAAATATGTGGAGCGATGCAGAGCGAGTATAGAACAGGATGGTAGGGGGGTGAGGAGAGGTGCTGGGCGGTACGGATGATGAAGGGCGGTACGAATGACGGAGAAGCGGGCTGCAGTGTTGGTGGCGAAGGAGAGAGTCGGAGCGTGAGCAGTGACAATAAAGTGAACTTCGACCTGGCCCAGAACCAAGCTTTACAAAACAACGGAGTAACAAAACGCAATTAACCCCGATCTTGGAAGTACTCGAGTGCGTGGGCAGGCGGGGAGACTATCGTTGCTTGAGCAGGCGCCTGTATCGACGAGACGAGCTCCGCGAAAGCCAGTACTTGATGACGGTCGGGAGCGAGAGGCCGGTCTTTTTGACAAAATGGAGACACCACACAACCAGCAGCGCACTCTCGACCACCGTCCAGAGCGAAACAGTGTCCTTCAGGAACCAGCTGCTCCAGAGCGAGCTGTCGAGCAGGCTCGACAGTGCCTGGGCAGCGGGGCTTTGATGGACCAGATCGGTGGTGCGGCGACGGACAAACTCGATGAGCCTGGAAAAACTTGGGAGATGGACGCTGACATTATGGAACAGGATCCGCGCCAGGAACCTGACGAGACCAGGGCGAGGGCGAGGGGCCGAGCTTGAGGTTTCGTTGCCGGAGGAAGAGGTCAGGCTTCCGAGTCGAGTCACCGTGAGGGAGGCGGGCGGTATGTCGGGTCGATGGAGGGGGACGCGCAGGGCGGTTGATTCGGGTTGAGCAGCACCAAAGGGAGAGAGCACACGCGGTGAGGAGATGATTAAAAGTGGATCGAGGGGATGGGGCAGACCAATAGGAACTAGACCCATTGGGAACAGACCCACTGGGGACAGACCCGTTGGGAACAGACCCATTGGGAGCAGCACAAGCATACAGAATGATCTGTCATGGGCGCACGAGCGCGAAATGCATCCAGAGGCTGTGTCTGCAACCCAAACGGTTGCCAACGCAAGCAACCCGACGGACGAGCAAGCCAGACTGATGCGCATCACAGGCTGGGTGCATGAGCGACCATGCGTCGAGGCCGCATCCAACAGGCCCGTGCATGACCGGTCCTGGTCTTGGCAGCACGCGCGGACACACAGAGCGACTTACTTGTCCGAGGGGAGCGGCTCTGATGCTGGAGGCTGGGCAGCAGACATGCGTTCCGGCTCGACTTTCCGGGCTGGGATGGCGGTGTCGTTAAAGGCCGATGCCAGCCAGCTCATCGAATGGAGATACCGTCGTAGTCGCGGGATCGAAGAGCGACGAGCAGGCGACTCGTCCAGGCTGGCACTCGCCAGGGGTTGCGGCAGAGGACTTGACCAAGCACGGTGATGGTGCCTGGGTGCGGGTGGCGAGGTATTCGAGTTTCGGCGAGTGACACTCAGTGAGGCCGAAGCCGACCTCCGCAGAACAGGGATCCGCGAAGGCACTTCCCGGGTACTTGGTGCTGACGGCTTGGGCCTCGGCAGGCCGCGAGCACCAACAGCCCGTAGCAGTGATGTCGAGACGGGGAGTTTGGTTGCGGCGAGCGAATGCAAACACGGCAGACTCTGGTACTGAAGCAGCGGCGGTGCGGCAAGCATGGGTGGTGGCGAGCGACTTGGGCCTGCGATGCCGGGCGACGGAGGCAGCCGGTTTGCAGAACGAGGCAGACGAGGACTTGGAATCGGCGGATGAGGCCGGGCCGAGTAGTGGTTGCAGCACTTTGACGCGCCCTTTGGAGAGGGAGGGGTGGTGCTGCGTCGGCTGGGAACGGGCGACCTGCGCGGCGAACCGATGGTGGAGGGCGGAGATGGGATACGGGGCCGCTGGGAGGTGGTCGATGAGCGTTTGGATGAGACCGAGGTGCGACCCGATGAAGGGGGAAGGGGTGGCGGGATGGGGCTGGGCATGGAACAGGATGGCCAGGACGGTTCAGGGCAGTCGAGCAGGAGGCCGGAGGGACCGGCGACGGAAGCGAGCGCGGAAGCAACTCGGGGGATGCAGGAGCTTATCGAGGGAGGGAAGGGGGAGCTGTTCAGAGCAGCAGCAGCAAGAGCAGCAGCAAGAGCCAAGGGAATCCGAGTGGGAAGCAGCGACGAGGGCAGAGGGGAACCGCGAATACGAACTGCAACCGCAAAGGCAAATGGCAAATCACGAATGCAAAAACGCAGACATGAGGGCAGCGCCAATCAGCGTGCTGCTGGCCGGCAGAGCCGTTCTGCCGAACAAGGCGACACCGCGCCAGAGTCGCTGTGTGTGGGGCTTGCACGTGCGCGTGACCCAGGGTGCCGCCGCACACATGACCGGCTGCGCACGAGCCGCCCCGGCTTTGGCTGCGCGCGGCTCGAGCGAAAACGCGGCGGATCTGGTTGCTGGTCCTTGATCAAGTTCGACCAAGTTCGGTCAGGCTCGGTCTGGATTCACTGGATTCGCTGGATACGTCTGGATTCACTGGATTCACTGGGCTCTCTGGATACGTCTGGGTTACATTGGACCACATCATCAGCGCCACAAAGTCGACTGGCCACATTCCGCTGGAATACTGACCCTCGTTCCATCAAACTCCATCTCTGGCAACGCTCATGGCTCCGACACCGATCTCAGTTGTTCGCCTGTCGTCCCGGCCGCTCGTTCACACCGCGACCGCCCGGCGCGGCCTCGCCGATGTGCCGGTGAAGGCCAAGGCTGCCCCTCGATTCGGCAAAGTGACCCTCTCCGGCATTCAGCCGACGGGCATCCCGCACCTCGGCAACTATCTCGGCGCCCTCCAGAACTGGGCCCGCATCCAGCACGACAAGACCGATCCCGACCAGCGATATTTCTACATGGCAGCCGATCTGCATGCCATCACGGTCCCGCAGAACCCAAAGGATCTCCACCGCCAAATCGAGGATGCCATGATTGCCATCCTGGCCTGCGGAATCGATCCAAAAAAGTCGGTTCTGTTCCAGCAGTCGATGGTATGCTGAGACTCGTCTGTGGCTCTACCGAAAGCCCCGGCCCTGCTGGAGTGTCTGTCCATGGTCGCCAGATTGGCTGGACTTGCCAGCAGCATCATGGCGGTCTCGAGCACAGGCACACAAAGTCCCAACAGCACGCCGGTGTGCGAGGATAGGGCAATCCCCAGCTCCGTCATGTTCATCGTCCCAACTCGATTGCTCCGCCACGCAGATCCCACAGCACTCGGAGCTCGCCTGGATCATGTTCTGCCGAACGCCGGTTGGATGGTTGAGCCGCATGCATCAGTGGAAGGTAGCTGCTCTGGTGGAGTCGCCTGCAGTAGAGCATACCCCGTCTCGATCCGTCCTTTCAGTCCACCGTCGCAGCTTGGGGATGAATCCACAAATACTTACTTCCCCCTCGAACCACAAATGATCCTCAACGCCACAGTCCAAGCTCCAGGCTCTCCAGAAGGCATCGGGCTCGGCATCCCAGTCGCTCGCGGCGACAACGCTGTCGCTGGATGCTGTGGCTCCGACGAGCGGCGACGGTCCTGACCCCACTCAAGGGCTCTGTGTCGGATTATTCGCTTATCCGGTCCTGCAAGCGGCCGACATCCTGCTGTACAAGTATGGGTCGTGAGCAGGAGCGCGGGGCATTCGTGCTGCGTCATACTGCTGTGCAAATTCCATTGCCAGCATCGACGTAATCGATTGAAGCGACCAGAAGAGCGAGACTATGCTTGCTCGGATTTGCCATTTCTGCTGCGATCTGTGCTGTGCATGCGACTCATGCTACTGCTTTTGCGGCCTGTTTGGCTCCGGCCACTTGTAACTCCAGGGCCACCGAAGTGCCGGTTGGCGAGGATCAGGTGCAGCATCTGGAGCTGACCGCAGAGATTGCCCGTATCTTCAACAACAGCGCCAAGAAGGATCTGTTCCCGATCCCCAAGGCAGTGCTGCGTAAGTGAGTCGGCCGATGGTCGAGCAGATAGGCTGTGGGATGGGCCGCGGCTGATCGGGAATGGTATGCGAGCGACTCTTATCCGTGGACGGCTTGTGTTCTGTCGCCAAAGTGCCTGACTTGCGTCGTCTGCTTTGATTGCAACGCTGGACCATGACTTGCCGTGGATGATACCATCCCCCAACTGGGACGATATTCTCCTCCCTTGGCCTTCGATTGGCGGCCTGCATCCAGCAACGGCCGGCGCCAAGCGCATCATGTCTCTCAAGGACCCGCACTCCAAGATGTCAAAGTCCGATCCCAACGCCGGCTCGCGCATCAACATTGACGACACCCCCGAGCAAATCAGCAGCAAGATCAAGAAGGCCACTGTGGACTCGATCCGCGGCATCACCTACGACCCGGCAGGCCGTCCTGGGATTGCCAATTTGCTGAGCATCTACTGCTCGCTCCATCCGACCGAAACCGATCCGGTCGCCGTCGCCGAGCAGTTCCAGAGCCTGGGCAACGCCGAGTTCAAGAAAGCCGTGGCGGACGTGGTGATTGAATCCCTGACTCCGGTGCGAAACGAGATCGCACGGCTCCGGCACGATCGGACATTGCTGCACGAGCTGCTGCGGGAGGGTAACCAGGCAGCGACGGCAACGGCCGAGCGGACACTGACCGAGGTCAAGCGATCGGTCGGGCTGCTGCCGTGAGCGCAGATTACGCAACCGGCCGTCATGGAGAATCATGATGATCGGACAGGCAGGCGGGGCCTGGCGGAGCAGCGGAGCAGCGGGCCGGCCAAGTTCGGCCCGGCTGGGATCGTCCGAAGGCTTCACGGCAACCTGCGGAGTGGAGCAGAGAGGAAGGCGAGTGCGGGCCCCGTCGCCAGCCGCGCGGGAATGCTGCCCAGCAACGAAGCACACGGACGAATATATCTGGTCTGCCTGCCTTGAGCCCTCGCGACGACTGTTGGCTGCAAGCTGGGGTCTGGCGGGGTGGGTCGGCAAACAGAGCCGCCGTAACGCGGGCCAATGGGCAGCTGTGCAAGGGCTGGCGCGGGCGGCCAGCAAGGGGACCAGGGCGCGCACTCCTCGCCGGCATCTCGCCGGTCTCTCGCCGGCCTCTCGCTGTCCATGCGGTGCCCCCGACACAGACGCGGCGTGGCTCTTGTCTGTGTGGCCGTCGCTGCTGTCCCTGGTCGAACCTCTAACCTGGCTTGAGGGAGCGGCCTCATTCATCCGTCCAGCAGCGCCGAACCCGAGCGGCGGTGGTCAGCAGCAGCCAGCGCACCAGGCGACAGAGCCGGACGCAGAGAGTATCGGGAACCGGCATCGATCTGTCCCGCGCTTCTCTCGCCGCGAGCGATCGCCTCCCAGACCGGTCCCAGCCGGCGCCTGCCCTTTGATCGACGACATGCCCCCCAGGCAGCGAGAGACGAGAAGCGCCGGCGCTGCTGGTTGGATGCATCGCGGAAGGCAGCCCGCCGGCCGGTGGCGGGGAGATGACTTGGCTCTGACTCACCCCCCACAAACAGCAGCCCACACTCTGAGTGCATGCAGCCACGTGATAAGAGCCACAAGGCTGCACGCGCAGTACACGGGCGGGCACAGCGGCGCACAGAGCCGACTGTGGTCCCAGGGCAAACTGCCCCAAGCGCCGGTGCACTCCCAGGGTGACGCACCCACAGCTCCCGTGATACGCGGGTGAGTCATTCTCACGAACCGCTCTCTGGGTGGCCCGACGGCCGGCCTCGGGGTCGCCCTCGGGGTCGCCGAGAGCATTCTCCCAAGACAGGTCCAACAGAGCTTCTGTCCCGCCGAGGTCCTCTCGCCCAGCGCTGGCTCTGTTGGCCCCGGCGTTCTCGCGAGAATCATCGCCCTTCTCTGGCCGACAACCGCGAATCTGCTGGCCTGCTTTTGCCTGCAGGCTGAAACTTGCTGCCGAGCTTTTATGCCGTAGGCGCCTCGTTGCACCGCCTTTGGCGCACTCTCGCTGCTGCTCTCGCTCGCTCGCTCTCTCGCTCTGCCTGCACCGTCACCGTAACCCATCGCCATCCCCGTGGCAGACAAAAGGTCGTCTGGTGCCTGCGAAGGTCGCAAATTTACTTCCGCTGCTTTTTTTCCTCCTCGAGGGACTTGGCCCTCCCGCACCTCTGCGTTCCTCCACTCTGCTCTACTCTGTTCTACTCTGCTCTACTCTGCTCTGTCGACCCCATCCCCACTCTTTGCCTTCCAGCTTGGGTCTACGCGAGCGTTTCTTCGTCCCTGCCGCCGCTGTGCCTCCGCTTTGTACTGCCATAGCTTCCTAGCGACTTGCTCGTCATCATCGCTTTCCAGCCGACCTGCTCGTCATCATTGCACACTCATTATTCAATGAGCGCTGCTTCCTGTCGTAGTACCTTTGCTGTCTCGTCGCTTTTGTTTTATCAGTAGCAGCCTGTTTCTCTGGACACTCCGTTGAACCACTTGTGTCTGTTTCGCTGACCATCCCACCCAGCCCCACTCCACAACTCTGTCGGTCGCCTCCGCGCTTTACTGCCTTTGGGGGGCCCAAGTCACATCACCTTCCAGTACTCGCAAACCATCTCCCCGGAGAGGTTTCGCCACATCTGTAATTATCTGCTCTGTTCTGGCCATTTGCGTTTCCGCATTTGTTGCCTTTGTGTTTCGTCTCTAGTGATTGTAACCATTTATTGCTGGGGAAGGGTTGGCTGCCGTCGTTTTGTGGCCCGAGCCATCAATTTGGATCACGCATCCGATCCCCGCAGTGATCACTTGTCATTCCACCAGCAGCCTCTCTGCCGGTCCTCTGTCACTCTCTCATTTGCCCCAAGCCCGTTTCATTCAAAACTGCCAAACGCCTGTTCATCGACAGAGCACAACTCAGATCCATCTTGCCGGCTCCAACTGGACCTGGAACCCAGAACGTTTACAATCATACTTCCTGCTTCACCCCCCGAGCGTTTGACCCACCCAACTGCTCCCCAGCTTGCTCCCATCTACTCTTTGGCCTGTATGTCATCAGATTCGTTTGCTCCGTCGTCGTCCCCTCCCTTTGCTTCGTCTCATGATCGCCGCTGCTCCTCGCCTCCGCCGCCTCCTGCCCTTGTGTCGGGCCGGCCCTATCATGATCTGCCCAACACACTTCCGCCGCTGCATTTGTGCAATCCCTTCAAGAAGCACTTTCCCCCGGCCTCCCCGCGATTTCACAGCATGCAGAAGCCCCAGTCTGGCGGTGATCCTTTCTTTGTAAACCGCAGCTACGAGCTGGTGCCGAGGCCGCCGAGCTGGGACGATCCCCTCATATCCCACGATCTGTTCCATCTGCACCAAGATCCCGCAAAACCTGAGCACCGCGCTGGCCCACGCGAAGACGAGTACGAGCACGCCCTGATTCTGGCGCGGATGGCCTCCAATCCGGTCGATGCTGCACTCCCGTCCTCGTTTCCACTCGCCCAGGTGTCAGTAATGAGCCTGGGCTGCTCAAGCTCGATGCCGCCGGGTGGGATTCCCAGCAAATCGCCTGCAGACACTCTCTCGGCCAGCCAAAGCGTCCATAGCGGCCGCTCCTCCGATTCGGCACCAAGATCGTCCCACAGCCCCACAGAAGCTCCTGTCGTCCCAGGCGGCCAGGGTGCGCTGAACATGACCCAGTCCCAGCCCGCGGCTCCGTCGAAAGGCAGTCACTCGACACGGAGAGCGCCCAGATCAACCCGGGACAGCTCAAGTCCAACCGATGCCAATCCGCCTCTGCCTTCCTCCTCCTCGAATCGCATGTCCGTCGACCTCAAGTCTGTCTCGGTCGAGATGACTGGCCCGGCCGCAGCGCTGAGCGGCCGCTTCTCCAGCTCTTCTGCATCACCGCCTCCACCGGCAACAACAGCTGGGGACCGCAACCACCTGAAGCGGATAAAGAACACCGAGTCCGCACGCCGATCGCGGCTGAAGAAGGCACAGAAAATCGAAGGGCTGCATACATCGATTTCGCACTTCAGCAAGGAGAATACGCAGCTGGTCACCCGGATCGCCACCCTCGAGAGTGAAAAGAATGCTTGGCAGGATCGAGAGCCCGAGCTCAAGCTGCAGATCAACGAACTGGAAAGGCGACTCGAGACGCTGAGGGGCATCATCATCGGCAAACTGGCATCGCGCTCAGGACCGGCCCCTGCACCTGCCTCCAAATCGTCGACCTCGCTGGGCACCCTGCAGCTGCTGCTCAAGGTCGAGAGCACCATGGAGGAGCAGCAATAACCGCTCGGCCGTCGTCACTACGCCAGCGCCAGGGTGACCCAGTCAGCAAGCGGCACGATATTTTTTGTCGAGTGTCGATGAACTGCGTCATCTTGGGAAGTTGCAGCGCCATTGCGAGTCGCTGACACTCACCGTTCGCACCCTCGTCTCCATATCCCCAGGCGCACTTCCCTTGCAGCTTCCGGCACATGTTTATTTGCTCTCTCTCTCTCTCTCTCTCTCTCTCTCTCTCTCTCTCTCTCTCTCTCTCTTTTTGGGTTTCATCAGCGACATATCAGTCTGCTTCAATCTGAGATGATGGATGGCAGAACTTGATGCGTTGCTTTCGTGAGCGAGTGGGCTTGCCAAGAGGATAGAAACTCGTCACTCTGTTGTCATCTCCGAGTGTCGGCAGCTGCTCCCTTATTCACATCCTTGGGGGCCTCTCTTGCCCCATTCGTTGCTCCCATGATCTGTTCCTACTCTCCTTTACTGATCCCTTGTTTGGCCTATCCCTCCTCGCTCCCTCCGTTTGTCGCCCTCCCTCTCCGTTTCTCTCACTCCGCCACCCTTTCAAATGAGTTTATGGCTCGTCAGAGCAACGTGCCACTTCCTGCTCTCCCTACCAAAGCGGCTGACTCCTTCCGCAAGACCGAAATGCACTCCAATATGCCTGTGATTCTTCCTCGCTCCATTCTGCCCACAGTCCTGCTTGTATGCGGCCCTCCCAATCTGTCGCCGAAGAGGGAAAGGCAGTGGCAGGCTATACCAACGAAACAGATCTGGAGATTGCTTGTCCGCCCTTGAGCGCACCACTTGTGTTCACCATCCATGAACTATGGATCGCAAGGGGACCAAGTCAACTGACTGGTGGGGACGAGCAGCGAGCCATTGGTGCCATGTGGAGAGGAGCGGATGGTGCTGCCGAGTCAGATGCACAGAGGCCCACACCACTCAGAGCCGGCCAGAGTGCGAGCGATCGAGGTGAGGGTGCAAAGGCGGAGGGGAGGGAGAAAGCGAGAGCGGCGGGACCGTGGGAAACGGCGTGGGACCAGGCCGCCGACAAGACACCGTGACGCAACCATGACATGGCGAGCTCGAACCCTCCGACCTCCAGACGACGCGCAGATCAGTCGTGCTCTTTGCCGCGAGGGATACTCGGCCAGAGATCAAAGGGGTGGCGGGGGGGCCGGATGGCTGACACGATCGATCCGTCTGGAGCGAGGGGGCAAAGGGGAAGGCGGCCCACAGCCGTTTCAGTCGGCAAAGCCGGAGCGAATGTCTGCTCCGGCCCTATGCCGGCAAAGAATGCCCGTATGGGACAGCAGACCGCCACGTCAGAGGCCATCGATCATCTCTGACTCAGAGGAGCGTGGAGGGCCCTTGATTGAGCAGCAGCCTGGCAGACAGGCAGGCGGGCTGAGGCAGACAGACGAGTGCTGGCTTGGCCACGGGGTGGATCGGCGGTGCATCCTGTGTCAGAGGGAGCAAACAAATGCATGGGCAACTGGTCGAGTGGATGAGCGTAAGGGTGGGGGAGGACGACGGCAGGCAAAACGGAACGCATGCGGGATGCGAATCCGTTGTCGTTCGTCGCCGTCGCCGCAGTGCATGCTCAAGTGCGCTTGCCCCGCGCTGGATATGGCCCGGCTCTGAATCGAGATGCATGAATGCGTACATAGACTCTCGCGGTAGCATCTGCGATTTGAGTCGATGATGTCTTTGCTCCTCCAAGCAACAGATGCGACGCACGCTGCCACAGTGGATGCAGGCGATTCGGTCGATGCAGCTGAGGCATCCCAGTACTTCGTCGTTCCCACCAGCGACATTGGCACGGCCAGGTGGAAGCCGATCACCACCCATAGGGTCGATTTTGTGCACTCGATTCCGTGACGCTCAAGAATGAGCCGCCAACTACCTGCGGCGATAGCAGTGGAGATAGCAGTGGCAATATCAGTGCCGACGATGAACTTATGAGCGGCCGATAGAATGCATGAGATGCGGTATGCGAGTGGGGGCTGCGTTGCTGATCCGCTGTCCCTCCAGACATGACCGCCCACAGGCCCAGCTCGCACGCACGACGTGAGATGCCACTAACACTCTCGGGCAACAAGCCCAGCGCTTCTCGATGCGCACCATGTCGCTGGTGCTGGTCAGCCGCGAGGAACTCGGATGATCTGGTGCTGTGTCCCTCCTGCCACAACGCGCTCGATTTCATTTTCAGGTGCAATCTGGGTGCGGTCGAGCAATCCTTTGCCTCCTTCGCTGCTGCCTCTGCTGCCTCTGCTGCCTCTGCTGCCTCTGCTGCCTCTGCTGCCTCTGCTGCCTCTGCTGCCTCTGCTGCCTCTGCTGCCTCTGCTGCCTCTGCTGCCTCTGCTGCCTCTGCTGCCTCTGCTGCCTCTGCTGCCTCTGCTGCCTCTGCTGCCTCGCTCGTCGCTGGACCGATATCTAGGATTGGCCTCATCGTGCCGCTCAGGGCTGCGCCCATATCTGCAAGTAGCTCCATCCAGGCAAGCAGTCATCTAACCAAGCCTCCGGCCAAGCAAGCAGTCTTCACCTGGGCAAAGCATCGATGGCGATCTGTTTCTGATTTCTGTCTTGTCCACTCGCAGTGTTCGCCTGGTCTTTTCTGGAAGAAGTTTCGCCAATCCGACTGGCTGTCGCCCGCTCGACCTCGTCAGTCCCACCCGATCCTTGCCCTCCACCTCCTTCGGTCGATCCCAAATGTCCTCGTCTCCTGTCGCATCCATCTCCTCAGCGCTCAAGAACATGGGCTGGCTCGGCGCCATTCTCTCACTCCCAGCGGCCGTTGTCCTCTGGATCATTGTCCGCTCTCCCTTGGCCAGGCGCACGACCGTCTCGGATAAGCCGGTAAGTGCAGGTCTTTTGCTTGATACAAGTCGGCTCGGCGACCTGTCCATATCCATCCTGCTGGCTGCGATGCTCCAGCGGGGCGGTACGCTCGGCCCTCTCTCCTCCATATCCAGCTCCATCATCCGTTTCCCCCCTTTCGATCGTATCCTGATTTCTCAATCTGTGGCCTGGTCTCCGCGTCCCATCAGCTCACCCTCTCTTGGCCACCCCTGCAAAGCTTAGCGTGCACCTACGGATCCCCCGCTAACGGATCCCCGCCCCATGTCTTATCTGTGCCGCCCTTGCCCCGGAGCAGCAACGGGTCGTGATCATCGGTGCAAGCAGCGGAATCGGATGCCAGCTTGCCAAGGACTATGCCCAGCGCGGCGCTCGACTCATCTTGGTTGCCCGACGCAGCGAGATGCTGAAGCAGGTGGTGGACGAGTGCCAGCAGCTCAACGCCGCTTGTGAGTGCTCATACGTCGTCGCTGACATTACCTCCGAGGCCGATGTGTCCCGGTGCGCCCAACGCTCGACCGAAATCCTGGGCGGCATCGATGTACTGGTGCTGTGTTCGGGTGTCCTATCGATCAGACCGTTCGACCAGCTCTGCGGGCCGATGAGCTCCAAGGAGCTGGAGCGAGTCCAGAATGGCGGCGCCTCGGAATCGTATCAGCTCATCGACATGATCTTCAAGACCAATGTCTATGGCCCCATCCTCTGTACCAAGTACTTTCTGCCGGAGCTTGTCAAGTCCAAGGGGCAGATTGTCGTGGTGGGCTCGCTGGCCGGCACTGTGGCTGCTCCGACGGTAGGTTTGGCTGTGCTTGCTGTGGCTGCAGTGGGTGTCGGCTATCCACCATCGCCCGTGGATGCTTTTTTGTCTTCTCTGGCCGTATCGTTTGTTGCTTTCCACGGTCTGCCCTCGACGGTTTCTGTCGCTCTGATTGACCCTTTCGTTTCGCAGCGATCGCTCTATGCCTCTACAAAGTTTGCACTCATGGGATTCTTCAACGCCCTGCGGATCGAGTATGGCCACCGAGGTGTTGCCGTAACGATTGTCTTGCCTGGCAGCGTGCGGACGGATCTGCGTCGCTCTGCCCTGGACTCGCCCACCGCCGAAAGGCAAATGAACTTTGTTTCGCCCACGGCCATCCCCGTCACACGCTGCAGCGAGGAAATCCTGCTGGCTGCCGATCGCCGCGAACGGGAGCGATATATCCCTGCCAAGTACTGGTTTGCGGCCCTGGTACACTTTTTCTTTCCCGCGATCGTCGACGGATTTGCGGCCAAAAAGTACGGCTTTGTCAACTAGACCAGGGACTGACAATGAATGAGCGCAACAGCAGAGAAGTCAGAGCATCATCAGTCTCCCTCCCCACCGAGCGCCCCCTTCCACTCCTTCTGTCTGTCAAGCACCCATCGTTGGTCCTGGATATGGCCCTCGGCCTCCAGCCCTCATATTTTTTGTGCGGATCTACCGCAGCACTCGAAGCCTTGTTTCTACGGATGCAGGTACCTGCTTGCCAATCTTGTTCTGGTGCTTTGGAAGCAAGCAAGTTCACTACTCCTTGGTTCCCAGTCTGCCAAGCCTTAATACTTTCTGATCGTCGGCTCACCGGTAGCATCGTGAGCGATCCGGAGTGGTGCACTTCCCTCAATTACTCTATATACACTCTATGCGATGTACCCCCCTGAGAATACAGCTCTTACAAGAAGTAATGGCCGCGAACACCCTGTTGGTTTCAGAATGACATCGCATGTATTCGGCGGCTGGTTGGAATGTCCATGACCTCCAGGGGGTGTTGCAAAATGAAGTTATCGAACGCACTGTACATATGATATGCACGTGTATTCATGGAGCCAGGCGTTACTGAACCACCGGCCTCAGAACCAGGATGCTACGCTTCATTTTGCAAAGCTTCGTAGGCGCCGTTGTTTGAGTGGACGATACAAACGTCCATGGGCACCATTTGCAGGGAGCTTTGCTCTCCCCCGTCCTCCTGTCTCTGCTTCAGCAGACCACAAAATCAACTCAAATCACACCAATAGAGCGGGGAGGGAAGGAATGAAGCCAGCGAGAGATCGAAAGGGGGGGGAGAGGGAGAATGAGAAACACAAAGCTGTGGCAGTTGCATGAGGCCATGGCATGCCGATGACCGTGTAGGTCCACTACAAATGCTAAATGGATCAGCCGGGGATCCAAGCGGATGTACTCGCAAAGGGCTGAGGAGAGGGGAGGGGAGGGGCGTATCTGCACTGAGGATTAAGCAGCCCCAGGTTGTCGATGAGAAGATACAGACCAAAAAAAAAAAAAAAAACAATCGAGGAAAATAAAGTGTGGGAGGATCGGAGAGGGTGTGGGAGGAAAGAGGGGCAGAAGGAGGGAGGAAAGAGCGACCAGCGGCACGCAGCACGCAACGATGCAAGATGTAGTGCCCAGCGAGAGTCAGAGCAAGCACCGGCACTACAATACTCGACAAGCCTTGCTGGCGGAGCTTCTGTCGGAGCTGATTTGGGAGGAGGGGGTGGGGGAAGCGCAAGCGCGATATGCATATCGTAGTTGCAAAAGGAGGGGAGGGAGAAATAACAGAAGCAAGGACGGAAACGCCAAAGGGTGGGAGAAGATCCGGACGAGGGCACCGATAGATGAAGGAGTTTGGAGTTGGGCGTTACTGCGACAGTCGATCAGGCGCTGGAGGGGAGGGTGGCAAGAAATCGCAACCCAAGATCCATAGGAGCCTCATCAGTCACGGGTTCGAGTGGCATGATGTACATGACTGTCCAGCCCTTCCCCGAGCTTGCATGATGGTGTGCAAGGGCCTACCGGGGCGGAGAGGCAATGAACGATGCGTCGTTTGCCGTGTTTGGGAGGGCGCCAGGCGAGCTTGGGGAGTTTGGCGAGAGAGGCAGACGGGCGCTGGGCAGCACCACGATCTTCTCTGTCGATGCCATGTCGAGCGGCCCGATCACAGCGTCGGCTTGGATGGCTGCTTCGGCGGCGGTCGCACCGTCGGTAAGCGCGCTGCCCGCCGGATCCGCAAGTTCCTCAGCCACTGCATCCATTTCATTCTCGAGGGCGGTCTCTGCCAGAGAAGCTTCGGATATAGTCGTACGGATCTCGGACTCGACGTATTCGATGCTTGTCAATGGGCCGCCGTGGTCTCTGGTCTCGACAGCGGCTGTGTGTGGCAAGGCGGGCGCCTGGTGCCTGAGACGAGGGCCCTGTCCTTCAACGCCGGTGTCGTGATTGGGTGCGGGAGATGCAAGGTCCGTATCCTGGCTCCAGTCCCATGATGCGCCTGGACAGGGGACATACCCCTGCCACTCCTGCCTCGTGGCAGCCAGGCCAGCAAAGCACCACTCGAGCTCCTGGTCCCAGCCAGAGACCACCGGCTCGATGTACCACGACGCATCTTTCTTCCGCCGGGGTGCAGCCAGGGTCGGCGGCGGGATCCGGCTGTTCAGTGCTTGGCGGATCATCCCGCGCTGCCGATTCGAAAAAATGCCCCGGTCGCTGCGGCTGGCAGCGCCCCGCTTGAACTCGCCCAGCCGGCTGGATCGAGAGAGGGCGGCGACCGGGGAATCTTGAGCCGGGTTGACATGGAGTTTTGCTTTCTTTGAAGGACGCAAGGACGCGAGCGACGGCGAGGGCAGGATCGGGCCGGACGATGCTGCCGAGACTGGCTCAGGTGTCAGCAGCGGCAGGGTCGGCTGGAGTGTCGGCGACGACGTTGGCGAGGGCGGGTGCAGAGACGGTCGCTGCTTGGTGGCGAGGGCTTGGGAAAGCACCTCGTCCCGGTTTCCGGGCGTGCTTGGTTTTGGATGAGCAGCAGCGGGTGGCAGCGGCAGCGGGAGGACCATGGGGATGATCAAAGACTGGTGAACGAGCCGACAACAGAGCAGAAAGCGGTCAGTGGAGAGCGGGGAGTGGTCAGCAGCAGGTAGCGACAGATCAGTAGCAGGAGGGAGATTGGTCCATGCGTATGAGAGAGCTGCAGACATCAGAGATCGGCGACAGAAACGCCAGAGGTGAGAGCAGTGTCGCTGAGAAGCAGCCTCGCCACCATGCCGAAACACCAGCAACGACTCGCCGGACCGCACTGCCCAAGGCCGACGCTGGCGAGCAGGATGGGGAGCGCTGGATACACACACCGGTAACAGATCGACAGAGACCACGAGATGGACGGTAGACCGATGGAAAGCGGGACGGGAGAGCAGGCCGGCAAAGGTTTCAGGGAGGCAGGCGGGGTGGAACTTGGCGGATGCGGCTGTGGCGGGAGTCTTGCTTCTTCGTTTTTCGACGGCAGACACAACAAGTAAGCGACCCCGTCGGGCGACTGCGAGGCAACGTGCGATTGGGGCGAGATGCAGCGGGCGAGAGGCAGCGGGAGATGCAGCGGGCGGAAGCCGACGCAGATGCGGGCTCTGGAGGTTGTTCGTCGGCCAGCAGCCCGACCCAGGGCCTTATCGTTATGGAACGAACAACACCGCTTGGCACAGCGAGCCACGGCCCTGCCATTTTTGGACGGGATTCGGGCAGGGCGGTGCACACACTTCCTTTCTGGGCACGGATCGCCACGGACAGTGCTCCGCGTGGGCGATGTGGATGATGCGGGCGGTGGATGATGCCGCCGGGGCTTTGCGGCGTGGTGAACGAACAACGGGGTGCGTCGTTGCTTTGGACCAAGTACACCGAAGCCGGCTCATGCTTGCATTCGGCCAAGTCGGTGAGCCCATCTCCGTGGGCGTCCGTCCCATCAAGTCAGCCCGGGACTGCCGCATCACTGCAGTCGGCGCCTGTGGCAATATCTATCACACCGTTCGTCGAAATATCTCTGTATTTACATAACAATCTTGGGCTCGGTGATATTGGCGCTGACGCTCTGCGCAGATGAATGGGACAAATCCAAAGAATGGGGCAGTGACGGTCAGCACCACCATCGACCTCGGCTCGCCAGTCGCCAAGAAGTTCAGACAAGTTACCTTGTGCGGGAGGACCGAGCCGCCGTTCACGAAAATCTCGTCGGCCACATGGACATCTTCGCCGAGGACCGTGGTTCCGTCCAAGCGAGCCTGGAACAGCAACAAAAGGGTAAGAACAGGCCCCTGTCGGCGATACTGCGACTCCGATGTCGTGAGGGCCACGGAGGACTGGGGCCAGATCCTGTGCCGACAAGCCCAAACTCGTGCGATCCACCCACCGATACTTACCCAGCGGCCGACACTGGAGTGCCATCCAATGATGCTGTTGCTCACCCAGGCGTTCTGTGGGATGAGGGGGCAGGTTAGCGTCGCAGCAGCCAGGCTGCCTAGAACCAGCATCTGCATTGGGATCCTTCCTCAAGCGCATGCACAGGTGCAGGCAGGCGTTGACCTACATCCTTCACAACAGAACCGCGCATGACCACGGAGCGGTTTAGTCGGACACCGTTGCCAATGGTGACGCCCGGGCCGATGACGACGTTGGGACCGATCTTGCAGTTCTCGCCAATCTTGGCCGTGGGGTCGATCAGAACCGAACCGACAAAGTTGGGTCCGTGCGCAAGAGCCGAGGCGTTGTTCTGCGAGATCGAGGTCAGGTACAGGGCGGTGCCGGTCAGGAAGTCCTTGGGCTGGCCAACATCGGCCCAGAAGCCCTTGAGATCAGTGGCGTGGAGCTGGCCGTCGCGGGCCATGAACGGGAAGACCTCCTTCTCGATCGACATGGGCTTGTTCTGTTTCGCGGGGTGAGACAGAGAGCGGAGAGGGCCGGCGGTGGGTCAGAACCATCGGCTACAGGCGAGGACGTCGACACAGCCGACGCAGCCATACTGCAATACAGCGATCAATCCAGGAGCCAGCGACACTGCAGACTCCGATACGACGCACTCGCAATCCACCCTGTTCTCACCTCAATACGCTCGAGGATTTTGGGGTTGAAGACGTAGATGCCCGCGTTGATCTGGTCGCCAACCCACTCCTTGGGCTTCTCGACGAACCGCTGGATGCGAGTGGAGCCGGAATGGCACACAATCACGCCGTATTTCGAGGGATCCTCGACGGGGGTAGTCATCAGGGTGCCCTCACAGCCGTGGCTGCGGTGGAATCGAATCAGCTCCTCAAACGGAAACTCGCAGATAACGTCCGAGTTCAAGACAAAGAAGGGCTCGTCGTCCTTGGCCAGGATGTTGCGAGCGAGGGCGAGGGGACCAGCTGGACATGACGACGCGGCAGATCACGGTCAGCGCAGAGGCAAGCATCGGTGGCCGCCATTCTCAGCTCCACCATGGGCCCAGTCCTGTTTGGGTGCAATCAAATACATTGAGGAAGGAAGGATCACAAGCACGCAGGGCGCGCAACGCCGACGCAGCTCACCGGTTCCGAGGGGCTCGGGCTCGATCGAAAAGTGGATGCGGACGCCAAACTCCTCCTCAACCTTGCGCATGGCGCTGACCATGACCTCGGGCTGGTAGTTGACGGCCAGGACGATATCGGTAACACCGACCTGGATTGGATTGAATCAAAACCAGCGAATAAATGGGATCAGCTCCCGTTGTAGCACAACGACCCGGTCCCGAGCAGGGGAGCCATGCGCATCGATCTGGCGCTTGAGGCAGGCGGAGCAGCAGCTCGGCCACGGCGGCGGGATGTGAAGCAAGCAATGCGACTGCCCAACCTTGGCCAGGGCCTGGATCTGGTGCATGATCATGGGCTTGTTGCAAAAGTCGACCAGAGGCTTGGGGACGGAGAAGGTGAGGGGTCTCAGGCGAGTTCCGAAACCTGGCAGCGCAAGAGATGGAGAGCCATGTTGGCGGAGATGTGATCAGCCGCCAGCAATCCATGCGGCCGGATCGCTGCAGCCGTGATGCCGCAAGCCAGAGTGGACCAAGTTGACTACGTGCAACGGCCAGTTTGCCAGCGAACGTCCGGCACGCCGGCCTCGAAGCCAGCCTTGCAGCTTGCCGTCGTGTCGTCGGGCCGGCAAGCCAGCAAGCCAGCCGCCAACCCAAGCGGGGGAAAGGCAGCTCGACGAGTGTGTCGTTCGCAACCGGCTGGTGTGCTGGACGATTGCAGCAAAGCTGATCCAGCCAGCTGTGGCAGCCGAGACTCACCGCCGACGAGAATGAGGGCCTTCATGGTGTGTGAGAGTCGGCGATGCTTGAGGGGAGGGCGAGCAGGGCAGATCGAGGCCAAAGGGCAATCGAGCGGGGTGCTCGCGGAAAGCCGGCAAGCCCCGGGCCTTGAGCGAATGAAGAGCCGCGAGGTGGAATCCGACGCGGGGCTGCCGTTTTGGGAAAGGGTGGTTCGATCCAGAGGCGATACGGCTTGCTCGGCGGGCAAGGGGCGAGGCTTGTTTCAGGAGAGGGCAGCCAGGACAAGGGGCGCTGGTGGAGGGGGGCGAGCAGGAAGGCCAGCGCGGTGCAGCCCATTCATGGACGGGCTCTGAATTGCGGTTGTGATTGCATCCAGCATCGAACGAGGCACTTGCCAGTTTCAATCCAACGGGCAGTCCACGAAGGCCACCGCAATTCCTTGGCGACACGGGGGTGTCATATCGTTCATTGCTTTCATTGCTTTCGTTGCGTTGAATGCAATCACAACCGCAATTCAGAGCCCGTCCATGAATCACGGCCCTGATGATAGGCACCACCAGCCTGCGCTTGCCTGCTCCCATCTGCTCCCATCTGCTCCCATCTGCTCCCATCTGCTTCCCTCTGCCTGTTCGTCGCCTTCCTGCCATGGTCGACATCAAAACCTCGGACAAGCGGCAGCCCCGCCCCAACTTGCTCAAGCCTGCGCGCCAGGCGCCGCTGCACTTCCGGCTGCGCTATCTCAAGTTCAAATGCAGCTCGGTGGTGCAGACCATCGATTTTTACCAGTCGCTTGGTATGTCGATCGACTGGCAGTACGAACTGAAGCCCGGCGATCCACGCGGCGCCAAGACGGTCTTCTCGCTCACCTACGAGCAGTCGTCAGACTCGTCGCACTACCACGCGATGCACCTGGTCTTTGAACACCGCAAGGTAGTTCCGCCAGCTGCCAGTCTCTGATGTTCGGCAGCGCAAGGCTGTTCCCGCGCGTCAGGGATTGCATTATACTGTCTGTGTCGGTTGTGGGGCCACTGGAGCGGTGGATTTGACTTGGAGTGACTCCAGTTTCCAACGGCTTTGCCTCGCCATCGCCGGGCTCGGTAACTTTGCCTTTGCGACGGCTCGACGCCCAGAGTTTGGAGCCGCAACAGCAAGCGCAACAGGACGAGAGCGGAAGAGATATCAAGAAGCGGCATCAATACGAGTATCTTGTCATCTATGTGCACTTCTTGGCCAGGCTGTTCAAGCGTCTGGAGACGAAAGGTGGGAAACACACCGGCCGTCTGGCCGGAAGATAATGAACAAGCGAGTCCTCTGACTGGTTTGCAAGCAGCATATTGAGGCTCGTTGTCAGGAGATACGACAGCGTGATGCTAGTGCCCATCAGCACCGAGACTACCGCACGACAGAATAGCGCAGTATCGGCGCGCGTCCGCTCATTCCAGTCCTATTGCCCAGGGTTCAAGGTCATCATGGCCCCAACCGATATCTCTGAGATGAAGGTCGCCATATTCCAGGACCCAAACGGCATCCAAGTCCGTCTCATTCAGTTCACCGACGAGCAGTTGCATGAAGGAAACTCCAACAAAAAGCAGGCACGGGCAATAGAGCATGCGTCGAGACCCTATCGCATCAGCACCATGACGCAAACAGCCCCTTCACAACACTCTCTTCCCCATTGGCGAGGCCTCTTCTGTATTTCCGCTGCCATTTCGATCGTGCGGATGCCGGTGCCGATCTTTGTGATTGGCTTGGAAGCAACTCACTCGACACATCGCCCCGCAACTAACGTCCAACTTTCATGTGATGCACTCTCTACATCTGGCGGCCCTGGACAGTGGTTTGCCCGTTTGGGCTATTACACCATTCCCTCGACGCAAGCCGAAGACACCGTGCGATTCTTTGAAAAGATCTTCCAGCCACTGGATCTGCCTCCCCTCCCTCGCGGAGAGGGACCGCACGGGCTGCGGCACTCCCCACATCGCAATCTGCCTCTGTCGGTCGCTGGAAAGTATGGCCCACGAATCCGCAAGACCAGCGCGGTCGCTGCAGTCAAGCATGGTCGGTACTTGCGTCGTCTTGGTGCAGCAAACATTCCGATTCTTCTCGACTGATGGCGAAATATGGCTTTTGCACACCACTGCCACCAACCGCTCGACCTCCCGAGTGCTTTCGCGACATGTCCGGTATCGATTTACTCACAACGTATAATGGACCTTCCACGATACACTTGGAAATACTTGACACTGCTGAACGACGATACTTTTGACACTGCACCCTGTGCGGCTGACACAACACAGGAATTGCTCAGGTACAAGGCAACAATACAACCGAAGCCAACACGGCTCGTGTCGTCCACCCACCACCGGCCGATGAGAGGCTAACCGCTTGTCTAATTGGATGATCACAGCCCGATGGATTCCGGCTCGTCGACATGGAGGACTTTATATTGGGTCTGTGTTTGCTCTCCCTGTTCATGTCATGGACGCATGCCATCCGACGGACAGCCCATCGACGAGCCCGTGTAAAACCAGCAGCCCACCTGACCCATTTATCTCGGACATTGCATCGCCTCAGGCTTGACTCACTACGGATACTACTGGATGGGCAACGATCTGCGCGAATCTGTCTTCACCTTGTGCTTCACGGAGCGCGGAATGGCTGGGGCCCCACCCGTCGTTCCCACCCCGCAAAAGAACCGCCTCGTTTCGAAGCTCCTCGCAATAGGTTCGTGCGATACACGAATCAGACAACTGCTGCAGCTTCATGTAAAATCTAGTAGCCCGCTCTTCCGACGTCGCTCGATACTCTGCTCCTGACAACCATGCGCTGATGCGCTCGAATTGTGTTTCACCTGCAGGCTTTGAGGTCGTGAATCTCGATGGAGCCATCAACCAAATCAAGAAGGACCACAAAGATGTCAAGCTCGACTGGGACGAGGAGAAGACGACGATCGAGGGTGAGTCCAACGAGATAGGATCGACGGGAATGTTGATGTACCGAGCCGGCAAATCGTCCCAATGCAGTGTACAATCAAATCAGATAGAGGAACACAGCCTCGGGAGTCATTTGCGTAGGACTGCCCAAGGCAGTGTCACAACATCATGGCTCGACGCTGAATCTGAGAGCTGATACATCAGGTATCGGGACGTTCAGTCGATTCTTTGAAACCACCAATGGGACGTGGGTGGAGTTGCTGCAGCACAAGATCGAGCAGCCTACCAAGGATAATGCCACTACCACAGCCGCACCGACACAGCCCAAACCAACCATCGACCTCATCGAGTCGCTGCGACGCAAGAGTCCCAAATACGTCATCAACATCAATCATCTCCGCGGACAGGCCAAGACGCTCTCGGAAGCCGCTATCGAGGAAGTTGGGCTGCCGCCGATGATGCGCGAGATCACCACGGCACCGGCCACCAAAGAAGAGGCAGACAGCGCACTGAAGCAAAGCGAGCCACTGTACTTTGACCAGCTGGTCTATGGCTCAAGCGCAAGCATCGGTAAGCGGTATGAAGAAAGCGGTGGATCTTCTTCCATCAGTAGGAGCGAAAGCAACGGCAGTGGCTCGGAGGAGAGTGAAGAAGATGATGATGCCGAGGAGCCGGCTGGTGACGATGAGCCCGGGATCGAGAGAGAAACGGAGCACCCCGAGGGCGACGGCCCGAACGACGGAGCCCGCAAGAAGAAGCACAAAAAGTCCAAGACCGGACAAAAGAAAAAGGACCGTGCGCCGTCTCCGCGAGCCTTCCAGCCCGACAAGAACAAGAGCACCAGCCTCGAATGGTAGCGGTCGGGGACAAACAGGAACAGAGGGGAAGTTTGCGAATGCTGTTGCGATTATTCGGAAGGCCATCCGGGAATCAATATACATGATACGACTCCTCGGTGCGCCGAACTAATGAGCGACATCGGACGCGGAGCATATCGAGTTAACGCCTTGAAGAAACAGGCCAAGTTCCACTTGCAAAGGTCGCCCAGTACACATCTCAGACGTATTCCTCTCTGTGGCAAATATCAAGCCACACGAACGAGCACCACTCGCCATGGCCCCCCCCCGTGGACAAGCCATGCGATTGTTTCGATATTGGCAATCTCTTTGTGCTCGCTAGTAACGATGTCTCGATGCGGGAGTGTGGTGGATGAACTGGATGCGGGAGTGTGATGCATTCACTCGATGTGGGAGTGTGTGGATGCACTCGACCCTCTGGATAGCCCCATGATCTCTCGATACCAAGATACTCGGGTGGCTCGTACCGTTTGGCCCCCCCCCAGGTACTGCAGCACCCTGCTCGGCCATGGTAGCGACGGGCGAGTGGACTCATAACCAGAAAATAACGACAACCCTGACTCAAAACAGGTGCATCGTTTCATAATAGAAAGGCTGTATCCCACGTCGGCCCTGATTCCCCTCAATCAAACCGAAGAGCCTCCCCTGGCTTGAACAATGGTGGTGTACTCGCGGTTGGGGACAGACCTGTTGATTGCTTGAATGGCCCGGCGCTCTTGCTTGGCCCCACTGTCGAAGTGGCTGCGCAAGAACAAGTTTTGAGTAGAACGCTTCAGCAGAGGCACATCTATCAGCGGCATTGAGGCCAGCTTCTGCCGCTGTTTCTCTTCTGGTATCATTGTTCCCGGCGAGCTTGCCGGTCCTGATCCACGCACTTTTGGAAGGGCAGGAGATGGCGTCGCTACCCACTCTCGCCGCTGTGTCTCAAGCCAGAGCGGCGACACGATCGGTAGTTGCTCGATGCCCAACTGACCCATCTGGCGCATCTCTCGACGACAAGAGCACCCGTATATTCAATCCCTCGCGCAGTCTCCTCAAAGTTCTTTCTGAGAGGCACATCGTTAAGCAGCCATGACTGATGCTGCACACGAGAAATCCAGATTCACCTATTCCCTTGCCCAAATACTCGCAAACGAGGCGCCGCCGCCATATTCCCTGGATGACTTTGGGGTACGTATCCGAATACGACAGAGACCCGCTGTGACCGGCTCGATCGGCTGGGTGCTTTCGATAGCGGGGCCGGAGAGGGCGAGCTCCATAAGCGCACTCGCGGCGGCCACGGACCCGTTTCTCACGGCTCGTCCGTCGATCGAAAGGCTTTCTTGGAGTTTGAGCATACCGGTGAAAACCTCGAATACTACAACTTTGTGCGGATGTACACCGAAGAGTTCCACCGGCTTGCCGAAAAGTACCAGTCCGTCGCTCGATCGCACCACTCACTCAAGGGAATGATGCCCTCGCGGGAGAACCTGGCTGAAGGAGGACGTCTCCATCCATCAGAACCATATCCAGCCGAAGCTATCGCGGCCGAGGCCGGCGAGTCAGGCGGACACCGGGCCGAGGGTTTTCGAGAGCGCCTTGAGAGCAAGCGCAGCATCAGATCGCTTATATGCAGCTCTGCTGAGAGCGATGCTATGATCAGGCAGATTGTAAGCATCGCTTAGTCAGTCCGCTCAGCTCGCTCGTCGGACTGCAGTCCAGACCAGTCATTCGGTACTTGGGCTACAGCGACACTAGTGAACCTGCACTCGTCCGGATGCCTACGCACCGAGTCTAGCACATCAATACCTTCCTTTGGCTGACACTGACTGGCTGTTGATTGCATATATCCGCACATACAAGCTCGAGAAGATCCTAACACTGTACCTGACGCCGGGATCCGACAAGGAGATCAACCTGGCTGGAAATATCCGGAAAAAGCTCATGAACGAGGTGAGCACGCGGTTATCAATACCAAGGAGGGGCCGCTGGGATAGCGCTTGGCCGAACAAGCCAGCAAGCACATACCAATGAATTGATATTCAAAGCATGGCCTGTGGAATATAATTCGACGATTCAAGGCACTTTGTAACCTGACATAACTTTGACAGATCACGACCAAGAAGCTGCCTCATCCAGACGCCTTCAAGACATCGATCGAGAAAGTGTGTGAGATGTGGAAAACTCAGTCGTACCCCAAGTTTATGAATACAGCTGACAGCCGAGCCCCCGCCGAGCCGTCGGCGGCAGCAGCAGCACATCCACTCGCGGACGAAGCCGGCCATGCTGAGAAGCCGAGCAGTAAAAAGCCGGGATTTTTCAAGAAGCTGTTCAAAAAATAGCTCGGCGGGGTCTTGCCAGAGCCGGATGACCTTGTCGGACCTGTGGAGTTGGGTGTTACCTCAATAGAGCTCACTGAGAAAGAAACAAGCGGAAGGCATCCCGTATCAATCGGAATGGCACTCAGAGTGATTCTGGTGCAAGCGCCCAGAGCATTGTTGGGATAGGTTTCGAGAGCAACTGGCGGGACACCAATGACGGGCTGCAATGCCATGTCTATCCAGCCGTTCGTCAACCCAAGACGCATTTACCATTCCTTTCTTCACAGTCGAGCCATCACAGTCGAGCCATCACAGTCGAGCCAGCCGATTGATATCGCTCAGCCGAGCGACCAGCATCATTCTGTCCACGTGCTGATGTGTCCCGTTTCTGTGTAACATCTGAAAATAGTTTCGCTCCCTGTCGACCGTCGCCTCGCTTCTTCGCCCCGATCGCTGCCGGATTCGCACCAGAACCACTGTCGACCTGCTCTGGCCGGCATCCGTCATGAGTCGCTTCAAGCTGCCACCCAAGGGAAAGAAGGCCACCAAGCCCGAGGAAGCCGCCCCGCTGAGCTTCGATGACATAGTCGATGGTGTGTGGTCTGGCTTGCTGCTGTTTCCGCCCGCTGTCCCATCGCCGTTGTCTGCATGGCATCTACTGCGTCCTGGGATTCAGACATTCTCCGCCACGATGGCTCTGCCGCTACACTCCACATCGCCAAAGCTCGTGCTCACTCGTTTGCGCATCGTCCACATGCCGCTTTCCCCCGGACGCATTGTCTCCCTGCTGCAGAGGCCATCAACATGGAGGAGAAGGGAGACCGATACGTCGACGGCGACAAGGCCAGACGGTTCTACGAGCGGTCGTGCGAGCTCTACGCCCAAGCCGTTGCCATGAATCCCGAGCACGATCCCCTGTACAATCGCGGGCGGCTGCTGCTGCTGCTTGCCGAATTCCGCAATCCGCCCTATCGTCCCAGCGAATGCCGCGGGCTTCTTGAGAGCTCGGTCAACTGTCTCCGGAGGGCCGCTGAGCTCGAGCCCACCAACACCGACACCCTGTTCAACTTGGCCCAGGCCCTCCGAACAAGTGCGGAGCATCTGTTTTCGATCGATGGTCAAGAGCCCCTCGCTATTGCCGTTGCCGAGGAAGCCTGTGCATTGCTCGAGAAGGTATTTGCGCTGCAAAGCGAGGCGTATCAAAGGAACCCTGTCGACAGCGCTGGATCCGAGCCCCAGCCGGGCGTTTCCACTCAGCAGCTGCCCCAGGACGGCGACAAGATCGAAGAGTCTCTCGAGAGCGTCACCGCCATTCAGTCTGTCACCAAGGACACTCTGATCGACACCCTCGTCGCCTGGGCAGAGACCCTCAGCCTGCGATCCAGCTTCTGCTCCGACTATGCCTCCTGCATGCACTTTCATAGCGTCGCCATGGAGAAGCTCAAGCTGTCCGAGGCACTCGGCATCGAGCCCGCTCGGCTGTCGCTCCGCTGCGCCGACGCACTGTCGACACTTGCGGACACTCTGGCCTCGAACGAGGTTGAGCCCACCACCGCTGCTGAGTACTTCAAGCAGTCGCTGGCGCTCGTGCAGCGTGCGCTTGAGATCGAGCCATCAAGTGTCGAAGCACTCTGCGACAAGGGCGATATCCTGTGGAGCTTCCTGGCCTTCCAGATCAAGTACGGAGGCTCCGAGGCCGAAATCCGAACGGCCTTCGCCGACGTCGTCAATAGCTACACCTCGGCCTTCCAGCTGGAGTCGCAAAATGCCGAAATTTGCGCAAAGCTCGGCGACGCCCAGCTGTACCGCATTTTGCTCTATCCGTCGCCCGAGCAGCAAAAGACTCGTGAGGTTCTAGTCGGAAATGCGATCCTCTACTACAAGCGCGCCCTTGCCATCAGCGAAACCCGGATCGATGCGATCCGCACCTGCCTGCACATGGGCAAGGCCGCATCGCAGATTCCGGAGCGAGATATGGAGTGTCGCGAGGCCATGATTATGTGGAAGAAGAAGGGCGGCAAGCTTGTCAACGGCATTTTCAGCGGCACCGACGAAGACATTCCGGTCGATTTCAGCCCGGCAACGAAAGCGTCACCCTGGTTCCAGCAGCTCCTGGTGATTTTGCAAAGTGTCTAGCCCAGCCTGCTGGTGGGCAGAGCAGCGGGCGCTGTCGAGGGCTCGAATCGTCTGGGACGGCCAAGATCCCGGAGCTGGCCCGCCATGGCCTTTGCCGGTTGCCGGTTGCTGGTGCTGTTGGGTGTTGATGAGGAAGCCGCACTGGAGCGTCGCTGCAGATTCGAAATTGAACAGCATACTCCCAACCATTCCGCTCTTGAGAAACCACTCTGCCTAAGCGGCGCTATTCACACTCGCAGAGCAAGACAATGTATTGAGCCGGCAGAGTATGTTGCTGGGCAGATCGAAATCGGGGCCGTACCGTTGCTCGGCAGCCCGCAGACGTCGATCTGGGCCGGCGAGCAAGTCAGCGAGCGGCCACGCAAATATCAAGACTCCAGCCGTCTGGATCAGGCTTTGATCTCCTCGAGGGCCCTCTCGACACTCTCGGCCGGGGAGACCTTGATGTCAAGAGACACGATCTCGCCGCCCTTGGCAATCACCACATGCGAGCGGATACTGCTGCTGGGTGCCTTGAAGACGCCAAAATACTTGAGCGCCGGCGAAGGAACGGGGTCCGAGAGGAGATCATAGGGCAGATCGTACTTGGTTTTCCAGTTGAGCAGGCTCTTGGGCGAGTCGGTGCTCATGCCGTAGACCTGGAAGCCGTGGCTCTCAATGTCCTTGAAAGCATCTCGGAAGCCGCAGGCTTGCTTCGTGCAGCCGGGGGTGTTTGCCTTGGGATAGAAAAAGATGATGATGCCCTGGTCCTTGCACAGCTCGGCGACATTCACCGGGGAGCCGTCGTGGGTATGGACATGGAGGTTGTCGGGGATCTGGGCGCCGACAGCGGCTTTGGACTTGGCCTCGGTGTTGGCCGGCTTCTCATCAGCCTTGGCCTTCTTGCGGGCCGACGGCAGAACGACGGCGTCGTCGCTGGTCTCGGGTGCAGCCTTGACGGCGGCGGTCTTGCTGGCAGTCTTGCTGGCGGTCTTGCTGGCGGTCTTGCTGGCGGTCTTGCTGGGCACAGGGCTCTCGTCCTTGGCCTCCTGCTCGGCCTTGGTTGCGGATCGGGTCTTTCTTTTGGTGGACATGGGTGCGCTAGACGCCGGTAGGCTCGACAAGACCCTGTGGGATACGGTGGCTGGAGGATAACTGGACCGAGGACGCCGAACAGCAGGCTGGTCAGAGCGCCAAGAGCCGCCGAAAATCCCCGCCAGTCTGGTCAGAATGAAGCGGGCGGCCCTGCGATGGGGCCATTGGCATCGGTCGATGGCCATCTCACAAGGCACTGCAGTACCTGGTCGAACATTTCGAGCATCGTTATTTATTGAAAGAGTGTCCACGGCTAGCATTGAGGATGACCGGACAACACAGCACTCGATCCATGAGAACAGCGCCGATCGAGGCAACACTGGCTCGATGGTAGGATACCTGCGAAACACCTGGGAGTGCGAGACACGGTGCAGGCTCGAATCTGAAGCTTGTGTCTGTCAAATCACAGTAAACTCCTTCTTGCGGTCCGGGGCGTACTGGTCCTTGTATTGCTCGTAGAGAGCCTTGAGGCCCTCGATGTACTTTTGGTGGTACTCATGAACCAGCTCCTCCGAAGGCGATGGTGTCTTTGGGCAGTCGATGGGAGCGCCGACTGGATAGAGGAAGCACGCGTCAAATATATGCAGGTGCATCTAGCGAAGGACTACTGCGACGACACCCGCTCAGTATACACATGCTTACCGATGCTAACGATGCGCCTTCGTCTTGGGAGCAGGCCAATGTCGTAGTTGAAGAACCCGCGGCCGTTGGCGACCGGCACGGTGAGCTGCGAGAGTTTCTTGAAGGCATCTTGGACGAATCGTACGAACGTGCCTTTGGGTTTCTGGACCTGGTCCCAACAGTCTGGGGGTGGCAATATCGACGAGCAGGCTACATTAGCAGTCGTCCATGGAGCGGTCGCAAACCAGAGCGGGATCGAATCGACGAATCGATGCTGCTACTGACATACTCACCGTTTTCACCGAACGAAAACACCGGCACAAGCGAGGCGCCGTTCTTGAGGGCAACCCGTACGAACCCGTAGCGGCCGGACAGCACCAGGTCGTATGTCCCGGGAACCGCCAGAAATACCTCGGCAGATCCTCCCACCACGATCATGCACGAGGAGCCGGGCCCCTTGGACAGGATGTTGTCGATGCATCCCTTTCCGACCGATGCCACGCCGAGCGCTGGAGATCCGTTTGAAAGGAGCAAAGCGGTGTCAGTCGAAATAGAGCTATGGGCAGGTGCCGCAGAGATTGCATGACAGCAGCTTACAGAGAAGCAGATCTCGCCAGAATGGAATGAAAAAGTGCAGATTCAGTGTCAGGAGGCGAAGGCTGATGCCGGGGAAGAGCTTGGAAAACTCGTTGGCCTCGGTTCCAAAGTTGGTCACCGCACCGATCGAAACAATGCCTGGAAGAGGCCGCATGGCGGAGACAAGCCGAGTGGGTTAGAGCAATCGTCGAGTCCAATTAGCGACTCTGGTGACTATGCTTGTCGCGACCAGGGCGGGCAATGAATAGCATCGATAAGTGCTAGGTGTCGGCTGGCTGGCAGGATTACCGTGAGGGTGGTAGCCAAAGAGATAGTTTTTCTTCGGATCCAGCTGCGTCGTCGCCACAAGTTCAACGGGGAAGTAGTCGCGAAGCCATCTCCAGAAAGCCAGGCGACGGACCCACTGACTTGGACGGCCGCCATGAAACGGCGACTTGTCGACAAGGATGAAGACCACGTAGCCCAGCGCCAGGAGCGTCAGCCTAGGCCAGACGAGGATGAGAAGGAAGGCGACGATGGACACGAACGGGAAGCTGAGCCAGGTCGCTATCGCCCAAGTCTGTCGACGCCGCGCGAACGGGACATGCAACGGAGCGAGGTGGATGGCTGTCATGATGGCTTCGAATGAGGCGATGGAAAGCAGAAGGTAAGCGACGAACCCAAGCGAGGAACAGCGCCGGCCAAGTTGCGCCTCGCAAGGCGGGCAGTGCGTGCTCGCCAGTTCTCCGCGGGAGCTCGCTGTGTCGGTCGAGCCACGGCGATCCCGGAGATCATTGTTCTAGCCTTGATCCGCAGCTCGCTTTGGCAGCCTCTTCTGTCAGCGTTCAAGGACGCCACCCTCTGATTTTCATGTGCAAGCCACCAGAACATGGAGCTGCAAGCACGGATATGGTGTGCACGTCTGCCTGGACATGTTCGCTCAAGAGGAATCTTGGACAAGAACCGGTTGCAGCACCGGTGAGTCAACAGGATGTCATCGGCGTTGGTTTGGCATGTGGGAACTCGCGTGCTGTCACGGGCCTCCCACGTGCCCCGAGCTCCGACAATGCGCAGCCGAGATCACAGCCGCGTGACATGCACGTTATGTGCTGAGATGATGCAGCACAACAGAGCGGGTTGAATATCATGAACGGGTTGAGTATATTGAATGAGCTGGGTGGGCTGAATGGGTCGCATGTGTTGAGTGAGGTGAATGGGTTGCATGTGTTGAATGGGTTGAGTGAGCTGAATCAAATGAGCGACATCCATCGGCATTCGTGCTGTCGATGGCGCATTTACATTGTGGAGACGACGAGCGGCCTTGCAGCAAGAGACTCTGGGTATTGCACTCACGGTGACCGCTGGTGCAAGTCTGCAACATTATGTTGTCGGCTAGAACTGCGACTGCACTCCCATGCAGAACCGAAATGCCGATGTGTTCCTGTTGTCCAAGTCGATTGTCCAAGTCGATTGTCCAAGTCGATTGTCCAAGTCGATTGTCCAAGTCGATCGTCCAAGTCGATCGTCCATGGTCGTCATCCATGGCCATCGACCGAGCCTGCCAAACAGTTGTCCAGAGCACAGATCTCGATCGAGCCGACACCCTGGGAGCTCTCGGAGCTGGTGCTGGCCCGACAGTCCCTGGGTGTTGTGGCGGATGTGATGTGGGCCAGTTTCCCAGTGGCCGCTCTCTCGCTCAGCAGCCTCACCAGCCGAGAGCCCGACGAGAGCGCGTTGTCGGCTCTCGGTTTGGTCGGCTCGATTTTTTTCATTGCACCGACACTATGAAAAAATTTCTTGTTAAAAAAATGTGCGAGAACGAAAAAACGCGCTCTCGGAGCCACCTCGGTCGGCGAGAAGAGCAGTCTCTGGCGAGAGACCCCCGAGGGAAGGCGAGAAGCCTCTCGCCGTCACACACACACACATCCGCACACACACACTTTGCACAAGGGAGTCAACCGCCTCCCATCGGATTCCAATTTTGCTGCGCCACATACAACGTGACTTTCAGGTGACCGAGATGAGCAGCCGCGAGGGGGCCGGAAAAAATTGATAGTGCGGTCTGGCCTGATCTTGCCTGAGCGAGCCCGGTGCAGATCCCGTCGCCGTCCATCAACATGCTCAAGAGCAAGGCATTCACCCACAAGACCAAGAAGGGGACGATCATCAAAGTCGTCAAGGAGCACTGTGCGTCTTGCTGCCCACATGCTGCGTCGACATTGGCTGCGTTTGTCCGCAGCGGCAGGATGGATCCCGCTCACATCTTTGACTGCCTGCTCTGCAGATCTCCGAGATGACATTGGGTGCGGCATCTCAACATGCCGCTCCTGTGTTCAAAAGACCCCTGCTCTCCTCCAGGAGAAACCGCGGGTCTCAAAGCTTGTGAAGAAGCCTGCGTATATCGTGCCCGACACCAATGTTCTCTATCACCAGGTGCGGCATCGCCGACAGGCCAGACCATGGCATGACGAGGACCTGCACATTTCCTCTTGAGTACGTGCCCGAATAATGGCTGAAACGGCTCTGGACTCCATCGCAGATCGACGTCATCGAGCACCAGGTGTTTGTGGACGTCATCATCCTCCAGACTGTCCTCGAGGAACTGCGACACAAGAGCATCGCCATCTACAACCGCGTGCGCATGCTGACATCGGATCCGTTGAGACGATTCTACGTTTTCTGCAACGAGCATCACAAGTAGGACCTCTCGGCGGCTCGATCGTCGTCGCCAACGACATTGCTGGGTTGTCCGGCACGCTCGCCCGACCCTGTCGAGTCGATCTGGTCGCGTTGAATCGGGTTGCGCTCTGATCCCTCCGCATCTGTGCTCCGATGCTCGGCACCGCAGGGAGACTTACATCGAGAAGAAGCAGGGTGAGACGATCAATGATCGAAACGATCGAGGTGAGCATCGGCGACATGACGATCTCAGTCGCAAGCGCAGACCCAAACGCCAGCGCACATGAAGGGAGACCCAATGCAAGCATTATTCCGACATGGCTTGGCAGCAGCGTCGGTGTGCAATCACAGAAGGAATCTCATGGTCTGCATCGGCGCTCTTGCTCACACTCGTCGGACTGCTTTACATTGACAGCCATCCGAACTGCCGTGCACTGGTATGGCAAGCACGCCAACTCGGCAACGCCCATTCTACTCACTGACGACAAGGACAACCGAGCCAAGGCAAAGGAGCTTGGGGTCTCGACGTTCTCAGGTTCGTCTTCTCTATCGTGCCGCTTCAGCGAACCAGCGCCATAGCGATGCCGCCAGCACTGCTGCGACTCATGTCAACCCTCCTAATCCATCCACCGTCTTCCTGTCCGTCGATCACTCTCGTTTAGTCCGCGATTTTGTCGAATCTCTCGATGACTGCCCTGAGCTGGTCGATATGGTCGCCGCAAATGAGGAGGATTTGGATGGAAAAGAGATCGGCAAGAAAGAGTACTTTGACGAGGTGCGACCCCATCAGATGCTGTCGACGGCAGTCGTTCTTCTGGCCAACGATCGTGAAGTATCTCTGACTCAATGAGTTTGCGGCTCCAGCATGCGTCGCCGCTCCAAATCTCAGCAGGCCTGAAGGCCGGCATCCTTTTCCAGGGCACTCTCAACATCAGCCTCCACAACTACACCGAGGTGGGCTTGAAGCAGACACTCGTTGCGTCTCTGGCTCCGCGCGAATGGACTCTCACTGTGACGATTGCGCCTCCAATCAGGGCAGCATCTTTGCCAACGTGGATGGCGAAGACCGAAGCATCTTGATCCAGGGCTTGAAGAACCTCAACCGCGCCGTGCATGGAGACTTGATTGCTGTTCAGCTTCTTCCGCGAGACCAGTGGAAGGCTCCTTTGGTGGATGTTGTTATCGAAGAAGGTAGCATCAGCAATCGTGGCTTTGAGGTGCCTTGTTCCTGGATGCTCGTTATTTTCTCAGTCATGTCGCCACCGCTTCCGATGCGCAGGCTTGGAGTTCGCCCTCGGGAAATGGTGGCCCACAACGGCCCCAACCTTATATTCCGTGTCTGCCACGGACCAACGGTTCCTGGTCGCCGCTCGCTATGGTTCTGACGACTTGGCCTCATGTCTGTTCTATCGCAGAGGCTCTTGGCGAGGATGACTTGGACCAAGCCGAGGACACCGCTGCCCCTGGAGACAGCGCAATGGATGTCGACAGCACCAACGCTGAGGTCAAGCCCACGGGCAAGGTCATTGGTATCATTCAGCGGAACTGGAGGCCATACTGTGGCACGATCGACAAGAAATCAGTCGTCATGACGGGCGGAAGCGGCTCGCAGAATGTGTTCTTCTGGTCGATGGATCGACGTATCCCAAAGATTCGCATCAAAACCAAACAAGCCATCAGCCTGGTTGGCAAGCGCATCATTGTGGCCGTCGATGGCTGGCCTCGCAACTCTAGGTACGTTGCTGCGACAATTGATCCTCAGCGACAAAGCGGGAGGGGGACGCTGCATATGATGCGCGGTAGCGGGCTCATTGTTGGCGTGCCGTTGGCGACGATGTAGATATCCCTCGGGTCACTTTGTGAAGACCCTGGGCGAAGTCGGTGATCGCGATACCGAGACGGAGGTGCTCTTGCTGGAGCACGACTGTCCGTATGCGCCGTTCTCGAAGCACGTCGAGAGCTTCCTGCCACCCGAAGGCGAGAGCTGGATCGTCAAGGATGAGCATGTGGCCGGCCGGTGGGACCTCAGAGACTTGGACATCTGCAGCATCGACCCTCCGGGCTGTACAGATATCGACGATGCCCTCCATGCCAAGCCGCTGCCCAACGGCAACTTTGAAGTTGGAGTTCGTAAGTGGCAAAGCCAAATGCAGGATCGGTCCGGATGACAATTCCGAAACCTGATCGCTCGCAGCCTTTTGCCACTCAATGTACCCACCACCGCCATCGCCCTCTATCCCTCTCTGCCTCCTTGTCGTGGCCATCGTCAGATATTGCCGATGTGAGCCACTTTGTCAAGTCGGGAAACGCCATGGATGCCGAAGCAGCGCGACGTGGAACCACGGTCTATCTGGTCAACAAACGTGTTGATATGCTTCCCGGACTGCTGGGCACAAGTAAGGCCAGTTCTGCTGCAGCTTCACCCAATGACCCTCTCGACACTAGCGCTACGTTGTCTCAACCCCCGCATTCTCCTGGCAGATCTTTGCTCGCTGCGCTCCAACGTCGATCGGCTCGCCTTTTCGGTCATTTGGGTACGTTTCCAGGGCCATCATCAAACGAGTGCACATTATCTCTTGTGCGGGTTGACTGAGCTACCATTCCCCTTTCGCAGGAAGTTGACCAGGAAGGCGAAGTTCAGAGCGTCAAATACAACAAGAGTGTCATCCGCTCCAAGCACTCGTTCACGTACGATGAAGCCCAGGCACGACTGGACGACCCGTAAGTCAGAGTGCACTTCACCAAGCCATCGATATGATGCACAATGCCACCCCGGCACTGGCTCACTCTCCACTTACGCCGGCTGTGTCGCATCCGACGCATGTGCAGGAAAATGGTTGATCCTGTCTCGCAAGGCATCAAGATCCTCAATCAGATTGCCAAAAAGATGCGCAAGAAGCGCATGGATCGCGGTGCCTTGACCCTCGCCTCGCCCGAGGTCAAGTTCCATCTGGAAAACGATTCACAGGATCCTGTTGACGTCGGTGCGTGTCGGAGACGCATGTGCTTGCCCAGTTGATACTGCACCGAGACCGCGCCTCTGGCGAGCGGACAGTCGGCTGACCAAGATGGCCATTCTATCGACAGAGATGAAGGAACTGAAGGACACCAACGCCTTGGTCGAAGAGTTTATGCTTCTCGCCAACATCTATGTCGCCAAGAAGATCTTTAGCCACTTCCCCGATTCGTCGATGTTGCGGTAGGCTCGACAAGCATATAATCAGCGTCAGGCATACCCGCTTCACCGACTGACAACTACCCTGCCCTGCAACAACTCACTCCACTTGCTGCAGTCGCCATCCAAAGCCTCCCCGAACAAGCTTTGAGACGCTTCTCAAGGCACTCGAGCCCCTTGGCATCACCCTGGACGTGTCGACCTCCAAGACTCTGTCCGACTCGCTCGACAAGGCCGTGGTGAGCGTCTGTTGTCAATGGTGCACCTTGGGGGGAGTAGCCAAGCGATAGACAGCTACAGGGCACGGATTTACGCTGCACCTTTTACCGCCGCTTGCCCAGATCGCCTCGGACCCCTATTTCAACAAACTCTTGCGCATCATGACGACGCGGTGTATGATGCAAGCTGTCTACTTTTGCTCGGGCACCACCGCCGAGCATGAGTTCTGGCACTACGGTCTCGCCTCTGAGATCTACACGCACTTCACATCCCCAATTCGCCGTTACGCTGGTGGGTAGCCAGCGACATTGCTCGTGCTTGCCAATGGTATCGCATGTAGTCGGTGCACAGAGGAGAGGAACTCGAACTAACGCAGTTGTATGGCCGCTCGATAGATTTGGTTGTCCACCGCTTGCTTGCAGCGGCGATTGGTGTGGATCGGACGTACTCCTCGGAGCTCACGGATAAAGTCAAGATGACCGAACTCTCCGATGGTAAGCTATCGTGTGGCTGGTGGCCAGAACGGCAGCGTGGAGAGCGTACGATCGATGCGTGTGCTCATTCATTCACTCTCTCTGGGGCCGTGCAGTCCTGAACTACCGACATCGCAACGCCCAGCACGCCGGCCGATCGTCGGTCGAGCTCTTCACCACCCTGTACTTCCGCGACAAGAAGGTGGACGAGGAGGGCTACGTCATCCGGGTGCTCAAGAACGGATTTGTGGTGTTGATTCCCAGGTAACATGCGTGCTTCACGACTCTGTCGCCACACCCTCGTTACCGGTGTCGTCATTGGTTTGGTGGTGAAATAGGGCCAGCAGTCGACGCTAACGTCATGCATCGGTACGACTGGTATGCTAGATACGGCATCGAGGGTATTGTTTACACCACAGCACCGGGAGCGGCAGCCGGGTCGTCGGCCTTTGCCTTTGATCCCGCAGCGAACACGTTGACATCACCCAACCTCACCGTCAAGATCTTCCTGAAGGTGACAGTGCAGATCACGATCGAAGAAGCGGGCGTCACCGGCGAGAGAAGCAAGTTGGTGATGCGCCTTGTCAGTCCTGCTGTTCCGGGCCTCAGCGTGCCCCCTAGCGGTCAAGTGGTCGAGATCCCCGAGCAGGGTCCTGGGATCCCCGAGACGAGCTCGCAGGCTAGTCAGCCCCCGGCCACCAAGAAGGCCAGAAAGTCCAAGAAGTGATTATCCGGTACGATCTCGGGTAGCTATGATCTCGGGGCAGCCTGGTCTTGGGCCGGCCAACAGGTTGTTGAGTCTCTGGATCTGAATGGAAGCGCTTTCGATCGAGTTGGTGGCACCGCAGAACAAGAATGTATTGAGAAGCAGCGGCGAGGCTGCGAAAGATCAATACAGGTTTGGTGCGCGCACAACGAAGCATAGAGATGTGGAGCCACTGGTATCATTCAAGGCTTGCGGATGGCCCTGACTCGGAGGCGGACGCAGTCCGCAACCCACTTGCCGTTCTTGTCACAGAGAACCGGTCTGAGCTGCTCGACGACCTCGTGTCGGATCTGCGCCGCCTCGGCCTCGGAAAAATGCTTCAGGAGAGGCGCACCAAAGGTATCGACCCAGCCACCGACATCGGCGGGGAGAGGCAGTCGGCGTGGGAACAGCCCGATGGATTCGACCTCAAAGCCGTTGCGCTCGAGAATGGTCTTGTACTCGTCGGCGCTGTGACATCGTGAATGGATGGATGTGAATGTGAGCACGAAGGCCAGAGCCGAGAGTGGATGGATGGTATGGATGGGATGGGATGTACGTCGACGACACTCACGTTGGGAAGAACCAGGGCGAGAGTTCGACGCCGTCCTTGCCTCGGCGACCGACTGCCGCAATCAGGGCCGAGCGAACAGAGGCAACGCAAAGATGTCCACCAAACTCGGCGACGAAGCGGCCGCCAGGTCTGAGAAGCTGACGGACGCCGCGAACGACAGCCTCAGGATCTTTCTTCATTCGTTGAATGACTGTGGAAAGGGCGTGTGGCAGATGAGGCGGCAGAATGGCGGTGAGCGAGATGAGTCTGAGAGGGACAAGGGACTCGAATCACACATGCCTGATGCCGTGGGAACCACCACGATGCACACCAGACACTGCATGGCAAGGATGTGGTGTGGCGGATATATCCCTCGGCAAGACCATCGCACACCAAGGATACCACCGAGTGCATGAGTGCATGAGTGCATGAGTGCATGAGTGCATGAGTGCAGGGGTGCAGGGGTGCAGGGGTGCAGGGGTGCATGCCCATACCTGCGTTGCTGAAGACAGCATCATAAGGGCCCTTGTAGCTGTCGCCGATGTCCTCCTCGAGCCTCTGGCCGTCAACAACATCGTATCGGAGGCGGCTCTCGTCGATGCCGGCGGCTGCAGCCTTGGCCCTGGCAGCCTCGATCATGGCCGGACTCGAGTCGGTGCCGACGACCCGAGCGCCAAAGCGGGTGACGAGCTCCTGGGTCAGGACGCCGTCGCCGCAGCCAAGGTCAAAGATGCGCTCGTCCTGCTTGGGGTCCAGGAGAGTGACGATGTTGCTGGTCAAGACGGGGACAAAGGCGGCGTGGGTCGAGTAGTGGCTGGGAGACCAAAAGTCGGACTGTTGGGCAGACATGGGTGGCGAGATGGGTGGCGAGATGGGTCTGGAATGAGAAGGATTGACAAGAGACCGTGGGCTGACTGAAGGAGGAATGGCCAGAGTGGTGAGATGGGCTGTGGGCTGTGAGCTGTGAGCTGCAGCATGGCGGCCGTGCATGTGAACGACATGGACATGCACGCAGACGACATGGACATGGCTGCGGGTGTGAACTGGGTGGCTGTTGTGTGTGGAGAATCAGAGCCAAGTCGAGAGCCACAACGCGAGCGGCGCTACAACTTACAAGGATTGGTTTTCGGACAGAAGGGCGGCTGTGGTGGCAAGGAGGTGGTCGGGTCGGTTGGCGAGTCAATCGGTCGAGGCTGGTCCGCAGTCGCAGCGGATGTGGTGGGTGGTGGGGACTGGACTGGATATCCCAGGTATTTATGTCTGGCTTGTTCGGGGGAAAGCGGAGGCGGACGAGCCGGACGCGCCCGATCTCCGGGAACGCCCGATAGGAGAGAAGCCGAGAGTGTCCGGGGTTCCGAGTGCTCCCGTTGCGGGATCGGCGATTTCCGGAGGGCGGCGTGGGCAGCGACGACGCAAAAGCGGGCGAGGGGGCGATGGAGAAGAGGGATCGGCATGGGAGAGAGGGCAGGGCAGCGTGGGTCATCGGCAGATGCCGGGAGCAACGCCGACCGAGCCGCAGGAGGCAACGGCAATCGTATTCGTCATGGGAATGTCGTCTGCATCTCGGCATCGGCATCGGCAGCATGGGCATCGACACAGCGTGGGACATTGGCGAGGCTCATGAGCCTGGATTGGCCCTCATGGCCAGCCGTTCCCAGGGACTAGCTTGCACCCCGCCAACGAGCAACGGCCGGCGACTCTGCTGTTGTTTGGACCCTTGCAGCACAATGTGCCCTCACAGCTTGTCCACGAGCCCAGCATCCCTGATTTTGGCTGCCCGGTCCCTCTCCTGGCACTTTGCTGGAGCCCAGTGGACTCAGGGTTCATATGCTCCTCACCCGCCCCAGGCCACGATCGTTCCCACGCGCTTTCTGCAAGCACTCGCAACTATTCCGATATATATATATATGCCTGCGTGTCCGGGTTTTGTTCTGGTCGCAGATGCGATCTTCGCCATTCACACCTCTCGACGCTATATTCAACCATGACTATGGACTCCAAACACCAACCCCGCAGCCCCAACCGCTTTGCCGCTCTGTCCCCGGCCGGCAACTTCAACTCCAACTCCAACAATATCGGCACCGATCCCAAGAACGTCATCGTCAGCAACGCCAACAGCTTCGCGGCGAATGCGAATGTACTCGCACCCGGCGTCAACGTCCCCGCATCCAGCATCAATGCTCTCGGAGTGAACACCGCAGTGGCCCCGCAGTCGCCGTCGGTCGCGGGCATTGTTCAGCAGCCGCTCTCTTCGGCTTCTCGCATTGGGCCGACCCCGGGGCCGATCTCAGGACCGATCTCAGGACCGATCCCGGCGGTGGGCGGCAGCATCATCGGCGGCGGCAGCATCATCGGCGGCGGAGCTTCCCAGACATTTCCGGCGGTGGGGCTCCCAGCGGCTGCGACGGCCTTCTCATCGATCGGATCTGCCCAGGCACTCCAGCCCAGCCTGACAGCAGGCGCCATGGTCAACGGCACCGCCGTCATCACTGGCCCAACAGCGACAGGCACTGTCAACGCAAACGGCACGGCGGCAGCGAGCCCGTCGCCGTGTGTGCCCGGAACGGTGCTGGGAAGTTTCATCATCAGCGCCCCAAACATCTCCTCGATCTTTCTGGTGGGTTCGACGGTGACGATCACCTGGAAGTACTCGCCGACGGTCACGAAGCCGCCCAAGACCATCAACGCCTTCTACCAGGACGTCTCCATCACCACCACCTGGAGTAACAAGATCGGCATCGGCCTCACCACCACCAACAACACCCTCCAGTGGACCATCCCGCCGCTGCTCGATGGCAAGTACGAGGTCCGGCTGGTGCCCGACGGCAAGGAGACCTTCAACATTCCGCAGGACCAGATGCCGTGCTTCTCCAACGGCGAAGCTCTGCCGGCCGTCTCCGGCGCATTCTCGATCCAGAACCCAATCTATGTCAGCCCGACGGTGGACCGATTCCCGCCCAACACTTCGCATGCTGTTCGCAGCGGACCAGCGCCGGTTTTGCATGCGGGCACGCTGTGTCTTTTGGCCGTGTGGCTGTGGCTCTGTCGGGCGAGTCGGCTGTGGATATGAGTGTTTTGCGGCGGCAGCAGGACGAGGCGGACCTCAAGTCTGCATGGTGGACGGTGCCGAGCAGGATGGCGGACAACAACCAGGAGGGGAGGAATCCGATATAGCCGCTCATGGAGCCCATGTATCGCATGTATCTCATGTATCGCATAGGAGTGGACAAAGCTTCTATATCGGTTTGTAACAGACACATGAACTATATTCCTTTTTGTTGGCGTTTATCCTCCACTGGAGAGTTTGCGCAGGGCAAGCAAATGATATAATAAACTCGATGGTACAGCAAGAGAATGAAGAAGATGAAGATGGGGACGGAGCGAGAAAGAATGTGAAATCAGAACTGAATTACAGAATAACGATAAAAAAAAGCAACAAACACACGACAGCCATGCGGGTTGTTGTTGGTCGCGCTGAGAGACCATAGTCAAGGAACGGGAGGAACCAGTTCGTCAGGCGGCTATGAAGTGCAAACCAGACGCAGGCTTGGGCTACGTGCATGCACGCAGATGGAGGGGGAAGGGGGGGCGACAAAGATCATGGAGGCACTGAGCGGATGCAGCGGATCCTGGAAATACTGAAAAGCAGAGAAAGAAAAGGGAGTGGATGTGTGCCAGGTCTGGGAAGAGCCAGCCCGAGCCAGGCACGAGGGTGAGGGATTAAAAGAGGAATGCCCGCCAAAGGAACATGGAAGTGGATTGTACGAGTAAGGGCGCTCTCGGAAAGGTTCGCTGGTATCGGGGTGGGAAAGAGTGCAGGGGTCGATACTCAAACGGTCGGGGGTGCTCCCGTGGGGTGGTTGGTTGTTGGGGAGAACAGCCGTCTGCACTTGGAAACAGGCGAGGCCGGGGAGGCGGAGAACTGGCTCGAGTGAGGCGCAAAACCTTCAGACAGACGCAAGCGACCAGGCTCGAGGTCTGGAGGAAGGCACCGCTGGGCTCCGTGGCCAGATGCGGATGCGGATGCGGAGGTGGCATAGAATTCGCAACGTGGTGGAGGGAGAGGGAGGGGGCAGGACGGAGGATGGGGGCGGAGGTTGCCGAGCCAGGAGAGGGGTTGGATACATCCGAGGGCTTTAGTAGTAGACGCGGCCATCATGAGTGGGCGGATAGACGGACGGGGCGCGGTAGTAGCCCTGGGCCATAGCAGCTTCGTCGTGGGTCGGGCGGGTGCGCGGGTGGATCGGATCGACGGGTTTCTGGTCCCAATGCTTGTGGGAAAGATCGTACTGTTGGGGCGCCGGGGTCAGGGGAGTATCAAAGAAGGCCTCGTTGTGAGGAGGCGAGACCCGGGCGAGGCCATAGGAAGGGCGTTCTTGGGTGCGGTGCAGCGACTGCTCGAGCTCTCTGAACGAAGGCAGACGCTCGGACGAGGGCGACGAGACCGACGAAACCGAGGGGAGAGCTGGGGCGCTGAGTTCGCGCAGCTTGGTGGGAAAGTCGTGGTTGTACCGGGAATGGGAGGCGGCCTCGACCGAGTGCGGGTGCGGGTGCGGGTACCGGACGAAGTGAGAGTGCGAGGCGCTCGGGGAAAAGGATGCTCGGCGATCGACAGAGTCGTCGGTGAGACGGATAGAGGGGGAGGGAGGAGAGTAGTATCCGTGATTGGGGAAGGCATAGGCCTCAGCCGGGCCATGTTCTGGGTAAGGGCGGGACAGGGAGTGGTGGTGAACCGAGGCCGTTGGAGAGACACTGTTGGGAGGCGACTGGCCTCTGGGCAGCGAGATGGCCTCGGGCCGGGTAGCCTGTTGCTGCTGTTGCTGCTGCTGCTGGTCAGGGTTCGCACGCTTGGTGTAGGGTCGTCGACGCAGCGGAGGGGCGTTGGCCGGGATGGAGGAGCACCAGATCTTCTTGGCATGGGAGCGGTAGTGCTGGAGCATATTGTCGTGGCGGGAGAACTTTGAGGTGCAGTTGGGGATGGGGCAGCTGTACGGCTTGAGGCCCGAGTGGGCCTTGGCGTGGCGAGAGAGATGGCCGCTGGTGAAGGCAGGGGACAGTGAGGAGAACGAATGAGGATGAGATTTGAAGTGGTGTGCGGTGACAGACGAAAGTATCGAATCGATAGAGCAATAGATAGAGCCGCAAGAAAAAGTACTCGACAAAGCCAGCGAGAGGAATGCAAGTGCAGCGACAAGGGGCCAGGACAGAGGAGGAAGCGAGGAAAGACGCAGGGAGAGAGGATCTGCAAAGGAAGGGTACGGTGCGGATCGACTGCAGCAGATGATACGTACGAAGTTGCAAACGCCTTGCCGCACGCGGGATATTCGCAGACAAACTTCTTGGCGACCGCGGCCTGGTTGGCAGCGGTGCTGGAGATTTCAAGGGAGGCCAGATGCGAGGACATGGCAACGAGAGAGAGCAGCGAGGACTGAGGGAGGAGCGTCGAAGGAACAGAAGCAAGCAGGGGAAGAAAGGCAGGAGCGAGATCCAGAACCGGCGCGATGGAAGCGGCCGACAGAGGAGAGGCGAGACGGGGGAGGAGTGGACTGGAGACGAGAGGCCAGGGAAGGCGGATTACCAAGAGGGGAGCTTGGAATCAGGGATGGGATGGGTTCGCTGGGGGGAGGGAAAGCGAAGGAATCGCAACGGCAGCGAGGGAAGCGGGGAGACTAAATACCAAGGGGCGAGGCAATACCGGGGACTGTGTATGGGGTGCTCATGTAAGCCGAAGCGAGCAAGGCGGGGACCAGCAAAGGCCGCACGCCAGCCGGTTGGTCGAGCAAAACAGGCGGCGTTAGGGCGCCCGACAAGGACGGGACAGATGACCCGCGCGGCGGGTGTCCAGCGATTCCTTTGCGAGCACGGACGGACCAACAAGGCGGTGGGCGGCTTCATTTGGGAGGGGGCTGTGGGGAGCGGGAGCAGTTGGTGCTGGTGCAGTTTGGTGGTGGTTAACAGATGCAATACTGGCAGTTGGAGTGGCAGTTGGAGTGGCAGTTGGAACGAAAGTTGGAACGAAAGTTGCGACAGGTCCATGGCGCCGTTGTCTCGCTGCTTGGTCTCAGTGTTAGTTGGTCTGTTGGTCTCGGTGTTAGTTCGTCTGTTGGTCTGGTTCAGCTGGCCGGACCAACGCCTGTCGGCCTCAGAGGCACATGCCTATCCGCCAACAGAAGCAACGGCAGCGCCAACGACGGGCGGCGTGCGGCCGTGATGTTTGGGATCCTCCATGGCAGGAGCGCACGGCATTATCCTTTGACCGAAAGCGCACGCCGTTGGACCTTTGCCCAGCGACGTTGCCAAGGCAGCGTGCAATGGCCGCAAACAAACCCGTGCGCCCGCGGCAACGGCCCCTGCGCCGGCTCTGGCCTGGTTTGGTGTGGTTTGGTGTGGTCTGCTCTGCGCTGGTCTGTCCCTTGCGAGGAGCGAGCAGAACGCATCCCGTGCACACCCTCGAGGCGACGGCTGATGCGGCTCCTTTCTTTTGCCAATCCCTTTTGCCTTGCTGCCGGCTGTCCTGATGGAGGGACAAATATTTGCTTACACCAGCAGCCCGGCCTTGCCGCCGGCTCCATGTGGACGCTGATTCGGATACAGGGCATGGGCGGATGCGTTGTGGTGTGGCGGGCTATTGCCGTGTTGGACGCCGTGTTGGATGCCATGCTGGATGCCATGCGTAAAGCTATGCTAGATGCCATGCTAGATGCCACGCTGGATGCCATGCGATACCCGATGCAGCGACATGGTCGATGCTGCAACATAATGCATCAACTCGATGCCAGACGAAAGCGTCTGACTGTGCAAGCTCTTTGGGGCGACGGCGGCGTCCAGACACACCGGAGCCACCCGGCGCATCGCCTTGAGGACGCTGTGTCCTTGCCACCCTTGCTGCCCTTGCTGCTGCTGTCGTCGTTGCGTCGCGGCTTGCCTGGTCGCTCGCCCGTTTCTGGACCACGGCCGATCGAATGGAACAAATGGCGGCGGCGATGAGAGCTGCCCGACAGCACCAACGGCGTCTGCCGGAGCGACATGCATCACCGACGATACCCACACCAGCGCTGCTGGCAGCAGCGAGCCGCCCGGCCAGCGCTGTGCTCGGCGTGCAGCAGCAGCAGGCAAGCAGCAAGCAGCAAGCAGCCGGACAGGCTCGCACAAGTTGTGCATCCAAGGAACTCAGGGACAAGCGCTCTGGCGGGCTGGCCGTCGAGAGGCGGCCCAGGAACCTGCAGCATCGGGGAGGGACAGGCAGGGGCGGCTGGGTGGGCTGGGTGCGGGCCGTGACACAAGGTGCGCGTGTGGCGGTAAGGGAAAAGGGAGCGACAGCCGGCGGCTGGGGAGGCGCTGGTGCGGGGCCTTGCTGGGCCCTGACTGCATTAGCCCGTGGCACATTGCGCTGTTTGTGCTGCCGTGCGGCGCGGCGGCGGTGGTGTGCGTGTGGCCAGGGGCACTGTTTGTGTGGGGTCTGTGTTGTGGTGCTGCTGATGTTTGTGTTGTCTCGGTGTGATGCACAGCGTGACATGATGCAGTGCGATATGCTGACAACAGTGCAGCACCGTGCAAGCCGGTGCGGGGCCGGGCCTGTCGCGGCGGCATCGGCCACCGCCCAGGAGTCATCATCTCCGTCTGCTCCTCCTCCCCGCCCTTCCTCGTCTTCTTGCGCACCGCCCACACGCCGCTCGCTCCCTCGCACCGCTTTCCATCCCCGCCATGTTCCGCGCACCGCTTTGGCTGACAAAGACGTGGCGGTGTGGCACCGCTTCGCTCCCGCAAGCGAATCAGCTGCACGACGCTTTCCGCTTTGTCTCCCGCCCGCGCAGCGCACCACTGGCGCCCGTCGCCGCCCGATCGCGCCGATTCCTGCGTGGTCAGCGGGGGGCCGCGATGTCGCTGACCAAGCCGCCAGTCCTTCCCGATCGCGCGGCGATGGCGAAACCAGGAACGGGGGCGCCAGCGCGGCACAGAGCCACCCTGCCGTCGGCCGCGTGAGGCGCTGCATGTGCTGTGCTGTGATGTGCTGTGCTGTATTCTTGGGGTGTCGTTGGGCTGCGCTTGGATCATGGAGTTGCGTCCGATGGTTGAGCTGCGTCTGATGGCTGAATCGCATTTGGATGGCTGAATCGCACCCCCATCGTCGAGGTGTGGATTGTATCCCCTGGATGTGGACCGCATCTGGACACGGCGGCCTTGCCGACACAGCCCTATCGCACAAACGCAATCGTTCTGCTCAGCAGGCGCTGTCCCGAACACAAATGCATTTCGTCTTTCCCACCACGACAAACCGCACCTGCAGCAACCGCACAATGCCCTCGTCGCCAGCGTGCGATTCAGGCCAAGCGCATGCTCTTGTCGCTTGGCGCGACCCCCCCCACACAGCTGCCTGTTGCACCGACTTGGTGCGTCTGGCTCGAGTGGGACATGCGCGGCCATGGCTCCGTTTGCCCCTCCAGCCACCCAGCCCTGCGGGCTGTGTTCCCTTTGGCGACTGCGCTGTCGCTTGTCCAGGACTGTCCAATGCTGGGTGTTGCATGCTGTTGCCTGCTGCTGCCTGCCGCCTGCTCTCCCATGGAATATCCAGTCCTATCCATGCATTCCTCAAGTGATCCCATAACAGCAATGCTCGCTCGTCGTGCTGCCACCATCGCCATCGCTGCCGCCCTCGGCTTGCCATCATCGCCCCAGACCGACCCGCCTCCTCCGGTCCTTTCCACTGCCTTCCCTTCCCTTCCTTGCTGGTGCCGCCCCTCGGCCCTTGCCTGCACGTTTGTTTGTTCTACAGACCCCGTCGTTGCCGTCGCCGAAATGTCCTCTGTACTCTGTCCCACGCCTGGCTTTGCTTCCGCCACGTGAAGATCGCTTCCCAGCCGCGAGCCAGATCGCCACCGGGCGCACAGGCGCAACCTCTCCCCCACCGCAGCTGGCCCATCCTGCATCGGCCCTGCGGTCGGTGCGCCGCCTTTGTCGCCTTGCGCAAGTCCCTGCATCGGTGTGCTCTTCGGGGACGACCCTGGCGGCACTGGATGGGCCGGACTCGCAGGCAAGCCGGGACTGCCGACCGAATGCGACCAAGTGCGGCCACCACCGCACCATGCATCGCCAACGACTACTCACCTCCTCCACCTCCACCACCACGCATCAACGGCTGCAGCTGAAACTGCCAGCCTGGCCCCCCCCCTCGACCACCCAGTCGACCTGCTTGGGTTTGAGTTGCTGGTTCCCTGCCCCCTTGCACCACTCGGCCATCGCCCAGCAGCCACACCTCCTGCCCTCCCACCACGCCAACATCTGCCCATGCCGCCACCCCGTCCATGGGCTGGAGCCGCTCGACGCCCACCCCTTCTGGCCTGGTTTGTTTGTGGGGTGCGGGCGAGTGCTCTTGGCACTTGCTTCTTCTGGTTCCCACGCCGCCTTCGGTCGCTCGGGTCTTGCGTTGTTGCCTGGCCTGAATCTGCTTGCTTAATGGCCGGAGGCATCTGGGCCCGCCTGCCTCCCGCTGCTTCATGTCTGCCGGCTTTGCCTGCATCGGCTTGTTTCTCGCAGCGGTACTTGCCCCATGTCTGTGCTTGCCCAACCAGCTCAACCAGCCCAACCAGCCCGTCTCGCCGAACCTTGCCTCCATGGCTGGTCTGCCGCTTGCGTCTTCGTGCTGGGTTCTCCTCGTCCCGTTCCCGTTCCCGTCCCATTCCCATTCCCATTCCCATCCCATCGCCAGGTGCCTTGCCCTTGCACCCTGTCCGTCCTCCCACCAGCCCAACGCTGCCCCGCTCGCCCATGGCCAGCATCCCAGCCAGCCCCATTTCCTCGGCTGGGCTGTTGCCAGCGCCGCTTGCCATGGCCCCCCAATCATCCATCCATCATCCATCCATCCATCCATTCATGCCCTGCCATGACCATCGTGGTCCTGCGCGTGGCCAATCGATCACATGCAGCCGCCTTCCTGTCCTCGACTGCCCCTGCCTTCCCTCGCCGCGACCGGCTTCGATCTTGGTCAGCGTCTTCACCCGAGCCTGCCAGGTTCGATCATATCCCTCCTCCTCCTCCTCCTCCTCGCCATCAGCTGCCCTTGCCTTTCTCTTTCTTTCCGTTTTTCCCTCGTCCTGTCCTCTCGCCTCTCCCGAACATGCCCCGCTCGTCTGCCTGCTGACCCCCTGCCCCACCCGCAGCCTCATCGGCATGACTTGCATGGCTCGCGGCAGGACAGGAAACTCTGTTCTTCTTGGCGGCAGACAGCGCGGCATAATTCTTTCCAATTTTGACGGTGCTTTTGCTTTTGCCTTTGCCTTCTCGTATTTGCACACCCGTCGGCATGACCGCGCGGATGCTGCTGCTTGGCCGCTCCACTCGAGGAACGGGCTTGGTCGAGGGCCTGCTGAGCGGCCCTGGGCGACTGTCGCCATCGCCATCGCCATCGCTGCTGGTCCCTGCCGATCCTTTCCTTGGCGATGAGGTTGCGGCTTACGAGACAGCAGCCGTAGTCACATGGGGGCGCCGGACCAAGAGGAAAGGAAAAGGAGCCGAGCCAGACTTTGGCTGGGCAAAAGTTACTGCCGACGAGACGCAAGGCGACGCAAGGGACGCAAAGGCCAGGAGATAGCAAAGACGAGGTGGGGAGCTAATCTCGCCGGCCGATACTCTCCACAATATTCTGGGATCTGGTCGGCGTGCTTCGAGTAGTGTTCGTCGGGGTGCTTCGAGTAGTGTCCGTCGGAGTGCTTCGAGTAGTGTCCGTCGGGGGCGAGATGGTCGCTCGCATCGGCCGGTATGTGTGGTGCTTATGGATGTGGGGGCTCCTCGAATGCTTGCAGCTCTTGCCGCTGGTACGGCGACCGACACACCGGACAGACCCGGCTGCCCGCATCCGCGAACCGCTCAAACGACTCCAAGCACGGCTCATGAAAGACGTGCGAGCAGCTCGTCAGCGCCAGCCTTTTGGGCCGTTTCGAGTGGGCCCTTGGGCGAATCGGTCCGAGGCAGATGGTGCAGTTCGAGTCCCACATGTCTCGATCGAGGGCCACTTGATAAGTCTGCTCCCAGTCCTCGACCGACAGGGTTGGCAGCGACTGGATCCGCTGGAATTCCTGCGTCGACCTTGTCGAGGTCGAGGTCGAGGTCGAGGTTGGGAAAGATGGGGGGAGTCAATGCAGTGCATCCGATATGGCGAGCAGGAAAGTGAGTGAAATGCAGCGGCCAAGCATTTCTCACGGCCAGGTGCTGTTGTTGCTGTCGCTTACCGATCGATGATTCGGCGCGAGTGGCTCACTTGCGCATCCAGCTGCCGGAAGAAGGCTCCGAGGCCCTTTGTTTCGCTGCGGACAGCTTGCTCGAGTTTGCGTGAGTGTCGCTCGAGCTGGCAACGGCAATGGCAATGGCAATCGTTGGGGTTGGTGAGTTGGGTTGATCCAGTGAGCTCGCAATCCGAATCGCATCGCCCTGTTCTACGTCGCGAATTGTCCATTACCTTGTCCAGATGATATTTTCGGAGGAGCTTTGGGTCGGTTGGAGGATGGCACTCGCGATATTGCAGATATGCCCGGTGGAGCTTCCACATTCTCCAAGTCTTCTGGATCCTGTCGTTTCCGTGGCCGTCCCGTCACCATGATGTTCGCCCTCCCCCTCCCCTCTCATCATTTCCCACAACAGACTGGAGCGACATCAAGGACCACAGCCATGTCCCTCGGCTTACATCGTCGCTGCTCGATTGAGATACGCCCGCTTGCCTTCGAATATGAGCCGCTTTTGGTAGTTGGCTTGCCGGCACATGGGGCACATCTTTTGCCCCACAAACCGCTCATACGACTCGATGCCTAATCGTCCCAATCGCCAGCAAGATCAATATCACTCGCATGGCAGGATCAAGATCACCCGCAGCGCCGACCCGAGCCGAGTCGGTCCCGAGCCCGGATGTAGGAACTCACAGTGCCGATGGAATACATGCGAGCATGAGAGCAGGATCTGGTCCTCGGTGCGAAACTCGTCCTGGCAGATGGAGCACGATGACTCGTTTCGGGTCATGAAGGTCATCTTGATATGATTCCAGTCGGCGTTGGTGAGCAGGGCGGCGGGCCGGTCGACGATCCCCATTTTCTGCGCTGGAGGATGCATGAGGCCATGATCGAGAGACACAGTGATCTGGTGAGCCAGTTGGCTTTTGCATCTGTGCCCAAGCCGAGAATTCTCTTGCCCGTGTGGGCTTGTCGGGATGTGTGGTGTGGGTCCACATGCACACAGCCATGGTCATGATCATGGCCGTGTCTGGCGATCTCGTAGAAGGCAATGCGGTCGACATACCCAGCGTCAGCGGGGCCTGCTTCTGGGCATCCAGCGTCCGGTCCTTTTCGACGAAAAACGGGGCGCCCTCGAGCCCCGGCCCCAGCGACGATCCAGCTCCACTTTCGGCCCGATGCAGCGGGCTGTCATTGGTGTCAAGAACGGGGTGCAGACTCGCCATGAGCCGCCTTTCGGCCCGATCCAGCTGCAGCTTCTCGCGCTTCCACTTGGCGAGTTGCTTCTTGTGCATCGATATCACAGGTGCTGGCCGTGAACCTGGCGGTATCGGCGGCAGCGGATCGAGGTGCGCCGGGAGCGACTGGTGCTGAGACGAAGGGCCGGTCTGCCCGAGTCGACGGGACGGGCCTGAACCTTCGAGATGGAGCGACCGTGAGAAATGATCCTGCAGGGCAACGGCTCTCCACAGACCCAGCGAGTCCTTGCGGCTGTTCTCGCGCTGTCGAATGGGCTGCATTGTGCTGGATAGAGCCGGTCGGGTTCGGAGCCGCCAGAGGTCGATACGACTGGACGGCTTGCTGGGACCTTGATGCGCTCCAGCGCCGGATGAAGGTGTGGGCCGAGGTTTTGGCGGGAAACGCTCGATTGGGAGGGCAGTCCCGAAGGCTTCCCTCCTCCGAGAAGACTCTTGAAGAGGCTCGCTCGCCGCAAGACGCCTTGGCTCCCGCCAGATCTTGTCTGCGAATAGTCCACTGCACCATTATCCTAGCTAAACGTCGTCGATTCAACCATGGTGCGCATTGATAGGAGCTGCGATCTGAATCTCACTCACGTCCGCTGATGCATCTGGCTCTGCAACTCGCACTTGGCTGATCCCTGCGCTGCGTCTCGCCAGTCTGAAGTCGAAGAAACCATCAAGCGACTCGCGGGCCACAAAGGTGTCGAGGGCGTCGTCATCGTGAATATGGAAGGCATTCCCATCCGGACGACCCTCGACAACGAAAAGACCGTCCAGTACGCCGCGCTCATCACCCAGCTCTCCTCCAAGGCCCGCAGTGTCGTTCGCGACTTGGATCCTCAGGTGGGACCGCAGAGAGGTGGACTGGAAGGGGCTGCGGGAGCGCATTGACTCGCTCCACATGCTCGAGATCAGCGAGCGTGGGCAAGGACACCAAGATGCATCGCCAAGGCCGTGGCTGGGAACTCATGTCACTCCACCGCTTTTGATAGAATGATCTCACGTTTTTGAGAATCCGATCAAAAAAACACGAAATCATGGTCGCTCCGGGTGAGTGCGAGTGGGGTTGTTCTGTCGGCAGCGGTCGAGCGACAATGTTGGGCATCCCTTGCGTTGCGGCTGCGACAGTAGTTAAGCGGGACCATTTGCTGTTCGGCGCTGGAACTGACAACTCACGCTCGGTGCTGGGATCTCATCATGCTCGGTGCTGGTATTTCACACTCCATGCTCATCCATCGCCCTCCTGGCTCAGATAAAGAGTATATATTGATAGTATTACAGAATCCACATCCATAGCCACGCGCCGATAGCCGGCGGCCTGTCCTTCGATGCCATTTGGTCCAACGGCTTCGCGGGTTCTAAAATACAGCTCCTTCGATCGGGCCATCGATATAATCCCTCGTCTTGTATTCACACGGCGAATGTTCAGAGGATAGTTGGTGTTCATGTTGAGCGATCCTGGCAACACAGATCTTGGGTGTGCGATCGCTTTGATATATCCCTGCAAGTCGCCTCGGCAGTTTGACCGACACTCTCTGTTCACGATGTTACCCATCTCATCCATCTCATCCATCTCATCCATCTCATCTATCGCCCGCGCCCTCGTGCTCATTCCGTTCGCTGCCTGGCCCATCCCGGCCGTCGTGGGAATGGCTTTCTCCGTCTCTCTTGAACATTCGGTCGGCTCGCTCAGTCGCCCGCCCGTCCGTCCGCTGCCCCTTTGCCAATCGATGCCGCTGCAGCCCCACATCATGGGTTTCGTCCTCCCCAATCTTGCCTGGCCTTCCGCTGTCTTCTTCTGCGTTCCGCAGCCTCGCTTGGCTCCGCCTTGCGTCGGCCCGCCGACGTGGAGGATCGCCCTCCTGCCGCCGACATCAACTGATTTAGCCCAAACCAGCATCCAGGAGCCCCCTCTCTCCCAGCTGGTCTGCATTCCGCTGCCTGCTTTGTCGTCCAAGCTCACACCCAGGCAGTTCACACCTCCCCTCAGGTGCAAACACCGGCCTAAACAGCCCGTCCTCGCCACTCTTGTCCTGGCTCTTGTGGCACCGTCCAGTGCTCAAACACCACGTCGATTTCTGTTGCGATACCTGCCCAGCCCGTGGTCGCACGGCCCTGTCGGCGACTTGGCCAAGTGTTTCTGGCTTCCCTCGTCCTCGCTTCGCCTCGGCCCTCATCGCTCCCGCTCCAGGGCCAGCGCAAGCACTCCGTCCTCCACGGCTGCCTATCCCCTTCCGTCTTTCAGCGGGATCCCAAGCCGCCCGCCCGCTCGCCTCCGCCTCGCCACCGCCTGCGATGGAGTCGTCCCACAGCTCCTCCTCCGGCCCATCCCGCTCGTTCCGGCCCCATGTCCTGAGAACCTCGGGCCTGAAGCATGTCAAGTCGCTCTCGGATCTGATGCAGAGCAGCTCCACCGGCTCCGCCAACTCTGCCGGCACCAACGACTCGGCCGCGCACATGTCCCTGGCCAGCCCTGTCTTGCGCTCGGCCGTCCCGAAACTGCTGCAGCAGGCCGAAGAGCGTCGGCTGCGACAGGGCCGCCTGCTGCTCGTCTCGCTGCTCGAGAACTTTTGTGTCCTTTATGACCAGTCGCCCGACCGCAATCGCCGTCTGTTCTTTGCGATCTGCAAGCAGCTCTCGGCGATGGGGGTAAGTCTGTCGCCCTGGGGTGCAACAGAGTCGGGGGAGGTGGGCGATGATGGGGTATAGGAGCCAGGTTTGAGTGAGCAGAAATCCTGCACCAACATGTACCCGCACATTCCGGACCGTCGGCATGCGGAACCAGGAGCGCCAATGATGGCAGTCGGTCAGGCTCGCAGACATGAATCGGTGGCATGTATCAGCGGGACGCCGCTGGCGGCAAGATCTCGCCACGATCCCGGCACGATCCCGGCACGATTTCAAAGCGACATCAACACAACTTCGACACGATCGGGGCCATGATTTGATGCCTTCTCGACACGATGGGGATGTCAAACTCGACAGCCGTGTATCGACGAAACTCGATGGTGGCCGGCCTGTCGATCGGGCTCTGGATATCAGCATGTTCATGACAGGCCCCTCGAGGCAGCCACTGAACAGCATACACTGTGCATCGTAGCCTCGTCTCCGTCGCCAGTACAGCCACTAATCTACTTGCCACTGCCTGACAGATCATCAGCTCGGACGACTTTATCGACGAGATGACCTCGGTCCGTGCCAACTACAAGCAGGCATTCAAGGAACTTGTCACCCGCGCGCTCTTTGCCATTCAGGTATGCGCTTCCCGTCCTTTTGGGCGACAGCGAACGCAACCAGCGGGGCTGTGCTTCGTCATTAGATCTTGTCCATAGGCTCCTTGTCTAGATCCCTCCTCTCAGAGTGTGTCGCCTCGACTCAATCCATGTGCCTGTGTCCTCAGGAAGAGCAACTCTCACAAAAGGCAATCACTTACGACCAGGGTGCGTTGTGCTGACGCTGCGCCCTGCTGCCAGGCGCAACTGGATGATGGCACGGCAAAGTGGGCTGCGATCGGGCCTCTTTGGCCGTTCACACGCACATTGTCCATGCGGCACTGACATTTGCTTTTGCGCTGCGGCGTGACCTTGCATCGGGCATATCCTTGCTGTTCCAGAATCATCCATGTCGACATCGTCGTCGTCGGCGTCCCAAGTCCCAAACAGCCTGGTCTTGGCTCGATCCATGCCCGCGCGGTCGGCGACCACTTTCTTCTCGCCCATCACACACGACTTTTCGGATATTCTCGATCTTCAGGTCTCCCGCTACCGCGAGGACTTCCAGGAGATCCGCGTGCTCGGCCACGGAGCCTTTGGCGTCGTTTGCTGCGCCCGGAACATGCTTGACTCAATGGACTATGCCGTCAAGAAGATCCGGCTCCGAGCGGGCCGCAAAGCAAAACTGGAAAAGGTCGGGGTCTGCTTCCAAACCATCCTATTGCCGCGGCATCATGCACAGCAGCAATGCTTGGCTTGCTCGTGGACGTGTGATGGAGCTGCAGGACCATGTGCTGAGTGCGAGGAAAGCGTGGCTCACACAAGCATTCGCGCCGCTCTAGATCCTTCGAGAGGTCAAGTTCCAAGCCCGCCTGACGCACGCCAACGTCGTCCGGTATTACTCGGCCTGGTTCGAGCATTCTGAATCGCATCCGAATCCTCGGCTCTTGGACGACTCGTTCGGCATCGGCGGCGATCTCGGCAGTTCGCTCGAGGACTATGAGGACGACGACAACAGCGACGCCATGTCAGAGTCTCTGAGCGAGAGCCAGCCATCGGGCCGGGCTTTTCCCCCGTTCGGAGCGCGCAGCTCACTTCATTCCCAGCAGCTGTCGTCCATGGACCGCGCCGTGCCCTCGATACCCAGATCCGCATCCCCGATGAAGGAAGTGAAGAGTAGTCCTCTTCGGAGCCCTGCCCGCTCTGGCCGCCCCAGCCACCACGCGGATGTAGGCGACAAGGCTGCAGTGTCGTTCTACCTCAGCGAGTCCGAGGGGAGCGGTGCAAATCGCTGGACCGATCTGGACGACTCTGCCACCGATGCCGACACCGAGACCGACGCCGACGCGGACACCGACACCGATGCTGACACCGACGATAGCGCCGACTACATCCAGGCAGATGCCTCTGACACCGATTCAGACTCGGAAAGCGCGAGCTCCTCTAATATGGACTCGGTCTCGGATGACAGCACCCATGGTCTTGGCGAGTTGAACATCATGCCGTCCTCGTGGACTGCCGAGGCGCAGGCCTCCTCGAAGGATCGCTCGAGCACCACCCAAGCCAGCGGCAAATCCTCGGCAGGCGATACCCTCTCAATTGTGGAATCACTGTCGATCCGGTCTGCAGGCGACTCGTCACCGACCCGACACCTGACGCTCTTCATCCAGATGGAGCTGTGTTCCTCAACCCTGCAGGACTGGCTCGTTCGACGCAACGCCAAGAGCAGCCAGCTCGACGATGTCGACCAGGACGAGTGTCTGCGCATCTTCACCGAGGTGGTCGAGGGCCTTGCCTATGTTCACTCGCAAGGATGTATCCACAGAGACATCAAGCCCAAGAATATCTACTGGAAGCCGGACGTCGCCGACGATACAAGCACAGCCGCCAGGGGCCACTGGAAGATTGGCGACTTTGGACTGGTATGTGTGTCCTCCCTGACCGACAAGGCTCGCTCTGGATGGGTTTGCCGCCTGGCTCGACCATCCGTACGATCTCTGAGAGTGTTGATATTCTGTGGACCCGACGGTGGCTCGCGAGTCGATGCAACTCGAAGACTTTCTGCACACCGAGCGTCGCTTTGAGATGTTGACATCACTGGGATGTGTGTGGCCCCTCAGGTCACAGCGGCTGGCGAGAACCTGTTTCACCAGTCGACCCACGAATCCCACCCAACGCCCCACAATCCCGACCGGACAACTGGCGTGGGAACCGGAACGGTAAGTGATCGCGGGTCGCCGAGCAGCCATGTGCGCTTCTGTTGCTACTTTGTCGTCGAGTGCTGACCCAGTCTCGGTTGCCTTGGCCGCGCATACCGCCTTCCACCACCATGCTCTTCGCCAACAAACGCCGACCTGCACTGCCAGTACGCGTCGCCCGAACAGCTGCATCCTTCCGAGAACGTGCCTTATACCTCCAAGTCCGACGTGTACTCTCTGGGCATCATCCTGTTTGAGCTACTTCAGCCCTTCTCGACGGCCATGGAGCGAGCCATGGCTTTGAAGGCGCTGCGAGACGGCGTCCTGCCCGAAGCCTTTGTTCGAAAGTGGCCCAAGGAAACGACCCTGATTCTGTGGCTCGCCTCTGCGGATCCCTCACAGCGCCCAAGCGCCGAAGACCTGCTGAACTTTGAACTGCTGCAATTTTCATCGCGCGGCCAACATGGCGCGGCGGGATGCAAGGGATCCAGCATCGAGACGGTCAGTCGGGGAATCCAAGTTGGACTCGGCGACATCCGAGACGATTTCTACTACAGCCATTTACGCTCGAGGTCGTACGACCGGCTCCCCGTTGGCCATGCTGCTGGCTGCATGCCTCCGTCCGGTGAAGCACGGCATCGCCCGCCACATCCCGCTGCCGCGGGCGAGAGACTGACACATCGCAGTCGGTCGCTGCGGATGGATCTTGCGAGACGCAGCGACGACTATGCCGCCGCCGTTGAGCTCGCGCGCAAGGCAGAGAGCGACAAAGTCGCTGCCCAAAGGGAGAATCTGTTGCTGAAAGAAAGAATCAAGGCGCTCGAGAGTCAGCTGCAGCTGCAGCAGCGTGGCCACGAGAATGGAGGACAGCTGAAGCTCTAGTGTCTGATTCCAGTGGATGTGTTTCTCAAATATACACCCCGAATGGCTCGCAAACTCTTTCATCGTTGGGTACACGGCTGCCATGAGCCAGAGCAAGTGCAAATGGCGTGGTTTCGGTGTGGCTGCCGGCCGTGGGCACTCCAATGAATCCAAACCTGGCAATACAGCCAATCCAACAAAGAACGGGACACCCCGGAGTTGAACAAATATGTTATCACTCAAAACATCGCGCACTGGGTATGACCATTCAGTGATGTGTTTCTGGATCTGAATCAAGGACGCTTTCTCGCTCAGATGGCTCCCCGCAAGCGAAGGACACCACCCAGGCGCCCAAGTGGATCTGCCCTGTTCTTGGAGGGCGGTACCCCTTGTACGTTGGAGCAGGCACTTCGGCCCAGGTATCGCCGTGCCAGGCACTGGTTTCATGCGGATCCAGTCAAGTGCCACACAGCATCACAAGGAAGCACCGGGGCACTTCCACTCCAGCAAGAGCCCCCCACGCACATGGCGCCATGGGCTCTCCGTTCCCACGACTGTCCCGCCTCATGCATCTTTCCGCTTTCGGCAGCATTGCACCCCACGTCTCTGGGCCGTGAGCCAGACCCTCCTCCTTCATCCCAGCCGTTGTTCTGTCTTCATCCACCTCCTCACCCCCGATTCAGCTCTGAGCAGGTCCTCTGTCCCAAAGCACCATGGCTACCACATTCGCTGAGGACTCCAAGCAGGTCGACATCTCCGTCTATGTCCGCGCTCGTCCGCTCCTTCCGCATGAACTCGAACGCGGGCTGGCGGCCTCGGTGTTCGCCGAGGATCGAACTGCGTCCGTCCATGTCCCACAGACCACCGTCAGAGGAGAGTCGTCCGTTCAGGTCCAAGAGTTCAAGGCCGACAACGTCTACGGTCCCGATTCTTGCAACGATACCATCTACGAGCAGGCCGTTCGGAAGCTGGTGGGCTTTGCGCTCAAGGGCGGACTGGCCACCGTCTTTGCCTATGGACAAACAGGTGGGCGGTTGGACGGACGGAAGTTCTGCTGGGCTGGGCCGGTAGCGGAGACATGAAATGTCAGCTTCAAGCTGCTCGTGCATCGCATCGATTCGCTCCCCTCCCCTGCCTCTCTCGTGTATCTCCAGCGAATTCATGTGCCTACTCTGCTTCGCGTCGGACGCTGTCCATACGGGCGTCGGTCCGTTGGTCTACCTTCCTTGATATCCACAGGCTCCGGAAAGACATTCACTCTCACGGCCTTTGAGGCCAGTGTCAGCAAGGATCTCTTCGACCTCGAGCTCCTCCAACAGTGGATCCCGGGGGCCTCGCACGACGATTTTGAAATCCACCTCTCGTTCTTTGAGATCCTCGGCAAGAATGCCGTTGACCTGCTTAGCGAGCGTGCACCCGTCAAGATCCTCGAGGACCACTTCCGGGCTATCCAGGTTCTTGGGGCGCGCGAGGTTCACGTCCGATCCACCAACGAGCTCCAGCAACTGATCCAGAGCGCCGTTCAGCTCCGGCGAACGGAGGAAACGAGCAAGAATGCGACGTCGTCCCGGTCGCATGCCATTTGCCGCCTCCGCATTGTCAACAAATCGGTCTCAGAGGCCGAGGACGGCGTGTTGTATCTGATTGATCTTGCCGGCTCCGAGTCCCATGGCGACTCGAAATACCACGACAAGGAGCGCATGAAGGAGACCCGCGAGATCAACACGAGTCTGTCGGTGCTGAAGGACTGCATCCGCAACCGGGTTCTGGCCATCTACTCGGACAAGTTCGTGCATATCCCCTACCGCAACTCCAAGATCACGCACCTGCTCAAGGACACCTTTGAGATATCGTCAATGCGAGCGACTCAGACAGTCGTGTTTGCCAATGTCTCGCCGAGGTAAGTCGACAGCTAGCGAGATCAGTCTGTCGTGTGTGCTCAATCCGTCTGATGTACTTGGATTTGCGCACTTGATTTGCGTGCTCGATTTGCGCACTTGATTTGCGTGCTCGATTTGCGCACTCGATTTGCGTGCTCGATTTCGTCTGATCCACCTTCGCTTTGAACAACGGCTGGACGTATGCCACCCGCCAGCTCCGACGATGTGTCTCAGACCGTCAACACCCTGCGCTATGTCGGTGCCTTGCGCATCCCGGTTCCCAAGCTGCAGCCGGCCCCCAACCCCGCGGATCCGTCGACGTGGTCGAACGCGACCCTCTCCCAGTGGGTCCGGGAGAAGTCGCCAAAGTCGCTGGTGCGGCCTGAGATCCTGTGCCCAACCGAGTCAGGCCGACAGCTCCTGCGTGTCCCCGAGTCGGAATTCATCCAGAGATGCAAGCAATGCGATCCCAAAATTACCGATCGCGCGGCGCATCTGTTCTACATCGAATTGTGGAAGTTGATGGTCGATGCCCGAACCAAGACTCGCAAGGATACGCTGGCCATACGGCATCTCCCGAAGCAGGCGGAGGTCAGCCGAAAATGGGCCAGAGAATACATGAAGCGGGTGGGCGGAGATATTTAGTCGGCTTGGCGTGGGGAAGGTTCGATGGCGGGACACGCCTTTGGCTGGGACACTGGTGGATCTTGCAGCCCAGTGCAATTCCTCAGAGAACTGGCTCTACATCTCCTCTACCCCCGCACTGCATCTGGTGGAACGCTGCCTTTTTGTCCGTGAGGAGCTTTCTTCATCGCCTCGGCCTTCTTTGCTTGCTTTGGCGTGTCAGAACACTTTCTTGTTTTTTGTTTCGAGTGTGCCGGATACTGAATATGCTCAGACGGGCGCACATTGCTGCACTCCAAAGACATGCGTTGTCGGCCCCAGCCCCCTTTGTGCCAGCCGATCCTTCTGGATCGCCGTGCTGGTATTGGGCCCATTTCGGAAGTGTGTCGGGCTGGGCAACGTAACCAAGCAAGCTGGCGGGCTGTGTCTCGAAGCCAATATCCTTCTTCCGATCCTCTCCCACACACACAAACCACTCCGCCGCTATCCTATAAAGGTTCCGCCCTCCCACCCGGGCCTCGCAAGCTTCCCTGCTCTCTCCCTCGTGCAGGCCCCTCCCACATCCTGCTCCCTACCTGTCTGTCGACATGGACTTCTCCGAGTCTTCTCCTCTCCTTCCAAGAGCTTCTGGCCGGCCCGCGGACGGCAAGGTCCAGAGGGTCACCATCGATCGAGCCGCCAGCCCATCCTCGTCGCAGCCGGGCACCCCCCGCGGCTCTCAGCTGCGGTGCATCAACGTCGAGACGAACCAGCACAGCAGAGAAAGCGAGGCCTCGAAGCGCAAGCTGCTGATCGCCACGATCTTGTGCTTTATCTTCTTTCTCATCGAGCTTGTCGCCGGCTACATCTCTGGTAAGGGTCCAGTCTGCTCGCTTGGGGCCAGAACAGGACGGAGCTGGCAAAGTTGGGTAGAGCAGGAAGGATGGGATGATGGCAGGACGCTGGAGGAACGGCCTCTGGTCCTTCCGGCGACGACTTGGCTCATCGCTCGAGCAGCAGAGCGATATCCGGTGCTGCTTGCTGTCTGGAACCGAATATGCGCTCTATTTGGACCTGGATCTGCCTTCTTGAAGCCATCAATATGCCACAAGCCAGCCTTGCTATTTGGTCGATCATGCCCCCCAGTCTCGAGAAAATAGGCAACTAACGATATGCTTTCCCTCCCTCACTCTCACTCCCTCACTGCCTCGCAACGGATACTCGGACCGTCGTTGCCTCTTGCGGTGATCGCTGGATCTACAACTTTCGACCCTCGACACACACACATATACGTACAGGATCGCTCGCCATCTTGAGCGACAGCTTCCATTTGCTCTCTGGTAGGTCACCCACGGAGGAGGCTTAGCACAGCGCCATCCCGCTAGGCTGGTATGTCAAGATTGCCAGGAGAGCGCTCTCGTAACCCTATCATGCTCGCTCCTTTCGGTTCCAGATATTGCCGGGTTCGCCATCTCGTTGGTTGCTTTGTATCTTTCGAACCAGCCGGCGACCAAACGTAAGCCGTCCGCGACTGCGGGAGGCATGGGTTCTTGCTTGGATCTGGGAGGTCAAGCAGCTGTACGATCCATTCCTCAGCGATACCGAGTCGCCGTCTGATGATGCGGCGTCGGTCTCCCACCACCTTCTCTATCTTCGTGCTTGACACTCTGTGCTTCTCGCAGGCCACTCGTTCGGATTCCACCGCGCAGAGATCATCGGCGCAATTGCCTCGACCTTCCTCATCTGGATTCTCACCGCGTATCTACTCGTCGAAGCCTTTGAGCGTCTCCGAAATCCAACACCAATCGATGCCCCGATCATGTTTGGCACCGCTGCCATTGGAGTCGTCGTTAACATCGTGCTTGGGCTGACACTGCACTCGCACTCGCACGACCACGGCCACGGCCACTCTCACGACCATTCGCATGATCATTCGCATGATCATTCGCACGACGATGGACACGACCATGGACACGATTACGCTCACGGGCAGAGGTGCGCCGGCCGCTCGCATTACGTGCTGGTGCTTGTGAGAGCGACTGCAGAGTCTGCTGCCACGACCGAAAGGCAGCCCGTGTTTTTACATGCCGATCGCAGTCCTCGCCATGCTCGACTGGCATGCTGACAGTGTTGGTTTTTGTGTTGGCACTGACTCAGCAACGGCACCAGCAGCAATCGATCGGCAACTGACTCCTACTCTCAATCACAATCGCACTCGCACGGACTCAGCTCGTCGACTCACAAGTCCGCGACCAACGGCACCCTGGTGCAGTCGTACCATGTGCATGACCATGACTTGGATGGGTCTTCCGAAGACCAGGTCGAGACTTCCGCCGTCCCAGCTGTTGCTGTTGCGATTTCTAGCGCCCCATCTTCGGCCCCAACACGAAGCAAAGTAAGGCCTGGCCGAGCAACTTGTGCCAGCGGAGAGTCGGTCGAAGCCAGCGGAGGACAGGAGCCCAAGTGCCGTCAATTGCTAACTCATTTACATGTCCTTCCATTGGTTTCTCTGCACGCGACAACCTACCGGCGCGACGCTCCCCCTGCCCGACTCCAGCAAGTTAACATTAATGTGCACTCGGCAGCCATCCATGTGATCGGCGACCTCATTTCGAGCATCGGTGTCTTGATATCAGCAGGAATCATTTGGTACGACCCGTCCTGGACGATCGTCGACCCAATCTGCACGTTCATCTTTTCGATCTTTGTGATCATGACGACAATCAAGCTGATGGACAACAGCCTCAGGGTCCTGATGGAGGGTAAGACCCAAGCGAAGCTGCAAACAGGGATAGCTGACAGAGACGGGGGCAGGCATAAAGCGTGCCCGGAATGGCGAGACGGAGGCAGAGATAGCAAGGTTGAAATAACTGGGTTTTGGATGGCGTGTCGAACCACAGCCAGGGACTCGTAGCCATGGGCCTTTGATGTTGGTGGGCTTGTCCATGGCGGTAGAGTTGGTAGACACAGGTGCCATGGATGTTTGGGATGGACAGCACCGGGCTTACGGGAGGGAAATCAAAGAGGCTGATCCCCAGGCGTTTCCTCACCATATAGCCACGCCAAGCAATATCGATGTCGAGATCGTCACCAAAGAGCTGGTAACCGTCCCGGGCGTCATCAACATCCACGATCTGCATATCTGGAACATTACGGTCGGCAAGGTGGGTATCCCCGTGGTGCTGGATGGGCATGGGCGGCGAGGGTGAGATGGCGAGGCGGATGAATGAAGGAGAGCCTGATGGATAGGAGGGGCTGGCTCTCGGAGCCGAGTGAGTGAGTGATGCCTGCGGGCAAGCTTGGATGCTAACCTTGTGCTGTGTTTGCTCGACGAACTTGATGGTCATATTCCAATGCAGCCCGCTCTGGCCGTCCACATTGCGGTCTCGCCAACCTTCCCGGGCACGAACCAGCCCCTGACGGTGGAAGACTGCCACTACATCCTTACGGAGGCCCAGCGCATCCTCTGTGAGGAGCACGATATCCACCACACCACTATCCAGGTGGAAGTCGCATACGAGACGGACGATATGCCGGTCGGCCACTGTGCGCCGCTGATGTGCCGAATGTGAACGGACGGGCAAGAGGCGGGGCCACCCAATTGTAATGGAATGGTAGACGGGGAACAATATTGATGTATTCCCATGGCCTCAATGCCGGGCCAAAAGTGCCGAAGCCTCAGGGATCGTGGCGACTCGACAGGGCTCGAACGATTTGCCTGTGGTATCGGTGTTGGTGTTGGTGTTGGTGTTGGTGTTGGTGTTGGTGTTGGTGTTGGTGTTGGTGTTGGTGTTGGTGTTGGTGTTGGTGTTGGTGTTGGTGTTGGTGTTGGTGTTGGTGTTGGTGTTGGTGTTGGTGTTGGTGTTGGTGTTGGTGTTGGTGTTGGTGTTGGTGTTGGTGTGGGCTCTGAATCGCAGAACTGATGAGGTTCAAACTGGTCAATGCCGGACTTTGCTGCGACGGAGAGAGCCCGGCGGCGACACAACCAACAGCTCGCGAGCAGCAGGACAAGGACGAACAGACGCGGGGCCAGAGGCCGCCATGGGCAGCGCTTGCCTGGACACAGGACCGGAGCGCGCGACATTCACGTGGCCCGAAGCCTCTTAGTGCTGTTGCACAGACATGGTGCCACAAAGGGACGCGCGGACGCCACCCGCCAGTCCAGGGGGAGAGGCACACGGGGGGACCAGCGAGCCAGCAAAGTTTTGGAGCGAACGAGCGAACGAGGGAAGGAGAACATGAAGGATGACGTGGAGCTCGCGGGTGACGGAGCGGGATACGCAGCAACGACGCAGCAGCAGCGACGAGACAGGGCTCGCGCTGCACCCGGTGGCGTGCGGGCTGGGGGGTGGTGGGGAAGAGTTTGTGGCGCTGGCCGCGGCCAAGACGACCAAATGCATTAGCCCGGTGCACGTTTGGGAGATATTGGATTCGAAATGCCGCTGATGCGACAGCGGCCAGGCAGGCCGCACCCAGAGAGCACATGGCGAGCAGATTGGAAGGGGGACGAAGGACATGCTGGCCTCTGCGGCAAGCATGATTCTGCGGCAAGCACGATTCTGCGGCCGGGTCTCTTGCACACGCCTCAAAGTTGCGGCCTCGCTCCGTGGTGGGGTGTTCCTGGCCTTGTGGCAGTCCCCGGGGAAGGACGCAAGGCGCCTCGTCGTTGCCACAGCCCGTCAGGCGGACCCGGTGGCGGCGGGGCCAGAGCAGGGGGAAACGAGCGATGCGGAAGAGATGGCAAATGGACGCGCGGGGGACACGGCATGGGCGGCGAGGCAGGGGCGGCATGGGAAGATTGGGGGGGGTGCATCGATGCAGCAGCGGCAGCCAGGCGTGGGAAGACGCTAACATGGAGCAGCAGACTGGATGGTGGCGTGGGGCCACGGACAATTGGGGTGGATGAATCGGCTTGCCTGGCGATGCCCGGCGATGGCCGATGGTGTTTGGCAATCTTGGCGATGGCGAAGAGCGATGGCCCGATGGCGAGATAGGAAGCACCCGATGGCAGATGTGCAATCGCTGGCTGGATGGGCGACCCAAGCGGCGGCTTTGTGCGGCATTGGGTTGCTGCGTGTGTCCGCACCGACCAAATGCGACGCGGATGTCAGTCTGGAGCCAGGTCCTCTGCTGGACACAGACCTGTCTCAATCTGCCCCCGCCAACAGCGCACCAGATGCACAACCCGCCAGGGACGTGCAGCGGCATCTGGCTGCGATGAGCCGCACCAGACCCGTTGCTGGAGGCGGGCTCTGGTCCGGGCTGCAGCAGGGCGGGAGCAGTATCCGGGAGCTGCTTCCCAACGAAGATCAATGCAGCCTCTGGGCTCTGGGCTCTGGGCTTGATGACAAGGGACCGGCTGGCAACCGGCTGGCAACCGGCTGGCAACTGGCTGGAATCCGCATCGGGCTGGATGACAAGGCCCCGCCGGCCTTCCGGGCCTTTGGGCCGTTCGCGGATCAGGCGCTTCCGTGGCGGCCCTTGTGTGGTCATGAGTCACCGTGGCCGCCCCTGTCGGTGTGCCGGGGAGCAATGTCAGTGTGTCAGTGTGTGGCGGTCGCTTTGGCGGCATTGTTGCTGCTGTCGTTGGATGAGACGGCCATCGGCGCTGTTGCTGATGCCGTTGCCGTTGCCACTCCTGCCGTGCGGGACAGCATCGCAAGCATCATCAACACCAACATCGTCAACACCGATGCCATCGGCATTGGCTGCATGGATGTGTCGCGCCCTGGTCCTTCCTGTCCCACTCGGTCTGTGCTGTTTGTGTGCCGCCTGTCCCTTCCTCGTCTCGCGCTCGCGGCGCTGGCCCCGGTCGTTGTCTGCGGCTGAGGGGCGGTGCGCCTGCTATCGCGCGTGGCGGCGGCAGCAAGGATTGGGCGCCATGGGCGCGGCGCTGTCCGCTGGCACGCCGGAAGCTTGCACACACAACAAACAGCCGCCCCTCGTGGTACAGCGGGGCGGCTGGCGGCACAAAGCCCCTGCTCGCACAGCAAGCACACTCTTCTGCGACACAGCCGGAGGACAAGCGCCTCGGGCTGATGCAGCCGCAGTTGATTGCGGCCACTGCGCAGTGGCCGGCTGCGCTGACAGAAAACTGCATCCGCCACCACCACTTTCACACAGAACACCGCAGCAGCGACATCAACACAGTGCGACAGTAACAGCGGCAGCAACAACAGCAACGCAGCACAGCATTAGCACAGCAACACAACCAAACAACAATGCAATAACAACCAAGTAACAATGCAGCACAACCCCCTCGCAGCCTCACACCGCACATGCTCATGCCCCTTCCAACCCCCGGCTGTCTTGGTCCAAACAAACGACGACGATCTCGCCCCAGCACCGCCTCAGGCTACCATTGCGTATTACTAAACCGTTTTACAGACCGCCCCCTCTCCGGTCTTGGGCTCCATCGTGCATTTTTTCTCGCTCTCGCTCCATGTTACCTTCGGCTGCGTGAGCTCTGATCGCCGTGATCGCTCGTCTGCTGCCGATTCCCCCCCACCTTTACAGGCACTCCATCCCTTTCCATCCTTCGGCGACACACCTGCCTCGTCGACTTGCACATCGGGCCTATTGACTGCACATCTGTCTCGGCGGCTGTTGCCCAATTACTACTCCCACTCCTGGTCCGCAAGCGGGCAAACCGCTCATCTCCCTCGGCGGCTCGATCATGAACCCGTATTTCCATCACTCGCCTCAAGAGCCCAATTCGCGACTTGCCGGACAAAACAGACTCCCTCCCTCTTCGGAGCTCCTCCCTGACCCCAAAAAGCACCCGCTTTCGCAGCCCTTCGCCGATCCCGTTGCCTCCCAGCCGCTGCCCTATCCCTCGATGCTCGCCTCGCCCGGCTACCACTACAGCCACTACTTGCCCAACGGCGCCCAGCCCGAGCTGTCCTATGCCGACATGCCTCCCATCGGCGCCCCTGTCCAGCCCCATCCCTATCTGATGCACGAGTACCCTCCCGTCGTCGGCGACTTGGCTGCCATGACCCGCCATGACCCGCAATCGCTGCCCAAGCCCGATGCCCAGCTCCTTCCTGCCTTTGCGCCGTCGCAGTGGAAGGTTGCCCAGACTCAGAATCAAAGCCAGACCCAGAACCACACCCAGAACCACACCCAACCGTCCGTCTACCAGTTCTCTCCGCAGGAGCTGCCGTCGCCCTCCCACTTTGACTCCTCCAAGCGCATCCAGACCCTGTCCCAGACTCGGCAGCTCAAGCCCCAGTCGCCCTCGTTTCCGCCATCGTTCCCGCACCCGCACTCTCATTCGCACTCTCAGCTGGCATCGATATCCCGCTCGCATCCGTCGCCACCGTCGATCCCGCCCTCGCCGCTGTCTCAGTTGCAGAGCCCAGGCGCCCATCAAGCCTCCGCAGCCCATACCCAAGGCCCGAGCCAAGTCCCTGGTCATAGCCATGCGTCCGGGCCCTTTTCCGATCACTCCCAGATCCGGACCCAGATCGCCAGCAACGGCCATGCCCATGCTCTCGATCACGGTCATGTTCCCCACGTCCCGACGCACTTGCATGCCCAGGTTCCAAATCACGGCCATCTTTCGGGTCATAGCCAGATGCCATCCCATCACCATCAACATCCATCGCAGCTTCCCGCCCATCCTTCTGCTCGCCAGAATGCACAAGATCCCTCATTCGGCCTGCCTCATGTCCAGGACTACTATTCGTCCATCCCGGCCCACACCCTGATCGACCACATGTCAACGCCCGCCCGCTTCAACCCTGAGTTTGGCGCAATGCCCTTCCCGAACTCTGTGCGCATCGATCAAGCCGCTATCCTCGACGGCATACCAAAGAGTGATATGACGCTCTCACCCCATCGAGACCCTGCCCAGACTTTGGCCGAAGACGGCTTCCACCCGGTCCCAGCCCAGCGCTACCTTCCGGCCGAGTATCCAGAGTACGGCAGTCTCCCCGTGTCTTCGTCCCTCCCCCAACATGAGCGTCGAGATGTCCATCCCCACCATCCGCATCCCCATCCCCTTCCCCTTCCCCATCCCCTTCCTCATTCCGCGGACGTCAAGCCCAAAAAAACTGCCCTGTCGCAGGTCGCCACAAAGACCATCGACAAGTCTGGAAAGAACAAGCCCGCCGCCGTTGTTCAGTCGCTTCTTCGCCATCGCAGTTCGCCCACGGGCTCTTCCCAGCTGCTGGGCGACGCCTCGCAGCCCTCAAGTCCTCCGTCCGAGTCTGACCCGGGCCGCAAGGTCATCCAGGAGCTTGGCCACTGTCGCAGCTGCCACGCCAGCCTTGTGCATCTCACGCTTTATGGCCCGTCGTCGCTCTTTCAAGAGCCCTACGAAGTCAATCTCGTATGCGAGCCCTGCCGGAGCTCGACAGCCGCTGGCGAGCCACCCGCGTCGCTGGAAGAGTCGCTCGCGTCGCCCGAATCGCTGGCTGTCACCTGCGATGTCTGTAAGGGCTGCATCTGCTGGGGCGGCGTCGGCATCCAGAAACCCGAGGGCTGGAAAAAGGCTGCCTTCGATGTCGACACCCTATGCAAGACCTGCGAGCAAAAGTACCAGTTCTGCACCGAATGCGGAGGCGGCGGCCGCCGGCGCACCGGCAAGTGGCGTCCCAAGGAGCTCTTCAGCGAGAACAAAAAGACCTGCAACCTGCAGCACATCCGTATCGGCAAAGACGTCGCCGTCAAGTACGTGGTCTTCAACATTTCGTCCCCGACCAGCTCGGCCCTCAACTCGGCGTTCCTGTCGCAGGTCCTGCAGATGATCCGCGATATCAACATGGAAAAGATTGCCATCCCCCAGAAGATGGAGACCCACGTGTCCTTCAGCACCTTTGAGCGCATCGTCCAGCGGCTGGACGGCGTCACCGATGAGGCCCGGGACGACATTATGCGGCCGTGCGCCATGGGCGAGCTCAAGTTCCTGATCATGGGCCAGGTGCCCATTCCGAAAACCCGCCGGCGCCGGCAGCAAGGCTCCCTCGTCGACCTCGGCCGCGCCTCCGACCCACACATGTACATTTCCGTTGCGATCGTCAAGCTCGACCTAGGATCGCGATGCCTTCGGTTCTCCTATGGTGCCGACCGACAGTACAAGATCGGCGGGTCACCGCACTCGGTGAGCCTGATGCGGGCCATGGTCGAGTACCTGCAGTCCGAGCCTCTCTCCCCGGAGCTGCACCGGTTCTATTCACGAGACCCTCTAGCATCGACGGCCTATCCGGCGCCTACGCTTGGATCGCTCGTGCGCTATATTTTCATGCGCGCGCGCAAGCCCAACAAGTCCACCAACTTTACCGACAACACCCTGCGGCGCCTGAGCTTCCTGCCCCAGAGCGAGTTTGTCCACCGGGTTGCGGTCGAAGAGAACCAGCAGATCGACGAGAGCATCTTTGTGGAGAACATCAAGATGCCGCCCGAGGTCCTGGTGGATTTTGAGATCTATGTGGCCAAGGTGGATGAGTTCATGAAGGTGTCCTGCCCAAGCAAGCAGGGCCACATGGCCTGAGCGCCTTGTGTGGCACTCGCTACCATGGTCGCCAACTGCTTGCCATCGTCGCATGTCGTGCATGTCATCGAGCCATGATCGTTGCTGACTGGCGGTTACTGCTGCATGTTGCGCGTGTCGCTGAACTGCAGTCGCTTACCGCCGATGTGGTCGGTCACCCCCTGCCTCTCTTGCAATCATTATCTGCCTGGGTCGTCACATTCCCCCCCTCTCAGTACAACGGTCTTGCTGTCACATATCGCAGATTGTTGTTCTTGGGCGACCGGGAGTTGATATCCCCCCATATTTGGTATTCCCGTACATCCTATTGCAAATATAACAATCCCGTGACTGCATTCATCGCCTTGTGGCTCTGTACACTTTATTCAGAAAAAAACGGGACACCACAGCCGCTTCCATGAACATGTAGTATGTGCTGTGCTTGCGTCAAGCAAAGCCACAAGAAATAAAACAGATCACTTTGGCAGCCTCCGAGTGAAGATCGCCGGTCGCTCTCCGATCTCCACAATCGACCTGCATACTGCGATCATGTTGCGCGCCGCATTGACGCCGCGATTCCACACTGTCCGGCGAATGGTCATGGCCAGCGCGCGATAACATTGGGTAACAAAATATTCGATCAATGGTCAAAACCTGGGTGTCCCGTTTTTTATTGGATTGCCTGTAATCATGATCTCGAGCAGGAGCCGATGGACCGACGCCTGTCGATGGCCTGTTTCATTTGGCACGGCATCCGGTGGAATCCTGGCACCCCATATGACTCTGGCTGCTGCCTCTGTTGCTGCTTCTGTTGCTGCACCTGTTGCTGAGCCGGGCTCCTTTCCCGCGCACCCACCAGGCCACTTGTTTCAGTTTCGGCCTTGGTGTCGCTCCAGGTGCCACAGACTTGCCTCTTGTCGTCCCCAAGAGCTTGCCCGTTGCTGGCCTGCTCTTCGTTGGGTCCAGACCCTGCAGCCCCGCCTTTTTGCCCTCTTGCCTTCATCGCCCCGCCCCGCCCCGCCTCGGCCCATGCCCGCTGCAGCCTCTCGCCTGTGTCTCTGCGCTTCCTCGGCCTGGCCACGGTCCTCCACCTCTCGATTCCTTCCGTATCTGCGCTGAATCTCAGCCTCACTCCCCAGCCAATCCCTTCCTCAACCCGGCTCGGCACTCCCCTCAATGTCGAAGCGAAAAGTCGTCTGTGTCGGCGACGAGGGCGTCGGCAAAACATGCATGGTCCTCCGTCTTTTGAATGGCTCTTTTCAAGAGGTACGAGTCGGCTCTGGCTTTGTCGGTCACCGCAGATCTTGGTTCCCAAAGAGCCCAACACGCACTGCTCTGCTCTGTCCTGTCCTGCTCTGTCCTGTCCTGTCCCTGGCAATCTCTCCCTTCCTGCACCTGCTCTTTGGATTTGACAATATGGCCTGACACAGCTCTCATCGGCTCCGTTCCTGACGTCTTGTCCGCATCAATCTCATCCCGGCTCTCGCCAAATCTCTTTGGTGCTACCGCTTCTTTCTTCTTTTTCTTTTCTTTCCCGTTCGACAGGAGCACGTTGCTACCCTCGAGGAGAGCTACTCGCTGCCCTCCCAGCCCGATCTGGAGATCTGCGATACCGCCGGTGCCGTGGCCTTTGACCGGCTTCGACCCTACGCATACGAGCGCGCCTCAAGCTTTCTGATTTGCTTCGCCGTCGATAGCATTCCGTCTTTCAAGAGTGTCGAGGAGAAGGTACGAGCGCACGACTCACTCACGATATCCGTTTGGGCAGAGGGATGAAGAAAGGCCAGATGGGGAGGCGACGGCAGTCCAATCCAAGTCCTGGGCAAGTCATGGACGGCCATGTAATCAATCTGGGGGCTGCATCGATCAGCAGTCGCCAAAGCTGGAAGCGACTCTTGGACATGATTCTTGGAAGCGACTCTTGGACGCGATTCTTGGATGGGATTCTTGGACGTGATTCTTGGATGGGATTCTTGGATGGGATTCTTGGATGGGATTCCGCGCCATATCCTGGCTTGCGAGGCCAGTGTTGTCCGCGCTGTCTATCTCTGGGACATGGATCTCGAGTATAGATCCCCAGATACCATGCCAGTGCTTGTCTTGGCCAATAGCACGTTGTAACCCCTTGGTCTTTTGCTCTGGTGCTCCTTCAGTTCGTACCCGAGGTGCGATATTACTGCCCCAACCGGCCCTTTGCGGTCGTTGGACTCAAGTCGGATGCTCGAGACAAAGCTGCCCGCGAGTCGCCCGGTGGCGGTAGTCCAGAGTCTGGCTTTGTGACCTTCGAGATGGTGAGTTCCTCGTGCTTCAACCGTCGTTACCTCGCGTTGGCAGTTCAGCTGGGCCGGCTCCTGACCGTACAGTCGCTTCACTCTGGGCTTGAACTATCCAGGGCCTCGAGCTCGCCAAGAAAATGTCGGCTACGCGATACGTCGAGTGCAGTTCCCTCAGCGGCGACGGCATCCAAACCGTCTTTGGCGGCCTCGACAGTGACATCAACACGGACGAAGACAACTTCATCACCGAGGTCGGTCGGCGCCGGGCAAAGAGTCTCACTCCCGCAAGTGCAAAGATCGTCCGGGACGTTGGCAAGGCTCATGAGCACGACGATGACGACGACAACGACCATAGCAAATCCGAGGCTCGCAAGCACGACTCCAAGACATCTGCGTCGTCCAGGCATCGAAAAGATGGGTCCGACCCCGATGTCTCCGACAGAACCCGCACCGACAGAACCAAGAAAGAAAGGAGCACCGCCGCTCGATCGAGCCATGTTGCCGATAAGGACGACTCGCGCAACTCTCGTCGCAACCGCGATCCTTCGGCGCCTGCGAGCGAGCGAAGGAAGCGGGATCCTTCCGCCGCGCCACTCAAACGAAGCGATACAACCCATCGCAAGACCCAGTCGATGTCGTCCTCGACAGCAGCAGGGGCCAAGCCCGCCGTCCGCACCAGCACCGTCTCCAAGGATACCTCATCGTCGGGCGAGGCACGATCGCCCCGCAGCTCCGCCATCAACGGGACGTCTTCGCTTTCCAGAACCACGACGGCACCTTCCAGTAGCGCCACGCGGGTCCGCAGCTCGACCTTTACCTCGCCCGACACTGCCCCGCCGCGGGGCTCCAGTACTGCGTATTCCTCATCCTCCACGCTTCGCAAGCGGGCCTCGATCTCGACTATTTCGACTGCTTCGCGCCGCCAGAGTGCCGTTTCTGCAGAGAATCCACCCACGCCTCCCGAGAAGACTCTCCGCTCGGCGCGCTCGATATCACGGCTCGACCGAGCTGCTGCGTCGCCGACCCCGAGTGCTTCTGCTCCCAACTCTCGCCGATCCTCTATCCGACCGGGACCAGAGCCTCTGTCGGCTTCGGTCGTGCAGACAGCAGCTTCCACCAATGCACTGCGAGCCAGCCCTGAGCCCGTCGAAGCTGGAATCCCGGCTCCGGCCGTGCCAGTCGCTCGACCCCGTAGCGTCTCCTCCGCCGCCACCGTTGGCTCGTCCACCAGCACGCCGGTGCCACCCAAGCGAGTGTCGCGCATCACTCCCACCCCGGCTCCGGCTGCTGCAGCGTCAAAGCGCCAGCCACAACAGCCGACGCCCCCGCTCTCTCCGGCCCCACAAGCACCGCCCACGCCGCCAGCCAAGGAGCGTCGAGTTCCTGTGTGGGAACGCCTGGCCAGCAGCGTCAACGACAAGCGCAAGGGTGCCGAGGCCAAAACCGGCAACCACGGCGGCGGATGGAAGTAGTCGATCCTCCGGCACATGATTGCTGGAATACAATCGTGTCTGAAAGCTATGATCCATGGAGCTGCTGCGGTGCAACGAACCCGGGTCTCCTCCTGCCGTGCGATCGTGCACGAAGCACAGCAGTTGGCGATAGAGACGAAGCTACATACCCGGCGGCTCCGTTGTATGTATGTATCGAGGAGTTGACATCCCCCAGGATATCCAAGGATGGTCATTGGTACCCTCCTCCGACCCCCCTTATATTTTGCGTCTCTGGTATCTGAATACATCTCATGTCCCTTATAGCACAGTCAATACGAAAAGTTACGGGACAGCGACCCTTTTCTCTGGCATCAGCGACGAGTCCGGGGGTGGGGAAGAGGCGAGCAATGCGGTAAACGACAATCGCAGTACCAAAGCGATCATTCCGGTGACGATGATGGTGGTGATGATGATGACAATTATGATAATGATGGTATTGAGGCCAAGTGGACACCTTGCTCAGGTTGTGGATGGAGGATGCCAGCGCGTACAGAGCGTCGCCGCTGCTGATTCCTTGTGACTGTTCATCCACAGACCGCCTCCTCCACCCTTTCCCATCCTCTGGCCTGTTCCCGCGCCGGTTACGCCAAAATGCTCCGCATCAAGTACGCCTGCATTCTCGACTTGGCTATCTCGGCGATGGACTCGCCGATCTGTGGATACTTTGATATCATCCTGAGAACGTCCTCCTTTCGCAGCTCGTACGTCGAGCAGTCCGACTTTGCCAGCACCGAGGCAGTCCTGGGAACTTCCTCCAGAATTGCCACTTCACCAAAATAGGCGTTGGGGCCCGAAGCGGTGTCGATGGTTTGGCCAAACTGTGGGATTTAGGTAGAATGTGGTTGGGATGAGCACATGAGCAGCGCTGGCTCCGTTGCATTGCAATTCAGGTCACATCACATCGAACCATATCATTCTGCGACAGCGTTTGCTGCTCACCTCGGACAGGACGTCGACGTTCCCTGCTGCCAGGAAGTGCATCGAATCGCCGTGCTCGCCGCATCGGAGGATATAATCTCCAGACTTCCAGCTTCGTCGGTTCATCCACATTCCGAGCTCGCTCAAAACTTCGTCTTGAACGTGCAGGAAGATTTCGATCTGAGAGAGAGGACCGCGGTGTGTCGTTATCGAGTCGCCAAGAAAATCAAAGGGAAGCGTTATCAAGCCGTCTGGTGCAAGCTCAGATGATCGAGATAGTGAAAGAAATTGAAATCGCCGCTCCTTCAGACTCTGACACGGGTGCTTCATCGGCTGCCCGAGGTCAGTTCCACGCGTGGGGACTGTTTCAAAGTCGCTGAACAAGTGCCTGTCCGGGCAACCAACGCACCTGCTTCAGCGCCTGCAACGAGATTTCAACATCGAATTGCTCGCGGGACTCGCCAGTCTCTCCACGCTCCTTCAGGAGGCTGTAGCGCTCGGCTGCCACACGGGCGATCTGCTTCTTGACCTCCGGATAGAGCGTCAGAACCTGCTCCAGACTCGACTTCATCATCTTGAGGACAAGACACTGCTCCTTGGCCCGAATTGACGCTGTTCGCTTGATGTTGTGGAAGAGCCCGACCTCGCCAAAGAATGCTCCTTCGACCATGACAGCATGGACCGCGCCCTGGGGGCCAATAACCTCGACCGAGCCCTTGAGGAGGAAGAATATGGCGTCGGACTCATCGCCAATGTTGATGACGTTCTTGCCGGGATCGTATACTTCGGGTACGATCGTCATGACGAGCTGCTCAATAAACGTCGGCTCCACTTCGGACAGGACCAGGAGCTATTGGCCGAACATGCTGCCATTAGCGTCGCTATTTTTCTGTACTGCCCAACGGCAAACACCGCTGTAAGGCTCGTGAGCTGCCTGACGACACACAGCTTACTTTGCCGAGATCCTTTCGGGCAAGATCAGCCAGAAACTCTCCTCCAAACTCCTTCGAGAAAGCATTGGTGGTCTCCTGGTTTTTAAGCCAGGAGAGCTTCTCGTCGATCTTGTCCACGACCTGCTTTTTCAGGTCGGGGTGAGGGGCAAGCACTTGGTCGATCGATTCGCGGGTCAGCACTAACAACTGGCAGTTGGTCTTGGCGACAATGTTGGCCGTGCGAGTCTGGTTGACCAGGCCCAGCTCTCCAAAGAACTCGTCTTCGCCAAGGGAGCCGATGCTGTTTCCCTTCTGACTCTGGATTCCGACCTGATTGGGGAGTGCAATTGGCTGGGATTTAGTGCAAATTGTCGATGCTGGATCCGAATGCGAGTATGCCTGATGTCAGGATGACGACGCAGATGTCAGCCGCTGCTCTGAATATTACCTGGCCCTCGACCACAAAGTACATCTCTTTAGCCAAGGTGCCGAATTTGACGATAAAGTCCCCACAGCCCGCAGAGAGGGGCTTTCCCTTGGCAGCAAGTTCGTTGAGGACCGTTTGCGGGAAGCCCTTGAAGGCAGGGAAGGCCGAAAGGAGCTCGGACGCCGACCCTGGAACAACCTCGCCGCTGGATTGCTGCCGGACCGCTCCAGAGCCTGTCATCTGTGGTGAGCCCGAGATGCCGGCGGCTACGCCGGGGGACAGAGGGACGTCGGACACCTTCTTGATCGATTCTTGACCTTTTTGGTCAGAGAGCCTCCGGCTGAGACTTGGGGCGGTCGGAGTGTCGATGGAGCTCCGTCGGATCAACGTGGTGAGGGTCGGTCGAAGGGCTCGTCTTGGGGGTCGGGTCACGGGCTTGCTTACTTCGGTGAACATACTGAAGCTCTCGATGCTGGCTGTCTTGGCAATGGGCTGATTTCCTGTGGAAGGTGTGCGCTGCAGCGAGGCCGGGCCGATTTCGCCGCTGCTGAAGGATCGGTCGTGGCTCAAGAGAAGCTGCTCGTTGATCCGCGACGACCCCTGGCTGGCGGTGCCGTGAGCTGGGGTGTGGGTCGCGATGGACGGTGTAAGGATGGAAATGGCTCTTTGGACTTGGCCGCGGAGCACAGCAAGCTCGACGGTGGCCTGTCTGAGCTGGGCCTTAAGGTCGTCTCGCTCTTTCTTGAGGGAGTCGATAGTTCGCTTCAGCTCCCCGACGTCGTCCATTGTCGCGTGGGTTGGTGCGGGCAAGCTCAAACAGCAGAGGTGCGGCAATGGTCGATAGATGCAAGCGGGCTCGGCGAACAGGGTGGAGCAAAAGGATGGATCCGTCGCAGCGCTGGTTTGTGGCCGCCTTTAGAGATGGAGATTCCAGCACCCGACACGAGTAGCTGAGGAGGATATCGCCGTGGGAAAGGGATGGGGAGATGGCGCAAGGGGGAAGCTTGTGAGCTCGAGAGCAGAGGCTGGATGGGCGGTGCCGGTGCTGGGGTGCTCACAACCATCGACGACTTTTCTTCGTGGGGGACCGATCGATACTCAGCGGGCGCCGACACAAACAGAGGCCATTTGCGATGGTTAGTGATAGCATCCAATCCGTCCCCGCCATGATTGGCCAGAGGGTATTGTGGTCCCGCCACGAGCTACAATGTGCTCGGGGGCAAAGCGGCCGAAAGCGACACCCAATGTGGACGTCACTTGGAGCAGCGTCACTCGATGCAGTATGGCTTGGGCTGGTATCGCAGGAGAAGTCTCTCTGCCGAATTTAGTTGGACGACCTAGGACTGATACTGCCGGAATATTGCACTGTGCTCAAACAGGAAGCTGCTCGTTTGAACTATGCCAGCTCGTGTGTCAAAGCTTGCATCCAACAAGACCATTTGAGATAGATCTGATCACCTATATGCACCGAGACTCGTGCACAACGCTGTATCAGCGATTTATTGCAATCCAGATCCACAGAACATGGTGCCCAAGGTCAGTTTGACGCCCTTGCCGTTCGATGATGAGGGCGACGGACGTTTGTCTATATGCCCACTCGTCCAGAAGTTGGACTGCCCCTTGCCTGTCGAGTGTACCGGCCAAACACCGACCGCCTGTCTTGGGACTGCTTCAAGATGACATGTCCACAAAACAGCGGCGGCAACTACGAAGACTCAGCCAGATCCACAAAGGTACCGTTGTTCCAGTGGCAGAGCAGCGTCACATGGAACTCGGCCATCTGAACAAAAAAGTGTTTCTGCACGACCGAGCCAACTAGATTAGAGAGATATTCGAGGTGATGATCCTCACAAAAGCACATCCTGAGCGAGATCATTTCGTCCGCGCCACGAGCTGTCTCGACAAAATATGCGGCAGCTGCATCTGGCTAATCGGCCAAACGAACTGCATTTGTTCACGTCGTCCACGTACCAGAAGCTGGGCCTGCTCAGGAGTCAGCACACTTCCTTCGTGGCAGACAACATGGTCGCGCGTGAGCATAACCTTTCCGTTGACAAGCTTGGTGGGCAGCCCCAGGCTCCTCAGCTGCGGCTCCATGTTGTGCGGGAAGGGGTCCTCGCCTCGGAAAAGGGCACCCTCCTTGAGTTCAAAGGTCTCAGTGGCCACGCAGCCCGATCGAGCATAATCTTGCTTGCGATAAGAATCGAAAAATGCCTCAACCTCTTCTTTGCTGGCGTTGGTGAACAGAAGGCCAACGTTGCCATCGAGTTTCTGTAGGTGGATTCCAAATGGGATTGTCCATCAGATCGGCATCCAAGGCGGGTGATCATGCCGACGAATGCCGAGCAATCGGATAGGGTCAGCGCTGCAACCGCCGCGCAAGTCCGGCGCTTGTGCTGGAGCAGCCACCTATCTCATCCTATATGTGCCCATTTGCCAACCAAGACAACTCCCTTGACAAGCCAGTGTTGCAGCCATGCATCCACCGAACTTCGAGCACGCAGCGACGGCTCCAGGATTCAACTCCAGCAAAATCGACGACCGCTTGTCCGGCGATCCGCTGTCCAGACCAAAGCGTACCTCAGCCACGTATCGGAGGTCTTCTTTGTACTCCTCCTCGGCCGTAGTGCCAAGTGCCTTGGCCATGACCTTGTTTTTGCCAAAGAAGAATTTGGATGTGCTCCACTCGGTTCGGAGATCCTTGAGGAACGTATTTCTCATGTTTTCAACCGAAAAGACATAGACGCTGGTGAACGAGTCACAGGCATCGCGGACTTGCTGAAACAGAGTGTCCTTCTGCTCCCGGGTCTTCTTTTGTGTCTTGGTTAGCGAGACTGGTTGGCCAGGTCGGCGACAAGACGATGGATGCGGTCGGGTCAGTAACGCTCGGGTGAACGGCCCGAATCGGACGTTGGCTGGTCATGGATTCTCTGTCTCGACTCACCAATCTGGGCTCTCTTTGACTTGGGCATGGCGATGCAACGTGGCTGCGGACAGTGTCGATATGGTGACGGTGACGGTGTCGGTGACGGTGTCGGCGACGGACAGAGTGGATCGATCGGAACGTCCCAGACAAGCGCCTGCTCGCCAAAGCCGCGAGGCAAAAAAAAAAGTTGGCTGGAGCCGGATTGTGCGACGCAGCAAACTCCGACAGACAATGGCCGACCCGGACGCTGCCGCATCCTGGCCTGCTCTGCCATGTATCGACCGGGATGGCACCGGCTGCGATTGCGGCTGCAGAGAGGCTGGTCGACGGTGGTGCCGGGGACGACATGTCTGTCCTGGCTGACTTCCAACCAGGTGCTGCATGGACAGGCTCGCACGACAGTGTCTGGTCGTTTGTGCCTGTGCACCAGCCGAGTGACAAATTCTCCGCGAGCGATCAAGCCCGTCGCCAGGCCGGCTCTGTCCGCATTCCGCCATCTGCCAAGAATGCACCACCATCACTTTGCCTCCAACCCGCTGGACCGTCTGGTGAGCCCTGGTCATCGCTCTTCTAAAGCATCCGAGAGCATCGGCAATCGCACAATCTGTATTTGCGCTGCTCCGTGTCCGTACCCGAGTTGCACTGCCAGTTGCCGCCGTTTGATCCAGACGGATCCAGATGCGTCGCCGAGGCTGATGTGCGCTGCTCCATCCCGCCAGTCGACCAAGCGCGGTGACTCGACCTTCCTCGCCAAGACACTATCAGACACATCGTCAAAGTTCCTCGTGTATGGTGGCCACCGCATTCTTGTTACCAAGGACAGAGAGCTTGCGCTGCTCTCTCGTCTAGACCTTGAGACGGCGGGAGGGCAGTCCCTGTTTGAAGGCGGCGAGGCCACGACACTCGTTTTTCTCGGGGTCGACAGTCGCTCAATCGCCTACTGGGCCATCGACGGTACCGGACAACTGGCCGGCCTGGAAGGTGGGTGAATAGTCAAGGCTGATGTCCGGCCCCATCTCGATCAGCTCAACAGCTGTTGAACGACTGGATAGGCAAGCTGCCTTGACCGCAATGAAATGTGCGCTGTTTTTCGGATTCCTTCGTACTGACACACGGCTGTTTTTGCAGAGCCTCTGAGCCAGAAAGGACTGAGCTTTGCGTCCTCGCGGCCCGCCGCCTTTGGCTTTTGCTCGTTCCATGCGGCCCTCTTTTCTCAAGCAGCAAGTCTCCTTGACTGGAACTCGAGAAACGTAAGCCTGTCTGTCGATGCAGAGTCGAGCATGATTCTGTGTACACTCTTGCGTGCCATCCGCGATGGATAAGCCAATGGACGCTGTGCGTGAAGCGATTAGGAGCGGACTTGATGGATGTCTTGGATTCACTCCTGTCCACGGGCCCACTGTCAGCCACAGTCGAATCGAGGATCTCTGCTGTTACTAACTGCGGCTTGCGCTGACCTCTAAAATCGTGGCTTCCAGCGATTCTGCTCCTCTTGCGGCGGTAGAACTTCCTCCGACGACGGCGGGTACAAGCGCACATGTCCCAACGCTGCCTGCGTCTCCAACAAGGGAATCCAGAACTCGTCGTATCCCCGCACCGACCCTGTTGTCATTGCCTGCATCATCTCCAAAGACGGCGAGCGCTGTCTCTTGGGCAGAAAGCCTGTTTGGCCACAAGGAATGTACTCATGTGTTGGTAGGCTTTCGGTTTCATTGTTATGATCAGGAGGCCGCTGCACTTTGCTAAATCGACCATGCTAGAACCAAAGAGTTACTCATCGTTCCACCCTTCGTTGTCAGCCGGATTTATGGAAGGTGGAGAGAGCATTGAGGTGAGCCACATCCTCGAGTCTGCTCTCGCTCGGGCTGTGCCGCAATCCAGAAGGTTGCTCTTCCAGACACGGGATACTGATACGAACGTTCCAATCTTCCAGGAGGCTGTCCAGCGAGAGGCATACGAGGAAACCAATGTCCGGATCTCCAAGGTGTGGTACCACAGTTCCCAGCCATGGCCGTTCCCTGCTCAACTCATGTAAGTGCGCGACATCCTCGAGCGGCCCTGTATCGTATCGCATGGTATCGCATGGCATTGCATGGCATTGCATCGTATCATGCAAGCGACTAGGATCGCTCGGGTGGCAGATTCTCGATGAGCCGGATCCGATATCTCTCCGGTCGGAAGTAGCAATGTCGATTGATGCTTGGCCATGCAGTCGGACCCCGACTCATTCGTACTGACCCTGAGTCGCATGGCTCTCTGAAAGGATTGGATGTGTCGCTCAGGCAGAAACAGAGGACATTCAGCTTCATGATGATGTAAGTGGATTCGCGAGCCTCTTCTCTGAGGAATCTGCGAGAGAGACGCACTCTGAAGGCCGCGGAATGAATACGACCGGATCACTGACCCCGCTCGTCGTTCTCTACCCGATTTGTGTCGCTTAGGAGCTCGAAGGTGAGGTGCAGCGGTGTCTCCCATGATTCACTTGGCCAACTTATGCTCTGCAAGCGATGCTGCTCTTGCTGTGTCCTATTGCCTCCTGTGTCGTCATACTGTGCAGTTTGCTCGCCTGACACTCAGCCAACCATCGCTCAGATGCCCGCTGGTTCACGCGCGAAGAGGCACGCGAAATGCTGTCGAATGCTGAAGCGCACGACGCCCCTGCCACCGGCTTGTTCACTGCCAAGCCGTATGCGATTGCAAATACGCTCGTCAAGAGCTGGGTCAACGACACCTTCGAGAGCCGTCAGCCGTGGTCCAGTCCGCAAGCTCGTATTTGAAAATCCGTCAAGATGATGGCACAGGCAGACGAAGAGACAATCGACACAGACTCTGTGGCCTAACTGTGATATGGTGCAACTGGCAGCAGAATATCTTTGGCAAGTTGGCCATCCGTCGCTTTCCCTCCTCTTCGTCACTCCGAAGCCAACCGTGATGGGTTTTGGTACTGATTTGGGCCAATCCAATCCAATCCAATCCAATGGAGATGGGTACAGGCACCTTTGATTCATACCATTGAGCTGAGCGGAGGCGAGATCGCCACCGCTACAGCCAATCCAATAAAAACGGGACACCCTGGTTTTGGCCGTTGATCATATTTTGTTGCCTCAAAACATCGCGCGCTGGCCATGACCATTCTGTGATGCGGCGTTACTGTCATCCATAGCCTGAGAAAAGTTGCCTCCATATTCAGTGTGCCCATGAGCACCATTCATCGCTGGCACTCCGAGACCAGTACAGCGTCAAGGTAAGGGCTATGCATCCAGTCCCAGGAGGCAGCGGTTTGCTCGGCACTTTGAGCAGTTCAAGCACCGCCGTCGCCACCCACATCGCCCTTCTTGTGGCTCAGCTTGATGCATGCCATCACATACTACGCTGACCTATGGGATCGTGAGGGTGTCCCGTTGCTCATGTGTAAGGTGTAGCCCCATGTCTATTGATTGAGTTTAGTGCCAATCTGTCCAAGCAGACCGTGTCTTCATGGTCGAACAGCGACACCAGCAAGCTGCCAAGCTATCACGGCAGCGGCGTCCTGTATACTTGGAATGATGTGCTCCGTATTGCTTCATAACAAAAGTATGCGGAGAAGGATTGTGGAAGGAAACCGACATGATTGAGAGCAGGGCAGCGGGCTGCCCTGAACGGTTCAAATATCGGGACAAGAGCACGAGCGCCGCTTCATGGGCGAGAGTGCTCCGGCTTGTGGCTGCTTTCGAAATCCAAATGCACAAACGCGCGGTCGACGACCTTCAAGCCCTCGAGCTTCATCTGCAGGCTCTCGCCAATGTCATGGGCGTCCTCCAGCGTCATGGTCCGAGGGAGCACAATGTCTACCTCGACAAAGTAGTTGTCGCCCGAGTGATATGCAAAGCAGGTGTCGATCTGCAAGATCCGCGGGTCGTGAGTGAGCGAGATGTAGATAATCTTCTTGAGGAAAGCCGGCTCGGCGGACTGTCCGATGATCTTTTGGATGTGCTCTAGCAGTGGCAGAGTCCCAGAAAATGTGTCAGCGGCTGTGCTTCAGGCTGCATGGGACGATAGGAAGCAGGCCGGTGAAGACCAGCACCAAAGGGGACCTTGGAACTGGAGGCTTGTCGTATGTGCGATACACTGCATGAACCGCCCTCGGCTACAGCGACAGCAATACAACATAACTCAGCGGTCTTACCCCATGCTGTCTCTGTCCATGAGTGCAGAATAACAAGGGCGATCAGAAGACCGCCGACCGGGTCGATCCACCACAGATAATATTTGCCCAGCAGCGATGCCGCAATGCCGAAAAAGTTGACGATGATGTCGTTACGGTGGTCTGTGGCGAGCACCGCTGCGCTGGGATACTCAGACAGGCTTGAACAAAACATGTACAGGCATGCTTTGAGCACTGAGGAGCCCAGACAACCAAAGTTAGAGAGGATGGGGGCGGTGAGACCCAGGCGCTGGTGGACTCTGCCAAGATGATCGATTGACATTCGCGAAGTGTAGCCAGCCGGTGATAGCACGCCAACTCCACGAACCTAGAGCAACACCGACACAGGACAGGCTGGCCATGTCCACATCGACTTCGTGGTTCTTGGCAATCAGCGTTTTCATGCTCTCCGCCTTTCGGGATTGAGGAGGTTGCCGGGGAAGGAGCGACAGTGCTCGTCAGCCCAGTTTCGTCATTGCTCACAGCGTCACGGCAGTCGCTGCGCCTGAACATGTCCCCTGGTGCTCCCGTCCTGGTGTCGGCGGACGGAATAATGTGCAGAGGCGCAGAGGCAAGCTTACCATCAGCTGAAATGAGACCGTGGCCATAAGGCTTGCAAACACAATGATGCCTGCGGTCTCGAGTCTCATCTTTCCAGTTGGGTATTCATGTCGGTTCTGCTTCGAGGCAGCATGGGCAGCTATGAGTAGGACTATAGACGAAGCCAGGTCCATGAATGCATCGGCCATGGTTGCGAAGAGCGAGAGCGAGTTGGATGTCAGGGCGGCATAGAGCTGCAGCGCCATGAGGAAGACGTTGCCGGCCACAGAGCAATTGATGGCGAGCTGGAGCTGCAGATGCGAATGATAGTAGATAGAAATATGTTGTGGGCGCGCCGGGATGACCATCGGTCCGGAGAGACGAAAACGGGTCAGCAGCCTCACCAGACACCAGTATCCCGCTGAAGCCACCCCATATCGGCCGTGTGAACCACATGGGCGTGCTCACGGACCCAGCGCGACTTTGATCATGCTCCGTTGGGACAAGGGCGTTGCTGGAACTTACCCTGAAGAGTTTTGCCTGCTCGGCTTCTTCGTCGTGTGGACTCAGCGAGTGCAGCAGATCGTCGATGAGCTCGTTTTGAGCCTCGTAAAACTCGGCGATCTTGCGGCCTCTCGAGCCCGACCGTTTGAGCGCAGACACATCTGTTGTGGGCTTTTTGAAGCTCTGCAGATGGAGCGGATCGGCGACAGTCTCTGCGACGTTGACGACAACGGATGATGGAGCACCCGCAAGCAGCGGGGTTGTTTCTCTGGACATGTGTGTGGGATTGAGACGAGGACGATATCGACAGAGTTGTGGATGAATGCGGAACCAGGCGTTGCTGGCAGTTGTTGATCGGCCGGTCTGAGTGAGTGGGAGCGAGTATTGGTGCTCCGCGGGCAGATCAAGCAGCAATCGGATCAAGCAGCAACCGGATCGACAGCACCCAGGGCGGAGGATTGGCTGAAGCGCGGGGACATGCGAAGAAAAGATCATGTGAGCATGGTCGCACGGGAGAAAGTGGTTCGGCAGCAGCCACAGCAGCGCAGCGCGGCGCAGATGAATGAATTCATTCGCGGCTCGAGCCGGCGCCGCCCTCGAACCGGTGCCCAGCCGGCTGTGCCTGGCTGCGACACAGAATGCCCACGTGAACACGGCTGCACACACACACACACAGGCGTTCTCGCGAGACGCGCTGGCGTGAGTCACTCGGGCTCTCGCTGCGGCGAGACGGGGGCCGAGAGTGCGCGAGAGCAGGCGAGATGCGTGCCGAGAGCGAGGCCGAGTTTTCTTTTTTCCCCGCAAAGATGACTCGCAGTGTCATATAGGCGCCTGCTCGCGCCGGTTTGCGTTTTCTTTTGCGCTTCTCCCTCGTCTGATCGCCGTTGGCTTTTGTCGCTCCGCTCAACCCAACCCACCACCATGTTTGCTCGTCTCGCCGTCAGAAGGGCCGTCGCTGCCCCCTTGGGTAAATGTCGTGCCGCTGCTGCCACCGTTGATGCTGCCGTCGGTGCTGCCGTCGGTACCCTGCAACTCCGACGGCCAGGCGCCTCCTCTGCTGTATTGCGATCCGAGTTTTCCGCATGATGTCGGAGCGTCACTGCGGTCGCCGCCGGATGGGCTCGATCGATGGGCCGTGTCCGCCTATGGCCTGCGTGGATACGTTTCAACAAGACCATGGCCGCCCTGTTGAATTGTGGCTTTCGGATGCACCCGACAATTATTCATCCGGCGACCCACATCGATGCGCTTGTGCACTGCCGAGCATGCATCTCTATCGACCGGGTGTTTTGCGGATCTCGAACGACCGAGGCGGCCACCAAAGAACCTCGTTTTGAGGCTGTGTGCGCCCTTTGAGCATCGCCGCGCCCGCCTCTGCCAGCATCCGATACCACGCCGTGATTCCACGACACCCCCGTTTCGTTATGAACTCGACCTTCTGTGCTCATATTGATTGATTCGTCTGTTTATCGTCCCATTCGACAGCCCGCGCTGCTTTCGCCCGCCCCGCCCAGTTCGTCGCTACTCGCGGATATGCCTCGCACGAGCTCGACCCCCAGAACCAGAAGGACTACGACGGCTACGTCCAGAAGTGGGTCTCGCACTTTTCGACCTGCGAAGACGACTTTGAGCTCGAGCGCGGCCTGAACCACATCTTCGCCGCCGATTGGGTCCCCTCTGTCGATGTCATCACCGAGTCGCTCAAGGCCGCTCGCCGCCTCAACTCGTACGCCACTGCCGTCCGTGTTCTTGAGGCCCTCGAGGGCAAGGTTGAGTCCAAGAGCCAGTACAGCCAGTACATCAGCGAGCTGAAGCCTCTCCTGGCCGAGCTTGGCGTTGAGGAGAAGAAAGACCTCGGTGCCTTCAAGATCGTCCGCGAGTTCAGATGGTTCAACGAGTAAAGCCGCCATCCTCCCCCCAACACTGCCTCCTTGTTTGAAAACGACAAATATCAAATAGAGTGACGCCTCACTCGCCGTTAATTTCGCCTCCAAGATCCGTCCCTGTGCTCGCTGTGGGTCTCGGCGCGGAGGGAGCAATCGGGTGGCATCGGCTGAGGGCATGGCCAACGCAAGCCTATCGTTTTCTTGTCGACGGCCGATCACTCCGTGCATGTTGGGTTGGTAATCTTGGGGAGCGTCAAACGAGACGCATCATGGTCGAGGATGCTCTCTCGACCCTGACGCGCATGCTGTCCTCGGCTACAAGGACCGTCTATCTCAGACGCAGGGCCCCCAGCGACGATGTGGCATTGCGGCACGATCGCCCAGAATCCAGCAATGAGACGGACCTGCGTTTCCGAGAAGCGCCCGGGCGTCCAGCCTCAGATTTCGCCTCCTCGGCATGAGATGGCGCTGTCGGTCCGAGCCAGACCAATCACGCAGTCCGTCCTTGGCCCGGCTCCCGCCATGGCGCCAATCCCATCAACAGGTGCTTCGTCTCTATTCGTGTGGGATCGCCTTTGGTGATCGCTTTGGGAATCGCTTTGGGAATCGCTCTTGCATCCCATCAGAATTACCCCACACAGACCTACGGCGCCATGTGGCAAGACTGCACGATCGATGGAGACTACTCCTCGACTGTTTGGCACAGGACAACACCTCTGCTCGCTGCTGCCAAGGACGATGGCTCAATCGAGATCTTTTCAGACGAGGGCACCCGTCTCGATAAGGCCAGCATCCAGAAGGAGGCCAAAGTGTGCGCGATGACTTGGCATCCCTCACGTCGGCTGCTTGCTGCCGGATGGTCAACAGGTAGCTCAGGCGGCCGGGATGCGGATTCATGATCGCAAACACGGGCAGCATAGACGCAGGTGACTTGATTCCCTCGATGTCATTCACCGCCGGACATGATTCTAACATCGATATGTTTTCAGGCACGGTCGGAGTTTGGTGCGATGCCGAACAAGCGCTGCGAGAGGGCAACATCCACCAGTGCCCCGTTGGCATTCTGGAGTGGAGCTTTGGTGGCAACCGATTGATCAGCGCCGACCAGGTGAGGCTCGCTGGTCCTTGGCGAAAAGCCGGTCGTGTCAAAGATGCGTCAGGGATCCCTGAGAGCCCACGACGACGTCACATTGCAGAAAGCAGCGTCTCACGCGTCGCTCATGCGTCTCTGCATATCAACAGGACGGGGTTGTTGTCGTCTGGAAAGTCGATCAGCGCGGACGAATCACTTCGCTCTGCCAGTATCGACTGAAAGGAGGGGTGTCATTCTGCCTGTTCCGGAGCACCCGCTCATCCGAACGCGATCAAAGGTATGATACCGGTTCCTCACCCTCCGCAGACCGACAACCTGCAGGTCGCCAGGCCGCCCCAGCCACCACCCGCTCCCAGATTTTGCATGTGCCCACACTATGGCCGCAGCGGCGCTGATGCCACCTATGCTTTACTTTCTGCGGATTGGCATTGCTTGCATTTATAACAGGCGATCGGACAGCCCTCCGTTCTTCTTGACTACAACCTCGGGATCCCTCTATTATGCCGACGACATGGGGCACTGCGCCGAGAGTGCCTCGGTCTCGCCGCCGGTCATTTCCATGGGAATCTTCCAGATCAAAGACCGGGACATCCTGTTTGCCCTCAGCAGCGAGCTCGTCCTGCTGCGCTACAACCTCACCCAAGACGGCAAGCTGTCGCAGGAGCTTGAGGTAAGCAACGCGCCTGTTTGGGATCGCAGCTGTGACTGATATCCAAATCCTGGTGTCGCTGGAGCGGAGCGATTCGCGCTCAGCGCTCCGGTGTGGGCTTGGATAGCAGCAGCACCGAATTCCAGCGTGCTGCAGTGTTAGTCTCATCGACAAGATGTACTAAAGGGCTCGACTCATTGTGTCTGAATGGTCGATCTGGCGCTGCCGCATGCGACAGATGAAACTGAGCGCCGGTGCTCGATACGACCGCAAGAATCTCCAGGCAGTCTGGATCGGTGTTGGAACATTGGCATTGTCGTTCTGCGGTCAATTTGTCAAAATCTGGGACCTGTTGAACGAAGAGACCCAAAATCTCACTATTCCAGGTGGGGTCCCTCGCGGGTGTCTGTCAACAGTGATCGGGCACATTACCTTCGTGCCGGTCTTCACCCCGAGTGCAAGAACTGTGGCAAGCAACGCAAGAGATCGCAAGGCGGCAGAATGGAGTGGCTGATGACTGTAATTCTCTTCACTGACAGATGCCGACGGTGTCCGATTCAACTGCCTCTCCTATTCCAGCAGCCAGAATATGCTTGCAGGTAAGCTGTGTGCGTCACTTGATATGAAGCGACAGCCCAACCGCCCAAACGATGGCCAGGCTCGTTGGAACGAATGCCACGGATCACGCTATGCAACGTTGAGCTGAACGATCTACCACGTTTCTTACTGGACGCTATTTTGTGTGGGATGGGTGAAATCAATCAGCCGGCACCGACTCTGGACATGTGATTGTCTGGAGACTGAACAAAGTTGTGAAGGATGACAAGCACTTGGGCTTCGATTGGAAAGTAAGTCCGTAACTGGACTATCAGCGACACCGTGCCTTCACTGAACCGCGCCATAATTGCCTGTATCTTTCCTATCGGAGCAGATCGCCTTTCGAATCAACACCGGTGGATGCATCGACGAGCTGCACTGGGGTACGGAATCACGGAGGCTTGGCCCGCAGTGCGGCCACTGAGTACAGCCGTTGTGATTGTCAGTGTGTCTTCTTGCGGCTGATACACGATTGCACTACAACGGACAAACAGGCGGATCCTCCAACCTACTCTCGGTGCGCAAGAAAAACTCTGTCAAAATCCTGACTCGGACGACAACGCACTGGGCAACCAACGGAAAGCTGGCAGTTATTCAATCGTCACCCAAGCAGCTTCTATGCTTCAACCCATCGAAGGAGGTTGGTTCGCCCCGGCTATCGCATTCATCGATTTGAGTTCAAGTTACGGATCTAATATCGACATTTATATGAACACACTGACAGAAATTCGAGCCATACGAAGTCGAATTCTCGGGCAAAATCAAGGGTGCTCATTTGTCATCCAATCACTTGGCGATCTGGGACGGGACGCAAATTGAAATATTCGAGTTTGGAGAAGGTTGTATGGCTGACTCGCAAGCAAGCTCTTCAGCCGATTCAAATCGCAGTGCCGGGCGTGTGGCCTTGTCCCTGCTCCCAACATATCACGGTCCTCTCGGATCCGCGTTCATGTGGACTCGGTTCTGTCCTGAGCGATTGACCGGTGTGCTCGACGCTTGTTCTGACGATAAGCTTCGCTTTCACTGACCCCTCCAGATGGCACAAACTTCCAAGTTATCGGAACCATCACGTCAGACTCTCTCCTCATCGCGGTCGACCGAACAGCCCTGTATCTGGCCAAGAAAGCGATTGATGTGTGCAACTTGCAAGGTGTCATGAAAACCTCCGTCTCGGTGTCTGAGAAGGAAGGCGAGATCATCGCACTCCGTGTCAGCCACGGGTTTTTATTGCTTGTAAGATGGGAAACTGCAGTCGCAACATTTGGAATGTCGCATCGCTTCTGTGATTTGTATCCCTTGCCTGCAGCTCTCGCCTTACAGAGAAGGATCGAGGACTCGGCTTCGATTGATGCGGAAGGCAATTGGTGACACTCCTTGGGTCTCTCGGTTGACGCATTCAGGCAACTTCCAATAACTTTATCAAGCTCTTCGACGTATCGTCCAAAGATCCAAAGTACATCTGCACAAAGCAGATCGACGAGCAAGTATCTGAGTCACCCAAATTGCACCGAGTTTTGATTGCTGCATTGCCAGCCACCGACCCAGTATTTTTGTGGTCGCGTGGTGTCCTGAATACCACACTCCTCCGCGCGTCGCTTCGAATGGCTCTGGCTCTGGCTCAATAAGCGCTAAACGGCAGAGTCTAACCATCTCTGACTGCAGATCCATCAACATACAAGAGCTGCTCTCGATCAAACACAACTCGAGTGGCACGTTTGTGAGCATCTTGGCTACAACCATGAGCGACGGTATGTATCGCGGCAAGCCGTCGCAAAGCTTCTTGCCAAAGATCGCAGCTGATGCGTGGCATCTGAGATGCACTACTTGTTGTGCTGAATCGACGCCGCTGCAGAGGCTTCAAACAACCCGCGTATCGACACAGGACTCTTGATCTACGATGTCGATCACGACGAGATTCTACAGTACGATTTCTCGCAGCAGAATCTTCGGGTCAGTCAAACACTCCCATGGGTTCTCGACATGTGCCCTTTGGCTCGTATGCACAAATGAGTGGACACCACGGTCCTTAATCCGCGCGCCGTTACTCAATAGGTCACAAGTCACTTCTGGGACCAGACAGATCCTCGTATTTTAGTTTGTGAGGCGCAGGCCTATGCGACACTTTCAGGTTCGTCAGATGGCTTTCGTTTCAATTCGATAGCAAGTGGTGCAGATTCTTCACGGCTTGGACCAAATCTGCCGCACTACTGGCCAAGTCAGTGGATAAGCCTCACACGTTGTCACTGTGGTCATGCTGCAGGATCATCGACCGACAGCCAAAGTCTGCAGTCCAACGAGGTATGTTTAGTACCGCAACGACGACTTCCGACGCAGCATCAGCATCCAACCTCTGCGATCAACGGGTTTCAGGGCACGTAGCCTGGCACTTCGCGCCAACGCTGTTCATGGCTATCGCTTTCAGATATGCTCCTTCTTTGTGGTTTCAACCCACGGAATCGTGTTCCAGGATCGGTATTCTGCCAGTGACGCCGATACCTTGATCGAAGTGAATCTGCCGTTCCACATATTCATGCAGGTTTGTACCCTCTCTTGAGACGCATGGGTGACTGGGATGCTGCCTCCAGACGCGATACATATTTTGATATGGCCGCACGCTCGAGCTCACACAGCGCAACCTATCCTCCTCCTTTGGCGAACCCGTGGCGAATCCAGAAATATGAATCAAACGAGACCACCACAACATCAGTCTTCCGAAAGCCCACACACGACTATGTTGGAATCGAAGAGTCTGATGCATCTACCCTACGTGCAATGACGGACTTCAGCTTCCATCTCACCACCGGCAACATCGATGATGCGCTCAAGGTATGCTGGTGCAGGCAAGGAGATGGGTATAGGAAGAACCCGTGCCTGGATGGCTCTTGTGGTCACAGCTCCGAATATCTGACAGCTTGGCGGCGATGTCACCAGGCAGTTCGCTTCATCAAGTACGAGCGGGTGTGGGAAAACATGGCGCGGAAGTGCGTCAAGATGAAGCGAATGGATGTGGCGGTCATGTGTTTGGGCAGCATGGGATACGCTGAGGCTGTGTCGGCCCTCAATGAAGCAAAGAACGAGTCGGACGACGTCAAGGCTGCAATCGCAGCAACATATCTTGGTAAGCCTGCATTTGGGACGATGGCGGGCAAGGCGAGGTGGTGACAAGTATGATGTCGCAGCGGAGGGTGAGACACATACATCAAGTGGCACTATATGGTGTATCGGCCTGGGCTCGGTGTGAGTCCATCTCTGGGGCATTGATCACACGAAGGCTGTGGCTAACTGCGATAAATCTATCGCCACCTTTTCTCCTGTCATCCGACACTTCCCCCCCCCCACACACACAGGCATGACGAATGATGTCGAGGAGCTGTATTTGAGTGCTCAGCGATACGATTTGTTGAATGAATACTACCAGGTGGGCCGCCGCTCCCTTCGAGCCGCCAAGATGAGCCTTGTTGTGAACTAACCCAAGTCGTCGTCTCCGCAGTGCTCGGGCAACTGGGAATGGGCTCTCGACACGGCCGCCAGTCGTGACCGGATCAGCCTCCGCTCGACTTTTTGCAAATTCGGACGATACCTGCAGGAAATCGGCGACATCAGCGGAGCGATTGCAGCCTTTGAAAAGTCGTCGGCATGCAAGTAAGGGTCAAAAAGTGGGCGCATGTCTTGGGAAGTCTTGCGGCAAGCGAACGCAATCCCAAAGATATCTGACAAATACCGATGACCCCGTAGTTACGAGATTCCGCGACTGCTCGCTGGCCGAGACCGAGAGCTCAAGGACTATATCGACTCGTCCGAATCAAAGGTAGGGTCTGCCACAGGACAGTGGCCAAAGCAACGCATCCTTTGGCAAGGCAATGCCAAAATGTCGAGCGGAAATAACGAGTTTGTCCTTTATCTGGAATCATTTATCAGCCTCTGAAGAAGTGGTGGGCACAGTATCTCGAATCGACGGGCGACTACGAAGCGGCACTCAAGTTCTACGAACAAAGCGGCGATAATATTGCCATTGTTCGGCTGTACTGCTGTATCGGCAAGCTTGACCAGGTACGATCTGTCTGAACTCGTGGCCAGACCCGTCTTTGCTGGCACTCTCTCGCGTAGTGCGATGCCTCTCAAGCGAGTTAATATTCGTTTGATGGAATACACCACCGATCGTAGGCCATGAAGCTTGCCGACCAAAGCAACTCGCCGGCGGCCGCGTACTTTATCGCAAACCACCTCGAGAACGAAGGCAATGTATGGCACATATATAATGTGGCACAGCTGTGAGGATACCCGGGTTTGACCACAGTTTAAACACACCTGTTCCTAGATTTCGGATGCCATATCGTTCTACTCCAAAGCAAAGTGCTTCACACAAGCCATTTCGATCGCCCAGCTGCATGGAATGGATGATCAGCTCATGTATCTGGCCCTTCAGGGCTCCAAGGAGTCTATGCTCAACGTCGCACGGTTCGTGTAGAGAATCCGCACCAGTTGGTGCCATGCATATTGCCTGGAAGTACCACCAACTGCAGTGCATGCAGGCGCCCCGCGCAATACGAAATCTTGTCTGTGAGCTCTAACAACTTTGATTTCTGTCCGTCTCTCGCTTTACCTCCAGTTACTACGAGGCTAAGCGAAAATATCTCGACAAGGCTATCAGCTTGTATTACAAGAGCGGCCACATCTCGAAAGCGCTCCAGCTCTGCTTCGACTCGAAGCAGCACATGATGCTCCAAGATTTGGGTAAGCTGTCCGACTGGCCCGGAGGATTCTGGAGGGTATATTGCATCGTTGACTGCGCCAGCTTGGTACTGCTGTCGTATCAAGAGCAGAGACAGTATGCTCTTCTGAAGGACCTAGCCAAATCGCGAACGTCAGAGTTTGTCTGGTGTACAAGGCGGCTGAAGTTTGGATGAAATGTCCAAGTGCTGTAGCGCAGCACAATAACACTGAATATTGGTAAATCTAACACCTCTTTGTGGGATATATCAGTGGAGAGTCTTGGTGAGGGTGTAGACCCAAAATTACTCTCCAAATGCGCTCAGTTTTTCATCGAAAACCAGCAGCACACCCAAGCTGTTCGTCTGCTGTTGAAGGCACGAAACGTCGACGAGGTTGGTTCACAAACTAACAAAGCAATCTATTCGAACGGCATACTCACCCGTGGCTAAAACAATCGGTTGATCTCATTTATGCAGGCGATCCAAGTCGCACAGGAAAACGGTGTTACCATCACCGAGGAACTGGCTGACTTGATCCAAGCTGATAAGAGCGGAAGCGAGACTGCAGAGGAGAAGGAAATGTGTCTCAAACTTGCGCAGTGCTGTCTGCAGCAAAGGTCCTACCATCTCGCATGCAAGAAATTCACCCAGGTACACAGAGCGGGTCTCAATCGAGACGACAAGACTCGCGATAGAGCCACGCCATGAACTGCAAATTGCGCCCTCACTCACTCACCCACAATGCAATCACCAGGGCGGCGATCGGCTGCAGGCAATGAAGTCACTGCTTAAATCAGGCGATACTGAGAAGATTATATTTTTCGCCAGTAAGTGCTGATGCCACTGGCGAGCCATATGCACCAAAGTCAGGAATCCACTGTACTCACCCATCCTGCATCAACCTTCACCATGCGCACCAGACGTCTCGGGTCCAAAACAGAAAGAAATCTACGTTTTGGCTGCAAACTACCTCCAAACACTCGACTGGAGGAACTATCCGTCGATCATGAAGGCAATCATACTGTTTTACAGCAAGGTAGGCAGCAAAGGGTGTAACGACCTGTTCGATCGCCACGGACGCCATAGCAACGCATTCGGATATTGTAAATCAATCGCTGGCGTTGGAGACACTGCTCAAGGAGGCAGATGGAAGCACTGGCCCATATTTCTCACAGCAAGCTGCGCTTGGCCCCAGGCAAAGGCATTTGATTCGCTCTCTGGATTTTACCAAGCCTGCGCACAGGTAGAGATCGACGAGTATCAGAACTACGAAAAGGTGAGAATTCTTGGATCTGTCTCGATGCTGGGTGGCTGGTACTGCCCACGGCGGATAGTGGAAGGCGCTGCGGTATCTCTGAGTGTATCCCTCTACTGTGGCGGAGATACAATGCTGTTCTTCTTGCGCATCATAGACACCGTGCTAGCTCGGTGTCGTCGGTCGGCCTGGCATTTGTTTATCAAATACGCTGACTGATACATGCACTAGGCTCTTGGCGCGTTCCGCGAAGCAGCAAAGTGCTCCTTGAAGGGCAAAGACAGAGGGGCCGACGACCCCCAACTCGCATCGATGGATCGCCGCATCTACCTGGTGTCCAAGTTCGTGGAGGCCAGAAAGCTCGCCAAGACCGATGTTGAAAAGACATTCTCGATTTGCGAAGCACTGTTGCGGGAACCGGACATCGAGGTAAGCGGATCCAGATCCTTGCCCTGGTTGGTGGCCCCACCTGTAAGAAGCGTGGAAGTCGCTGGAGCAAATGTCCAACAGACTCACCGCCCTCTTCTCGCTTCAGTATGCAGTCCGAATGGGCGACATATACGCGTTGTTGGTCGAGTGCCATTTTGATAGCGGCAATCACGAGCAGGCGCTGGAAGTCCTCCACAAGATGAAGAGTCGAAAGTCCACGTCCAACATTGAGTTTTTTGTTGATCGCAACATTCTCCAAGCTTTGGACAAGAGCTATGGCGCCACCCAGGGCGACGACGGCTCGGACATTGTCGAGGAGCTGCCCGACAGCTAGGCGCACGCTCCAGCGCTCACAAAGTGAAGCAAGTCATCTTGTCCACGAGGCTGTCGGCGTGCGATTCTGGATCTCTAATACACCGGCCTCCGAGAGTTACCGCCGACCCTGTCATCATGAGACTGCTCCGTAAAACTGGCGGCGTAGACGATCAGCTCATTCAATAAAACCGAGAGTCATATATGCTTCAGCACGATGGCATTTGGCCAAGTGCCGCGAATTGACAGATTAATACATGCTGCAGCGATCGAATTGCACAGAATGGTCGTGCCACGACCCTATCTAGTGGATAAGCACACACCGGTTGCATCCAATACAACTGCGATTGAACAGCAGTATCCTCGGGCGCGCTGGATAAACATGAGTGTATTCAGGATCCAAAACACTTGAAATCGAACACAAAAACAAAGAGTCCCATTTCGCTTTTGAACACCTCCATAACCAGGAACAGATCCTGCTATGTTGAGCTTACTCAGGGTGGGCTTTAAATCCCTTCAGAACCACCGATTTGAACTTGGAGGAGTGTACAAGTCGCTCCAAGCCCCTCCTGATCCCAGTTCGACTGCCAGACTCGCCGGGCTCAGCATCCATCCAGCCGTCAGGTCCACCCACTAAATCCTGCGCCTGTCGAATCTGCTGTGCGCTCTCGAGCAGTGAAACGCACTTTTCCACGGCCTGGGAGGCACTGTTTGACGAGACGGAAAGGAATTGGTCCGCATGGCTGAGGAAGAAGCTCCAGACCACCGAAGCACCATGTTTGGCGCCGGCCAGTGACGAGAGCATGGGAACGATCATCTGCGGGCGCAGTTCGCCAGACTCAATGATCTTGATGGTTTGGTTCTGTAGAGCTTGGAGTGGGGTCTGTGCCAGTGGCGAAACGGTGTCTCCAGGAAGGCTCTCGCGTAGATGCCAGAGGATGTAGTATGCCTCTGTCAGGTTGGAAGAGTGCATCACTGCGGTAGAGTATATCCATGGCAGTATCTCGTCGGGAGCATCGTGGAGGTTTCCGGTGAGGAGCTCGTCAAAGAGCTCGAGTCCCGTGGACACAACTCTGGGGATACCCAGGGTGATGGCGTACGGAATGAGAGCAGATCGCAGGAGCGAGAGTGCGTGAGCCGGAATCGGCTTTGATCCGGAGCGGCTCTTCGTCGCAGCAAACGCGCCCCATCCGATCTCTGCAGCAACGGGTCCCACGAGGCTAGACTTGTACTGATTCCATGCCTCGATGAATGGATGGGCACCAACGAGTCTGTCCATCTGCTTGAACACCGAGATGCAGGTGCGCCACACAGTCGGATCACGGTCCTTGGCAACAAAGGTTGTAATATCCATAGCCAGCTGGAGGCCGAGTCGATTCGAGGTTGCAAGCGCCCAGATATCGGACAAGAAGCCGGCACGGTCAGCTGGAGAGAAGAGCGAGGGGCTGCTCTTGAGCCAGTGCGAGAGCTGCTTGTAGTAATCGATAGAGTCGAACATGACGCGATAGAACCCGACACGGTCTCGGTTGATCAGAACGAGCGAGTTTCGAGGAGCCGGAGTCATGATGGTTGTGTGGCCATTCATAAGCACGGTCTTTGCTGGAGTTGCATGAGTCGGGGATGAGTGCGGATCCATAAGGATGCGATAGCTCACAGGGATTTGCCAAGAACTCGAGATTTCGGTTGCGTTTGTGTCTTTCCAGAGGGTGTAGCGGAACTGAGTCAAACGGACAAACCCGTTCTGCGCGGATACAAGAACAACAGGGAAGCCTGGGTTGCTGATCCAACCGGACATGGTGTCGTTAACGATTCCTTTGTGGGCCTCGGGCCCAACAGCGTCGAGCGCATGCCACAGGTTTGCAGTTTGGGCAGTCGACTCGGCATACTGTACCAAGTACTGCCTGAGACCACGACAGAACTGCCCACAGGAGAGGTGCCCGCCGTCAGCGGACTCGAGCCAGTCTTCGAGCATACGGATGACCGATGCGCCTTTGTTGTAAGTCACATCATCAAAGAGCATGGGAAGCAGAAGAGGGTCGGCGACGGGAAGGTATATGGGGTGGGTGAACATTGATTCGTCGGCTTCGAAGGCGAGGAGATGCTCATAGACGAAGAACTGAGACAGTAAATCCCAGTCCGGGTGCAGGGCAGCAACGCTCTTGTACTGCATAAACTCTGCAAAGCCTTCATTGAGCCACCTAGATGCCATAGACAACATGAACGTCAGACTGCGCTCTTTTTCGGCACCAAGAGGTCCCGTCTCAAGCATCGTAGCGTGAAGAAACTGGTCTTACAGATCATCCCACCAGGCCATCGTGACAAGATCGCCAAACCACTGTGAAACGACGAATCGACAGTGTCAGCCAGCAAGGACTAATGCGGCTGTCCAATATTGATGGAGGACAATGCAGACGGTACAGTCCTTGAATCGATATTGCGTGGGAGCCGCTCGCATCTGCCAGACCTGATGAGCAATCTCATGAGCGATCAGCATCGCCGATGCCTGGAGATCTTGGGCGGGAGCCGAGCTGCGGTTGATGAGTAGCAGGCTGTCTTCATACGTTATCAAGCCCCAGTTCTCCATACCCTCCGCTGTTGTCCAAGAACCGAGCCAGCCGGCCAGTCAGTCCGATATCAAACAGGACTGTGCCAGCCGCGGCAGTGAGCATCGATCGCCATGGACTGCTTGCCAACGATCGCGAAACTCACAGGTGAAATCCGGAACGGGGAAATGGTCCATCTTTGGAACCGGAAGCGTGTAGTTGTAGAGCTTTTGGAAAAATTCCATCGACCGTGTTGCCACATCCAAGGCAAAGCTGCGTGCGGAAGACATGTCAAATGCAACGACGGCCGACAGATGCAGATAATTGGTGTAAGGGACGGATCCCTTTGAAGCGGATGTTCAAGCGACTACTCAGCGCAAGCATTCCAGACAATCGTGCGAGTTGTTGGATTTGACACCTGGTCAGATCGGCATCTACCATGCGACGAGCGGCGCATACCTGGTCAGGTTTATGGACTCGGATGGAGCATAGACGCCGACTGGTATTCCGCTGGAGGTCCGTGCTTCTACGCGGGAATAGTCGCTGACGCCCCAAGCGGCCAGATAGGTGGATTGAGGCGGGGTTTTCTGAAAAACATATCGGCTCATGCCAGAGGCGCCCACCGGCTCTGTTTTGTTGAGCGGCATGTTTGACAGCGCGGTCAGGGCGGAGCACACTGTGATCTTGAAGCTGGCCTTCAGCGCCGGCTCGTCGAAGCACGGGAACGCCATTCGGGCAAACACGGGCTCAAAGTGAGTGATGGCGAGGTAGTGTTTCTGGCCAGAGCCGTCCATGTAGCTGCTGCGATAAAAGCCAGCAGGCTCGCCATCGCCCATGACGCCGTCAAAGTCGATGGAAAGGCGGTAGTCTCCCACGCCAACAATGGTCCCAAAGAGCAGCACGAACGTCTGCGTGGGTGGATCCTCAACGACCCGCGTGGGCAAGAGCCTGGTCGAGCCTTGGGCCAGATAGATGTTCGAGAGGTTGAGATCGAGGGCATGGAAGCGAATGTGATAGGTCGGCTCGGTAATGAGCAGCGCGATGTCGACCGTTCCGTGAAAGCCAAGGGTCTCCAAGTCCGGAGTCACTTCGAGGTCATAGTGGCGGGGAATGACGGAGGACGACAGGCGCAGGCCTTGGCTGGAGTTGGCTTGGAGAAAGTCGAGGCTCTCGGGCAGAGCAGTGGTGCGCTCGGATTGAGATGAGCCGCCCATCGAGACGGCCGTGATGATCACGAGCGACGCAACGGCGACCAAAGCCGCAGCGAATGCCAGCTTGCTCCACGAAAACCACGCGCTGGAGGACTTTGAGGAGCCTGGTTCGGCCGGAGTAGGTTTAGTCCTGTGTCGCCGATAAGGCTTTTGGCCCGGACTGGTTGAGGAGCTGCCGTTCATGTCAAGGGCAAGTAGAAACCCATGCTCGGAGTCGTCTGGGTCGACCTGGCCCGCGTCCCACTGTGGGTCGGCATCAGCGCTGGTGTCAGACGGGTTCTTCATCGAGGCAGCGGTAATGTCGACAGCGCGGAGATGAAGAACAACGAGGAGGCTATGGAGACGAGGCCTTGGAGTATCGCAGGTGTCGTGTGAAAGCGGTGCGGCGCAGGGACGGCGAGCGAATACGATGCCGATATGCAGTAGGTGTTATGCCGATATGCAGTAGATGCAATGTCTATGTGGCGGGATGGTGTGCTGTAGCTATTCAATGACCAAGCGAACTGGCAAGCAGCAAGCGCCGAGAGGCGACAAAAGACAGAGCGGACAAGCAACCGCATAGAGCGGGTGCCGTTTGCGGCCCGCGAGCCAGCATCTGCGAGAACGTGCTGGCCAGCGATTCCGCCGATCGGATGCAGGCGAGCGACGGACAGCCAAAAGCCAGGGCTGCTCTGTTGGCCAATCGCACCGGAGCCGATCATCCGCGCAGCCACGGCCTTGGCCATGCATCTGCAAGCGGGGGCCTGCTCGAAGCACACGGACAACAGCGCAAGCGCACGGCTGCTGCAGACGAACCAGACCCTGCAAGCATGGGCGCACATGTGTCTTCCATCTGGAAAGGCGAGCCCCGCAAGTTTGTGCTGGTGATCGTCGGCCTGGCCGGCGGCGGCAAGACCACCGTTTTCAACCAGCTTCGTGGAGACGATGCAAGCGGCCCGCCCGAGGCAACTGTCGGGTTCAATCACGACATCATCAGCTTCGGCGACAACCTCGACATCCAGCTCTGGGACATCAGCGGCGCAAGCGTCAGCATTCCCTTCTGGCGATGCTTCTATGCTGATGCACATGCCCTGCTCTTTGTCGTGGACTCGACCGATCCCGACCGGGCTGCAACCGCTGGTGGGGCGCTGATCCAGATCCTGCAGGACCCGTTCCTCCCGGGCGGGTGTCCGCTGCTGATCTTGTCCAACAAGCACGACCTGGACACGGCAATGGACAATAGCGGGCTCACCGAAGCTATGGGAATCGAGCCGATTCTGAAAGAAACCACCCGCGAGTGGGCCATCATCCAGTGCATCGCCCAGGAGGGAATCGGCCTTGAAGAAACAACGACATGGCTGCTCGATCGGCTTCTCGGCGGCACATACGGCTCGTTCTGAGGCCCATGAAACCCACCCGGCACCCACCTGCGGACCATATCCACGGCTCCCAGAGGAGCATACTCCGCCGGCATGCACCAATGAACAGAGCTAGCTGATGATCCGGACAGAACCGAGTTGGGTGGGCTTTATGGCAGAGCTGCTGGTGCAGCCAGCGCTCGCCGACATCCGGGGCTCGGCCTGCCAGGGGAGCTCGTGGGATTCGGACCGCCGTGAGGCACCAATGTGTACTGGGCCATTAACAGACGGCGGACCAGATTCGAAGCGGCTCTGAACAGCAGCCAAACAATAGTCCCCTTTTTTTCGCTTCCAGCGCGCGCTCCTGGGTGGGCGGTTGCGGGAGCGGCGAGTGGATCCAGCAGGTGGGAGTCGCTCTCTCTCCAAGCGCTCTGGCCCCAGACAGGACAATCTTTGCAAGGCACAGAGCAGGATGACCCACGACATGGATTGCGCCATTGTAGAAGAGCTCTTCAGCGTGGGTTTCCGAGAACCTGATAGGATATGGGCTCATCGTCGCCGCGGCTGGTCATGCTTGTGTATGCTGGGGCTGGCCGTGCTCACAACCACATCACCATTGTGCTGCAGGATCTACTGCTGTCTCCGCCATGGACGCCCGGTAGGACGCCGCTGCATCATCCAGAGCCATACCGCCCTCGACTTATTCAAGCCGATCACTTGTTCCCACGGACAGGCTCGGACTGCTGCATGGGCCAGGTCGGGGACGACGGCCGCCCGCTTTATGGAAAGACGATCTACTGCGACAGCGACGGCAGGGTCAAGGCAATGTACGTTTATGTGTCCGCTTGGCCTCGCAGCAGCCAACAGAGCCACTAACCCGATCGCTGGTACAGCAATCTTGGCCAGGGCAGCCATACGCCGTTCCAAAGCGACCAGTCGGCGAACCAGATCATCGTCGGGCCGATCCCCCCATCGTTGTGGCAACTCAATCTAACGGCGCTGTAAGGCCCATGGATCGCGCCTGTGGCGCTTATCGTGCCATCGGGCTCATGAAAGGACGATCCAGCATCCGGTGCAAATGCGGACAAGATCCGATCCAGCATGCCTAACTGGTGTGTCGGCGGTGTGGTGCCCGGGTTTTGCACAGATACCTTGATCAAAACCAATTCAGCGGCGATATCTCGCCTTTGTCCAACATGACGAATCTAGTGGAGGTGGATTTGTCGAACAATGCCTTCGCAACGACCTTCCCCGACCTATCGGGCCTGACCCGGCTGGAGTCGCTCTGGATGAACCACAACACGATGGCTGGCAGCGTCCCTCCTTCGTTCCTGGCGCCGAATCTCATTGAAATGTGAGTCGGGCCGGGTCAAGCCTGGGGTGGACTCGCTTGCTCTCCGCGGTGCTACAGCGCTAACACCAAATCCTATCACCCAGCGACCTGAGCTACAATTTGTTCTGTGGGCCGCTTCCGCAGTTCCGGAACGAAGACACACTCGAGTACTGCGACTTTCGATACAGCGGACTTTGTTTGACGTCGCCGTATATCATGATGGGCTGCATTCAACCACTGATTCTCTGCCTCGGGAACACATCGTGTGCCTCACCCGGGCCAACCGGGACTGGAGGTATGCTATGAAAGCCACCAAGCAACAGTGACCATGCGAAGCTATGGATATGCAGGGTGTTGCTGATACAGCGCCGGTTGGAGGGCCAGGATCGATGGCTTACGAATGTGTGCAGCCGAGATACCAATGCAGCTCCCTTCTCCATTTCTCAACGACAACGCCAACGAAATCAACGCCCACGAAATCGGCGCCAAACGACTGGAAAACAACTGGAACTATCAAACTTGCGATGACCAATGGTGGCTGGCTCGAGGGCACAGCAGCTGTCCAGTCATCGCTCCCGCCGTCGTCGTCGCCAATCCACACAATCCTTCCCAGGCCCACAGAGAACCCCATCCGGGACATGGGCGCTTGGATCGGAGGCATGAGCCTGCTCTCGCTATTCGTGGTGTGCACGACGATTTACGTGCTGTTCCAGTGCAGCAAGTCCCGCAATTTCCCAAGACCACGGTCGCTGGCCAGCATCCCGCCTCAAGATATTGCGAGGCTCCCCACCGACAGTCTTCCATATGCAGCATATGTCGAGCCTTCGTTCGTCATTGAAACCTATCCAAGTAGCGACGGGGAGCATCCCAGCGCAAGTTGCCAGACCAGTATCATCTCCCATATCGAGCCAGCGCAACACAGTAGTGGTGCGGAGTCTCACGGATGACGACCAGTCTCGTGCTCGCCGAATAAAATCTGCTGGGGCATACCGAAATACCTGGGGATCGGCAGCCTGGCAGATCATGGAGGTTGGAGGGTAGGCTATGAGGTACATCCCTTGCCGTTTGACTCAAATGACAGCATGCGATCCCAGGATTCACAGGAAGGACGAGGTCGCACGAGCCTCAACAGGATTCTCGATGCTCATACACTACAGGCTCCGAACCAATGCTGAAGCCCGGTGATCTCAGTCGCGAGAATGCTCGCAGCAAGAGTCGCTTCCCTGGCTCCATAGGCGAGCGATCTCTGTGGATGAGGGCGTTCTCCATGCACCGAGGCGATATAAGCAGGAGGGCCCGTTTCACTGCGTCTCAAATAAACAATCTTTTATTTGAAGGACGAGCACAAAAGAGTCAACAGAACTTAAGCCTTCTTGACGGCCTCCTTCTTTTGGTCCTGAGCAGAGTTCAAACACGCGTATTAGTACCGCCGCAGCATTGCGCTTGGGAGCCCTTCACCAGCCCTGAGGAGCGACGGCTATGCCGTGTATGTGGTATGTGCATGCTCCATGCTCGTCGGCGTGTCGCAGCCGCATCCAGTAAACTTCAATACAAACCTTGTTGAAGCCAGCACGGAAGCGCTGGGGAGGAGTGCGATCCTTGCGGCCCTCACGGGAACGAACACGGACGACGTGAGAGTGGATGGCGCAAGAAATGCAGTAGAGAGTCTGAAGGTAGAGCTTGGGGAGAACGTACTCTGGAGTACCGGAAAAGCAGAGACAGGGGCGTGAGCAAGCCAATCTAGAAGGGCATTACTGGGTACACCGTTCAAATCGGATGCATCGACTGAGCAGAGGGCTCACCTTCGTAGACAGAGGCGACACGGAGATCACCAATGGCAGCCTGCTCTACCATGTTGCGGACGAGGTAGCGCTTGATGGCCTTGTCCTTGGGGACGCAGCGAGAGCAGTTGGAGCAGCGGACAAATCTGACGTGTCCGCGTCCCTTCTTGTTGCGTCCATTGTTCCTCCTCTTTTGAGTCTGTTGGCATCGATTCGCATCGGGGATCGAATGACGTCCGATTGATTAATACCGGCCTCGCGCGAGATATATGGGCAGGCCACTCATCCACGATCCTCCCAGCCATCCATCATGTCGCCCCGTGGTCTCTGTTGAATCCCATGTCCTTGATCGATATACTGTGAGAGCGCGAGCCGATGATCCAACGAGCAGCCGTCCATCAGATACAAAGAGTCCTTTGGTCCTGTGCAGTATCATGGTGATCAACAGCTCTACTGGCTGCTTTGCTCGGGATGCTTCTTGTGAATTATTCGGGTTGTTGGTGGGCTTGAGAGGCTGGTGGTGCGGTTTGATCGACCGTCGTCGACACCGCTTATCCATACGCTGCTCCGAGTGGCTCGCGACAGACGCATTTATCGGTGCATCGGTGCACTGACAGATGGATGGACGGATGGATGGACGGATGGATGGATGGATGGATGGATGGATGGATGGGTGTGTCGCAGCTGTCGTTGCCGCACTTACCATGATGCTTAACTAACGTTCCAAAAGAGAAATTTGGATAGTGCGAGAGGGATTCACGAATGGTGCGGGCGGCGCTCTTGCACCTATCCGCCAACGGCCAGTCCCGAGCACACAGCCAAGCCACGCGTCACGTGATGGACAGCTCGCCCACAACCACAACGACTGGTGCAGCGCCCATGTCCCAGCCGAGCATGTTCCCCCCAGGAAAACTGACAGGACCCAGACCCTCTGATGTTTAGGCAGGCAGTTGTGCACCATATCGCGGCGCGGCACTGCGCTGCCCGCACCGGACGTCATCCCATATCGGCTATTTCAGGAACACGTACGCATGTGTATTCACGCATGAAGGACAGCCACAGGTCTCAGATAGAGTTGCGTCTGTGGCATTTCAGCGACATGATCTCTAGTTCTGCTTCTTGGGCTTGGCAGAGGCGCCTGAGCCAGAAGCCGCAGCAATGAGTGGCCCGAGCCACTTGGCACGCTCGGCCAGTGAGGGGCTGAACAGAACGTTCATCAGGGCCTCGTTAAAGCGAACAGCCGCCTGGGAAATGGGGTACTGGAGTGGGCCGGGGATATGCGTGCGCACGCCAAAGAGAGAGAAGCGGTCGCTGGTGGTCGAGCGCAAATGACACTGGCCACGGAGGCCTTCGTATCCCGAGAAGCGGTCGAATCCAGACATGCGAACACCACCAAAGGGCAGCGACTGTGGAAACAAGTGCGAGGATGCCGAGGCGTCAGTTTGGACTCAGCGTGGATCTGCGGTGTGTGGCAGCGACCCGGAGCTGTGCCCGCTGCGCGTTCGACCCAATAATCGTCGAATATCAGCAGGCAGTCGAGGGCTCCATACCTGACAGAGGTAGTTGATGCCAAAGTCGTTGACATTGGACATGCCGACGCGGAGCTTGCGAGCCACGCGCTCGCCGCGCTCGAGGTCCAGCGTGTAGACAGCCGATCCCAGACCAAATTCACAAGAGTTGGCCAGGGCCAGGGCCTCTTCTTCGGTCTTGAATTTCATGATGACCATGACGGGACCAAAGACCTCCTCCTTGGTGATGCGCATGTCCAGCGTAACATCCGCGAGCAAGGTCGGCTCGTAGAATTGACCCTGATGTCGCAGGAAACAAAGATACGTCAGTTGAATTGTTTGGCGATCATGGCGTAGATTGATGCTCCGCTCCCACGCGGCCCCAGAGGCAGGCAGAGGCAGGCAGAGGCAGGCAGAGGCACCCGACGGACTGGCACAAACCTTGGGGTACTTGGGATGAATATACTGCTTTCCGCCCGCCAGAAGACGAGCGCCCTTCTGGACTGCATCGTCGACGAGGTCCTGGATGATGGCAAGCTGGGCTTCCATGGTCATACCGCCAACGTCAACCGATTCCTCCAGAGGGGCGCCGATGCGGAGCTTGCGAACACGCTCGGTTAGATCGGCAACAAGCTTGTCGTAGATGCCTTCTTGGAGGAGCACACGCTCACAGCCTGGACATGTCCGTACGACAAAGTCAGCACCAGGGGCATCTGCTGCATCTGGTGCATCTGCTGCATCTGCTGCATCGGATTCAGCGCAGGCACTATATCGACAGCACTGGCTTACCGGCGCAGTTCTGTCCGGCATTCTGGAAGGTGGCGCGCATGAGCGAGTGCAGGACTTGGTTGTAATCACAGTCGTCAAAGCAAATGACCACGTCCTTGCCGCCAAGCTCGAGAACAACAGGAGTGAGGGTGTCCGAGGCGTTGCGCATAATGATCTTTCCGACACCGGGAGAGCCGATGAAAATGATCTGTCGGAACCACATGTGTCAGTCAGGTTACGACTATAGATGCTGCAACCAGCGAGACAGATCGAGTCGGACAGCAAAGGCGAATGTTCAAGAAACAAGACTCGCGGCCATCTCTCCTTCCACACAAACATCCGGATGTATGATGTCGCGATTGCTATGCCATCCAGCCTCCTCCACGCAGCATTGAATCTCCAGAACCCAGGCGGCACCCTCCTACAGACACACCGATCCAGCATCCGCCCTTGGTACCGATCCGCGTGGCCTACCTTATCGGCGTTGGAAACCAAAGCTGCACCAGCGTCTCCCCATCCGTTCACAAGAGTAACAAGGTCCTCGTTGATACCGTGGGCGCGCAGGGTGGACTTGATGATCTGGTTCCAGTAGGCGGTACTCCAGGCAACATGCTCCGAACACTTGATGACGCAGGCGTTGCCGGCCATAAGAGAGGAGATCATTGGTCCGAATGTGTTGTGAAAGGGGTAGTTCCACGAGACGATGCACCCCATCACGCCAACGGGGTGATATTCGATGCGGGGACGTTTGTGAATGGTCAGGAGCGAAACACCGCGCTGTTCGGGCTTGAGCACCCGCTCGCCAGCAGCAATCGTGAACTCGAGACGGGCCAGGGTCGCGAGGATCTCGCCGAGATTGGCATCGACAACTGTAGTGCCGCAAATGGGCGCAGGGAAAGAGCGAGCGTTAGATGCAGGACCTGGAGCACGACAGACTCGGTGGCGAATCGGGACCCATAGCGTCCGTCCATGCATATGCATTTGGAGCCATTCCGCACAGCCAAAATCCAGGCAAGACACGACCAAGACCAACATCTCAGTCGTGGTCATCTGCTCGGCCATCCTGACGCATGAACGGAGTCGCAAGTAGCGAATTGTGGATCTTACAAGCCTTTCCAGAGTCGCGGGAGCACACTCGGATGATGTCATCCTGGTTCTTGGTGGTAAAGTCCAGAAGCGTCGTGAGGATGGCTCGTCGCTGAGCAAACGTTGTCTTGGCGTACTCGACCTGAGCCGCGCGAGCCTTCTTGATGATCTCGATCATCTCGTCGGGTTTGGTGGCCCGCTGGATGCCGAGAGATCGGCCCGTGGTGGGCTCATAGCACTGGATCTTGTACGGATCATCGGCACACTGCGACGAGCAAATCGGCCCGGGCCAAAGTCAAAGGAAATCGCGAACGACTCAGCGAACAATCGACTTGATGGCAGAACATGGGTAACGCCAAGCAGTCCGTCGATGCCAGAGACTCCAAACACTGGCCGAGGCAGATTCCTTGGGCCTGTCGTCCTCGACCGAGACCAGATCGGATGGGCTTACCTTGATCGAGGGCTTGTCGAGTACCTTGCCATTCCATTCCGGCGACGCCTCTGCAATTTAAATTGACGATGGAGAGCGGGGATGACGTTGATGTTGTGGTCGGCGATCAGATCTGGACACCGAGCGTCTGCGGGACAGCACAGGACAGCACAGAGTGTCCCCGAGGCGCTGCCACATACCTGCGGGAGGGGCAACCGAGATGGAAACGACCTTGGGCTTGAGCAGGAGATAGGATGCGAGCGCAACCACGACCAGGGACAGGCCCGCAACCACTGACACCGAAAACATGACGGGCAGACAGACCGATGGACAGACGGCGACGACGATGGCGATGACGGCGAAACAGGGCGGCCCAGGGAGAAGAGACCCAGGCAGGGCTGGTTTCCGGCGAAAGCCTGCCAGCTGCAGCCGCCGCGTGATGCAGATCTGGCCAATCAATTTTCGGGCTGGCTCTCGATGCTGCGCACCGGGTACGTGGCGCTGCCATGTTGCCGGCTGGCGGTGATCCTCGCCGGCCATGAGCAGCAGGGTCGATTCATGCATCCGCAAAGGCAAGGGCCGGGTGTGCGATGCGCTCGGCCATGATCCGGTGTTGGTCGCTCTGCCGATACGCCGTCGATTCATCCATCGTGGTAGCGCTCCTCTCGGCCGACGATGGCGCCGGACACGTCTGGTGCACACGCAGCCGGCGACCGAGGCGCGAGGCAGCCAGCCTTCGCCAATCGAGCCAGCCGGAGGAAAGCATAGCGAGCCGCCGTCTTTGCCATGGTTATCGAGCCGGAATATGGATTTTATTGATCGGCGTGCGTATCACAGGAGACCGGCAGCGCTGGAAACAATGTGCCGCTGCAAGCAATGGCCCGGCGACGAATGGTTTGGCGGACACGCTCAGCCGTATCGGAAGCCCAGCCAAAAGGCAGCAATGAAGCCCACGCCCTTGGGCAAGTCCTTGGAGAGGGTCTGGGTCAGGCGATTTCCGGCAACCTCGAGATCGTGCTGGGTAAGCTTTCCGTCGCCGTCCTGATCCACTGCACGGACGAACATGGATTCGATGCGGGGCCAGTTGACCTGGATGAGATCGAGCTGCACCAGCGACTGGAAGGCTATGAAGGTGACTCCAACGGCGACGCCAGCGCTGAGCAGGCCAAGTTTTGGCGAGACCGATACGAGCCATAGAGAGACACCAGACATGAACAGCAGGCGGTGGAAAGGACGAGGCATCAGAACCAGAGCCAGAGCCGAACCAGAACCGAAGCCGGAACCAGAGCAAGCCGAGATGAAGTGCGAGCGATAGCGGCGGCCAATCCAGCGAACCAGCGGTGCAGGACTTGGCGACGCTCTGCGGCATTTCATCTCACCCTTTGGCAAGCTTTTTAGCTGCGTAGCCAGAGCAGCCGCCGAGCACCGTGGTCTACGGCGAGAGAAGCGGGCGAGTTAGCTGCGGCAGTCTACCGATGCCATTCGCAGCATCTATCCATCGGTGCTCAAACTCACGAAGGAGATCTCGGAGAGGTGCTTGGGGACGAGGGCAGTCGAGGCCGCGGCGGCGCTATCTTGCTTGTCGGTCATTGCGGATGGATGATGGCGATGGGAGACCGAGACAACCGCCCCCCAGGCAGAATAGATGCAGCGGGACACCACCCGCATACGAACCACCGGTGTGGCTTGGGTGAATGGCGCCTTCCGAATCGCCGGCTCTCACAATGCCTGCACGCTCTGTGACCCAGGACCTGGTCCGTGATCGCCCCTGGGAGCCGGTCTCAGATCCCATGGACCGGGCAGCAAGTTGAGCTAATCTGCGATTCGCGGCAATGTGTATTTGACGTCGCAATTGCACGCAAGTGAACCTCGCCCATCTGTCCGCGACTCAGACTCCCGGCAGCAAGAGCGGCTCGCGCAATTTAGATCGGCAGGGTCTCGCGCTTGAGCCACTCCAGGGCAAGACCGTTCTCGGAGAGCAGGGGCGAGACCTTCTGCAGAATCTCCTGGTGGTAGCTGTTGACCCAGTCGCGCTCCTCAGGAGTCAGGAGCTCAACCTTGATCAGGCGGCGCTGAATGGGCACCAGAGTAACGTGCTCAAACCCGAGATAGCCAACACCTCCAAAGTTGTTGGGGGTCTCGACCTCCTTGACGAGGATGATGTTTTCGATGCGGATACCAAACTTGCCGTCGTTGTAGAAGCCAGGCTCTGGGAGTATGGATACAGCGATGCCACGAAGCGTTAGCCACAATCAACAGATGTCGGGTCTTGGCGATGCAGACCGCTGCTCCACTTTGTGCTATACTGTGCTGTGTGGTGCCCTGAGGCGGCTGCGGCTGTTGGAGGCTGGGATCGGCGAGATGAGCACTGTACACTCACCGTTGGAAATGACCATGCCGGGAGCGAGGGGAATGTCGTTGTAGCCAATGCGGATGCCGATGCCGTGGGGGCCTTCATGGACGTTGAGGTAGGAGCCAACGCCGTGTCCGGTACCATGGCGGTAGTCCAGACCGCCCTTCCACAGAGCGGTGCGGGCCAGGACATCGAGAACGTATCCGGTGGTGCCTCGCGGGAAGACCGCCAGATCGAGCTGGATGTGTCCCTTGAGCACGCGAGTGAAGGCGTCCTTCTCCTCCTCGGTGGGGGTGCCAAAGTGAAGAGTGCGGGTGGTATCGGTGGTGCCGTCGCTGGAGCATGAGGAGGCAAGGTCGGCGTCAGATTCGATCAAAGATGTACGGATGATGGCTGCTGGCGGATACCTACAGGTACTGGGCACCCGAGTCACACAGATAGATCTCGGTGTTGTTGACGGTCGCGCAGGCGCCGGGGGTGGGCTTGTAGTGGATGATGGCGCCGTTGGCACCGATCGAGGAGATGGTGTCGAAGCTGAGGCCGACAAACTTTTCTTTGGTGCTGTCACATCGTGGGGGGAAATGTGGTAAGAAGGAGCGGCACAGCCCATCCAGGACTCGACCTGAAACGATCGATTCTAGCCATGCCAGCTGCTCGCGACGCAATCCACGTTCACGGATATCGAGTCGGGGCACACTCCATCCCGGTCTCGGGCTCGGTCCCGGGACCGGTCTCAATTGCTGCAACCAACCTGCGGAAGCCCTCGAGCTTATCAGCAGCGGCAACTTCGTCGATGGTGGTGTTGTGGTTGTTGTTGAGCTCGTGCTCGAGCCAGGCAAAGTACTCGATCAGAGCAGCGCCGTCGCGGATGTGGGACTGGCGGAAGCCTTCCAGTTCGGTCTCGTTCTTGATGGCCTTCATGTCCATGATGGGGGACCGCGACTCGATAGTGGCTTGCTGCAAGGGGATACACAGTGAGTGTGCAAGCAGGCGCATAGCCACGACCCCACATGGACGGCAATCCGGGACAGCGGATTATGCATGGGCATTCAGAATCAAACGGGGCGAGCAAGTCGACGCTGCAGCAAATTCCATTGTTCGTCCCACACAATGGCCGAGCTGGTGTGGTTTGAGCAGCCAGGGTCAACGAACAGGGGCGCACTACCGACACAGACAGCGCCGATTGAACGTACCGATCCACCAAGGGCACTCTGGAGGGCGACATTGCAACGGCTATCGATCCACAGCTTCTGTTGGCGGCGCAAGTATGTCAGCAACTTCCGCGGGTACAGCGGATATGAAGGCACTTTTTGCAACACTAACCTGATCCTCGGCCAAGTACTGGGCAGCATATTGAGGGAGATCGGTGAAGATGGCGGTGTAGGGGCGGATCAGGACACCTTCGCCGAGATGCTGTCGAACCTGGAGGGTGTTGAGAGGTGACGTGAATCAGCTTTGGCTGTCGATATGCATCGAATGACAGGTGCAGACCGTGCAGTGTGACCCACCTCTTCGGAGAGCTTCGATTCGTCAATGTAGAGGATGACCTGGTCCTTGGTGACCAGAGCATAGGAGAAGAAAACGGGGTTGTAGGAGATGTCGGAGCCACGGAGGTTGAAAAGCCCTGGCGGAGGAGCAGTCAAAGGAGGGAAGATCCAAGGACGATTAGTGGCTCGAAGCTGGGATGCGAAGGCGCCGTGAGCTCGAGATCACAACGCCACGAGCAGCGATAAAGCACCCCACCAAAAAAGCACAGAGCCAAGATGCAATGCCACATGGGATTTTGCGAGATGTCCAGCCGGTATCACGAGTCTCAGGAAGCATTGCGATGGATACTTACAAGCGATTTCATCGAGGGCCGTGACGGCAAAGCCCCAGGCATTCTTGGCGGCAATCTTCTCGCGCAGAGTGGCGATCTTCTCGGAGGTTGCGGAGCCGGCATACTGGATGGGGTGAACGGCGACGGGGTTTGTGGGGACGGTAGGCTGGTCGCTCCAGACGCTGTCGACGAGGTTGGCAGTGGTATAGACGATCTGGTGGTTCTTCTTGCTCAGGGACTCGGCCAGAACTCGGGCAGCCGCTGGTGGAAGAACAGCAATTGTGCGAAATGAGCGGATGTGTACGTGGAGATCGTGGGGGGGGGGCCAGCGAGCCGAAACGGATGCAGAGCCCATACGACTCCCAGAAGAATGACCTACCGACTGTCAGGAGCTTGGGATCGACGCCAATCTTGGAGGATGGAGGCAGGACATCCAGGAGCCACTCCTCCTTGGTGGGGACGTTGGGCAGGCCAGCCTTTTGCAGGATCCAGTTCGAGTCGAGCTGCTGAGAGGCCTGGAGAAAGTAGCGGCCATCGGTCCAGAGGGCAGCTTTGTCGGTCGTGACAACAGCGAGGCCTACATTGGCGTGGCATTGCATTCGATCGATAGAGCAGAGAGCTGTGGTCAGACAAAAGTGACGAGGCAGCGCCACCTGCATCTGGGAGGGAAGGATCAGACGGTCGGCGACGGGCAAGGCCAGGCCGGGATTTGTTGGGGGCGAGTCCTACCGGCAGAGCCGCTGAAACCGGAAATGAACTCTCTTCGGCCGTCGTGGGCGGCAATGTACTCGGACTGATGTTGGATGGTGTTTCAGGGAGGGGGAGCAGCGAGAGAGAAAAGTGTTGGTCGTTTGGAAGCAGGCACAAGGCGATCTCGGAAACAGCGGTGCAGCTGGCACCGCCATGGACTGGTAGCCAAAGCCAGAGGGAGGCGACGAACCAACCAACCTGGTGAGCATCTTCGGCAGGGATGATGAAGGCCTGGATGCCCTCGCGGGCCAATTCGGCACGCAGGGCAGCGAGTCGGGCAGCGGTATCGACGGGCATGTTGCGGGAGAGCGAAACGACAAAGGATCGGGCAGGAGAGCAAAGCGCAGGCAAGGCAAGTTTCGGGAGCGAGCAGAACCAGCGGGCGATCATCGTCGGCGAAGGAGAGGCGAGAGCTGCTCAAATACCCGCTCCCAGGCCGGCCTGTCGCCATCGGGAGTATCCGACGATCCACTGTTTCGCGGCAACGGTGTACCACAACCGGGTCGAGGCTCTCCAAGGCTGCGCGCTGGCGGGACCACGGGGCATGGCCATGGAGAGCTCACACGAACCACGACTGGGCGCCTGGTGGACAAGAACGCTTGCGTTTGCGGGCATGGCGCTGGCCAGGAGGCGAGGACGGGTGGCGGCCGAACCGAGCCGCTTTGCCATGGACATGGGCGCCCCCGAGAGCCGGGCAAGTGGGTTGGTGAGGGGGCTGGTGGTGGGAACGAGGGCCGACGGGCTGTTCATGGGGGCAGAGCGAACGGCCGAATGGACCGATGCGCCGGTGGTGCCGATGGCGAAACCGACCGGGGTCGAAATCATGGGCTATCGAGCTGGAATCATGGGCTGTCGAGCTGGAATCATGGGGTGGTCGAGTTGGAGTTATGGAATGAATGAATGGCCGGCTGTTCCCAGCGGCGCACGATTCCATGCGGAGGTTGATGCCCGACCAGCACACCCGCATCTATACACCTGTATCCGTTTCACATCCACGACATGGACATCGCAGACATGTCGCTTTCGTTGTATCCGACAGTGATTCTCCCACCAACCCCGATCGCCACGCCAGCTCGGCATGAGCATGCACTTGGATCTATTGCCGTTGAGATTGCTCGCGGTTGTCAGGACCGGCCCGGTCTGACATACGATTGCCGAGTCGGCAGAATCCAGCGCTTGTCGTCCGTCTCTGGCGTCGGCGACAGACCAACCCATCGCACAGATGGCGAACAGTGGTCGCCTTGTCGGGTCGGACGCCTCCATCCGATCCTATCGCAGCGAATGGGTGTCCGCGCACTCGACTGCTTCTTCATTCAACAGCCCGGAGCGCTCGCATGATCCGCCCGACATCTTGGCGGATCAAGAAAGCCGGAATCAGGATCCAGAAGGCGTTGAGGAACAAAAAGTAAAAGCCCAAGTACAGCCAGCCAGGCTTGCAGTGCGGGGCCTGGCCATGGCCCTCGAAAAAGGTCGTGGCATAGTAGAGCGTGCACGAGAAGATGTGCAGCACGCTGATGATCAGCGTCAGCGGATACTGCGCCGGCCGGCTGCGGAGAGTCAGGTAGGCCTGTAGAAAGCACAGCGGACCAATCAAGGTCTGGAGAAAAGACTGGAATGAGCACGGCGTCGATGAGACCGGGGAGGTTGGCAAATGGCGAGGCAACCCGGAAGTAACGTACGGCGGTGATGCTTTCGACGCTGATCAAAAACGGATCGGCGGTCATGTATCGCGAGTCTGAGAGCGCGTATTCCTTCCATACGGACGCAATCACCGAAGTGTCAGCGGCAATGTGCTTGTGGTTCCAAACGAAATAACCCTCGAAGAAGCAGTGGATGCTGCCGTTGAGACTCCACCAGACCACTCGCCAGTCCGGCGGGACGAGCTGCCAGGGTGCCGCGGATGTTGCGCTTGCCGCGGCCGCTCGGGCGATGCTGCTGAGGACCGAGGCCACAACGACGACAAGAACAAGGGCCGACAGGAAGATGGCCAGATCATGGTGCAGCGGCCGGCTCGAGACCGCATAATGCGGGAGCTCGATATCGGTTGGGAAGAAGGGGTGAGGGAGGCCCATGAGCGAAGGAATCGGATGCAGGTCGGTGGTGGAGGAGAGATGAAGAGAGCGAGGGATGAAGAGAGCGAGAGAGGGAGAGAAGAGAGGGAGGGAGAGAAGAGAGGGGGAGGGTCACACCGACTCCGCAAACGCGGCACAAGGAGCAGGCACAGCGGCACAGCGGCCCAGCACCACACAACAACGAAAGCAGCAGCACCACCACACAGCAGCAAGCAGCACAGCCCTGCAAGGCGCGTCGCACAGCGTGTCGCACAGGAACGCAGCACGAGCGCGGCCTTGTCGCTGGCTGCAGCGGCTGGATCCGGCTCGACCCGCGCGGCGGCCCACTCAGGCGCGGGCCAATCAGCGCGCAGAGCTCCAGCCAATGGGCGCGCGGGAACGTGTGGCCGGCGCCAGCCAATCGCCGCGGCCGCGTGGTTGCCGCCGTCTGCGTGCTGTCGCGGGCCCGCCTTCTATATCTTGGGCCGGGCATGTCCGTCTGCGTTTTGCCTTCGCTGCCAGCAACCCCTGCCTCCGAGCCTCCCCTCGCTCTGCCCTTTGCGGCCCTTCGCTGTCTGCTTGCCTGTCTGTCTGCCTGTCTGTCTGCCTGGTTCGCCCCCGCCTGTCTGGTCCTGCTGCTCGCCTCCATCCCCTGTTTGCTGCTCGCGCTTCGGCCTTCTTGCATACTCGCTTTTCCCACTCCGCTCGGCACGCTCGCTGCTTCCTCGGGCTCCGCTCTCCTTGCCTGGTCCGTCTTCAAGCTTGCTCGCCCGGTTCCTCGTTCGGTACGGCCCGTTTTCCTCTACTGTCCCGTCAGATCGACTCGCTCGCCTTTGGCTGTCTGCTTCCATCGATCTGCTTCGTTCCCACGCTTCCTTTGCTCACATACCTGTTCCCATCCTCCTCTTCGTTCGTTTCCTTTGCAGAACACCGCCCCCTTCCGTGTCTGAAGCTTCTCCGTTCGGTCTCCTCTCCTCCAGCCCATCCTACCTGCAGCCCATCCCTACCTGCAGCCCATCCCTACCTGCAGCCATGTCCTTTGATTCCCACAACAGCATCCTCGTCACCTTCTCAGACCTGCTTGAGGAGGAGTACAAGGCCATGCCCGAGGACTGGCCCCTCTCTGGCCTTGAGCATGCCCTGCCCTCCCCACTGCTGGACTGCTTTGACAAGTCGTCCAGCGGCAGCGAAAGTCCCGACGCCTTCTCGCTCAACGAACACATGCCCTCGACCGTCGACCTGGCCACGCTCGAGTCTCTGATCAACCCCATCCCGCTCAAGACCATATCTCTGATGGAGGCCCCTGTCGCGCTTCCCATGGGCCAGGCCACGACGGGCCTGCTCTCCCCGCCGTCGACTCCCACGGTCGTTCCCCAATTCTCGGCCGCCTCGGGCCCGCACTTTATGCTGCCGTCGGCCCTGGGAGCTTCATCGCTGGTGTCCATCTCGCCCTTTGGCGAGGCCGTCGTGGGTGCCCTCCAGTCCTCTCCTGGCGCGGCCCTCAAGCCCCTGATGTCTTCCTACCCGTTCCAGAGCAGCGATTTCGCCATGCGCTCGCTTGCCTCCCGGTCCGCCTGGTCGGCTCCGGCCCAGCTCAACTGCGCCTCGGTGCTCTTCCAGTCCGGCAGCATCCCCATCTCGCACCCTCTGGCGGTTCCGTTCCATGACGACTCGATGCGCTTCTGCGTACCACACGAGGTCCAGCAGTCCACCGACATGGCCATGACCCCGATACTGTCTGCTGAGACCACGTGCTTCACGCCGTCGCTGGACCCCGTTCGGATCTTCACTCCGATGATGGAGCCGGTGGTCACCGCCGTGGGCGCCATGTCGATGATCTCTGACTTTAGTCTCGACTCGGCCGAGCCCATTGCCGGCGAGGATAGCACAGAGATTCCTGCTCAAGCCTCCGAGACACACGCGGGCGACGCCACCGACCTCGGGCCCGAGCCCTGGGTTGCATCAGAGTCCGTGCAGGCTTCCGAGTCTGTTCACCTAACAACCGTCTCACAAGATGATCCAGAGGCCCAGCTGATCACACCCGACGTGGCTGCCGCCGCCGACATTCTCTCCCGACCCAAGCGCATGCGTCGCAAGCGCAAGAGCATCGACGAAAGCGACTCGCACGAGGGCTCTGAGTCCACGGCGGCCTCGCCCAACAGCAAGGGTCGGCGGAAGACCAGCCACGGCTCCATCGTCTTGGCCCAGACGCACTCCAACGCCGACAAACCCACGGTCAAGCCCGTTTACATTTCGGAGCAGCCGCTATCGAATCGTGGCCGAACGATCTATCCCGCCGTGTACAAGTGCACATTCGACGACTGCCCGAAGGTGTTCACCCGGTAGGTAGCGAGCTCCTTTCGATGGACTTGGATGGGTCCGCCGATGCTGAGCACCACCGACTCTGTTGCTAACGTGGCTATTCTTCCCCCATCATCATTCGCTTTTCCTCTTTCTATTCTTCCGCTCCCTTCGCGCACACACCCTCCTCATCAGGCCGTACAATCTCAAGTCGCACATGAAGATCCACACGGGCGAGAAGCTGTTCTGCTGCGAGTACTGCCCGTCAAAGTTCACACGCGGCCACGACCTGAAGCGCCACACTCGTCTGCACACCAACGAGCGGCCCTTCCTGTGTCCCCGCTGCAGCAAGTCCTTCTCTCGGTCGGACGCCGTGCGCCGGCACATCAAGGTCGATGCCTGCATCGAATATGTGCTTGACCGCGAGCGTGCCGAGGGTCAGGACCTGTTGGAAGACGACGACCCCTTCTCGGACGAAGAGCTGGACGACACCATCGATGGACACGACCCGGATGCAACCGAGTCCGAGGAGCTGGAGGACGACGAGGACCTCTAACCTGAAGCAACGAACAAACCCGACAACAACCACGCTTTGGTCACGTCCAATCTGAAATAAGAAATGAAAAGCGGCAAAGACAACAACAACAGCAACAAAAGCAGCAACAGCAAAAGCAGCCCAGAATGGACGCCAGCGACATGCGTTCCAATTTTCTTCCCTCCTCACTCCCTCTCTTCTTGTGTGTGCAATGTGTGACTCCAGTTAATTTGTTTGCTCTCTGTATATTTTGTTTGCTCAATGAGCCTTGCGTATTTTTTCTTCTTCCCAAGCGATTCTGCTGCTGGTCGTCGCCGCCCACTTCACCCTCCTCCTCCTCCTCCTCCTTCTCCAAGCAATATGCCCTAATCCCTCCCCAGTAATACGTGTTTGCGCTACCTTCTCTTTTCCAGTCCATGTACACTTGGCACATGGGCAAGCGGGACAACCCTCCCGATCCCCATGTGTCAGCGTAGCTTGCGTCTAACAAAGCAAAGCCATATGCAATGAAACAGATCACCCAGGCAGCTCTCTGGGACTGCATAATGTCGCAGCGCGCCGACGGGACCGAGTGTATTCAGGACCCAGAAGCGAGCGGCGGCCCTGGCACAAAGACGATATCTCGTTTGATATTGATTGCGGGCATTGTGGAGCGTTCGTTGGAATTCCGCGAGTCTGTCAGTGCCATCGCTGGCGGCTGTGGTCCCCGACAAAGGCCATCGATCCCGGCTGCTGTGATCAACCTGTGCGTCACGAATGTGTCCCTGGCCGCGTTGATGACGAGAGATGGCACGCCAAGTGCGTTGGCTGGACCCGAGACTGGCGAGGCTGGTGCTCTTGAAGTTGGCTGGGAGTTTGCTGGAAACCTTGTGCAGGCGAATTGGCCTGGACTCAAGATGGGTGGTCATGCTCGTGGACACATTCGCTGGACGCTGGTGCATTCAGGATCCAGAACAGAGCGATCCACCGAGTCTGTGTTTGCCATCGACAGCAATGTGACGGCGAAGCCCGGCGAGAACGGAGGCGGGCCTTGCGTTGGCGCACGGGATAAGGATTTGTATTTGTTTGTTTGCTTGTTTGTTTGTCGGGATGCTGGGCGGCACTCTGATTCCAGGACAGGGACAGGTTGAGTGCAAAGGAGCGACATGAAGCCGAGCCTGTCCTTGGACATGCGGGCGTGACCGGTGTGCTTGCGCCGGCATCCACAACTTTCCCAGCGAGCACGGATCCATGTTGGCTGATGCAAACAGACGCGGCTCCTCCGACATGGCTGCGGTGGCACGGACGGCCATGTGGTTCGAGCCGTCAAGGGGCGGGTGCCTGCTGGCCAATGAGCGCGGGGCCCGTGGAGTCAGCACGCGGTCTGTTGACGCGATTGCCCTGGACGCCTGCGAGTGGTCGGGGCCGCGGCGGGAGAGCAAGGGGCCGAGCGGGCGCTGACCAAGCAGCGACCAGGGCCGGACATTGGCCGAAATGCCGGACAGGCGCGGAACCAGGCCGGGCGCGCCTCTGTCTAGTGGATAGATGCAGGCGGACGGGATGCAGACGATGCGTCCGAGGGGCGGGGGCCAGCCCTGGCAGCGGCCGCGGCGTCACTCCAGGGCAGGAGGGGGGGGTGCGAAAATGCAGAAAATGCAGAGAATGCAAAAATGCGAGTGAAGCCCAGCGTCCAGAGGGACCTGGTGGCTGCTGGTGGGTGAAGGCAAAACAGGCGAGCCGGGGCGTGTGGTGTGCTCGGGTCGGTGCCAGCGCGCCACGGGCGGAGTTCCCCGACGCGCGCCGATTGGACCCGTGCGCCTGGCGACAAGGTGGCGCTGGGGGGACGCGGCGCCACAGCCGAAAAAGGCAGCGAGTGCCCGCGTCGCCACAGACGCGCTGCCCCACAGACGACAGGCGGGAATGTGGGTCCTGCGACCGCGGCGATTGGCTGGGGCGCTGCGCGCTGATTCGCTGCCGCTTTGGCTGCCTTTGGATGCAGCCAGAGGACACCGGGCGCTGTGTCCGGTTGTGCGATCTGGGGATGTGGTGCAATGTGCTGTTGTGCGCGCCGATGTGCCAGTGCGCTGTGTGTTGTGTGTTGTGTGTTGTCTCGATCGGCGACAACGGCCAGCGGCTCGAGTGACATCAACAATAACAACAACAACACCACCTTAACAACAGCTCTGTTTGGCCATGCCGGCCGCGATACTCGCAACATCCATGTTTGCTCATGCCCTCGTCGTCCTCGTCGTCCTCGTCGTCCTCGTCGCCCTTGCCTCGCCATCGCCCATCTGCCCGATCTCGCCCGCCCTTGCCTGCCCTTGCCTGGCTCTGCCCCGTCTTGCTCTTCTTGCGCGACTGCCCAGTGCCGTGTCTCGGCGCTTGTCTGTCGCCACCCGCGCGTTTCCTCAGTGGTTTGTTTGGCCACACCCCCCCCCAACGGCCCTGTCCACTGGGAAAGTGTCTGCCAGTGCCTGCCCGTCCCGCTCCACTGTCCTGCGCTGACTTGCGTTGCTGTCTCCTGGTGTTTCCTGGTGTTTCCTGTCCCGTCTTTGCCCTCCCTTTGCCGTGGCCTTCTATATAACCCTGCGCCGTCCTGCCCTTCCCCGGCTGCGTCTCTCCGCTCTTGTACTTCCGTCCATCCAGCCGGCTTCGTCTCTCCTCCGGCGCCATCCAGAACGAACGCTGCCCAAGCCCTGCCTGTCTCCCATACAGTCCGAGCATTCAGCCCCGGCACACCGCCGCAGCATACAACCCCAGGCTTTTCTCGCCCACGCCTTCCATACATCCCCGAGCTTGCCATCGTTGCTGCCTCGCACATCCACCCACTGCTTTAAAGCCCCGCTCGCTCACCGGTCCTGATCGCCCGCAAGGCCCTGATCGCCACCGCATCGCATCGCATCGTACCTGCTCCACCCTCGTCTCCACCCTCGTCTCCAGCATCTGTCTCCAGCTCCGGCCATTGTCTCCGGCTGCTGTCTCCCCGCGGCCACAACCCCCCGTCTCCCGCCGTCGTCGTCTCCAACCGAACGGCGCCCCGCTTTATCAAGCATCGCTTCCATCGCCTGCAAGTCGAGTCGCTTTTCTTGCACTCTTAACCCCCCCCACACACACATCCAACTAGCCCGTGCTGCTCTTCCGTCCCATCTAAGCGATCCTCGCCATGGCCTATCTCGAAGAACACCACGAATCCCTCGGCTTTTCCGAGCTTATCGACGATGAGTTCCGACTGTTCGAAGACCCTTCCAAAGACGACGCTCTCCATGCCGTCCATCGCGCCCACAACTTTGACAAGCGTCCGGCTCACGTCGATCCGCAAACCGGCGCCATCAAGGCCACTGAGTATCCTTCGCTGCCCCAGATGCAGACCGATACCGCTGCCTATCTGACTGCCCAGCAAGAGGCCGGTGCTGTCCTTCCCGCGATCTCGCCCAACACCTTTGCTGCTCTGTTCTCAATGCCCAATCTGCCGTCGCCGCCTCAGACTCCCGCCCAGTTCTTCCATCACTCGGCCGCTGCCATCAAGTCCAACCCACTCCAGGGCACCCCCAATCCCGTCGCTCCATCCATGGTGGCCCCTGCCTCGATCCAGCCATCGATTGTCCCTGCCATCGTTCCGACGGGCGTTGCTGCCGCTGTCTCGCTGGACTCGGCCGTCTCGGCATTTCCACCACCCCCTCCTCCGGCTGCATTTTCTCCTGCGCCCATGACCTTCTCTCCCGTCCCGCCCACGGCGTTTTCTCCCCACGCCGGATTCCATGCCTCCATCCATCCTGTCCCGTCGCCACACCCCGTCTTCCATCCCCAGTCTCCCCTGCCGGTGATGTACGCCCCCGGTGCCGGACACATGCCTCCGCCCCTGCCTCCACAATCGCCCGATGTGATGGCCCATTCTCCCCTCGTCGCCACCCACCCGTCCCAATCGCCACATGTCCCTACCCACTCGCCGCTGGTGCACCCTCAGTCGCCCCATATCAGCCCCTATCTCCACTCGCCCCACACCACCCCGTACGCATACTCCCCCTATCCCTACTACTATCCCTACCCGCCCTTTTACCATCACATGTGCTCCTGTCCCCACTCGCATTCGGACCACTCCAAGGATTCGGCCTGCAAGAAACGCCGGCGCTCGTCGCTAAGTGTCTTTGCCGAAACCAAGGGTGCGGACGATCGCGCCACCAGCCGGTCCCAGTCACCTTCGGATGAATCCATTTCAGAAGGCGAGGAGCTCGAAGACGGCAAGGGCAAAGAGGACGAAGGCGAGATTTACAAATGTACATTCAAGGGCTGCAAAAAGGTGTTCACTCGGTAAGGGTTCGCTCCTCTGGGATACGCTCCGCTCCACTGGGATACGCTCCGCTCCGCACCCAAACCCGATTCCGTTTGTCTGGAAGCGGATGTTGCAGCGGTGGTGGACACTCTGCTATCCATGGTCGATCACCACTTCCACTGCTATCATGCGGGCCTGTCTCTCATTCTCCTTCCGCCTCTTGTCTGGTGATTTCCCTCCCCTCCCCTCCCCTCCCACCCGCCACAGGCCGTACAACCTTAAATCGCATATGAAGATCCATTCCGGTGAAAAGCAGTTCCAGTGCACCTTCTGCCCTTCAAAGTTCACTCGTGGGCATGATCTCAAGCGCCACATCCGTCTGCACACCAACGAACGGCCATTTGCCTGTCCCCACTGCGATGAGCGCTTCTCGCGGTCGGATGCCGTGCGTCGGCACATTCAGATCGAAAATTGTGGCCCAGAGCGCAAGGAAAAGCTTGCTCTGCAGAAGCAGTCGTCCTCGCCCGAGACTCAGACCAAGCCTGTTGACCAGGAGTCGTCTGATCGCGCCGAAAGCACTACCTCCGATGCCGTCGATTTGCCCCAGTCGATCCCTGCTGTCGTGGCCACCGTCGAGACGGCTTGAGCCTTCTCTGGTCGCCGAATCTACGAGATGCACACGCATGAAACGATCCCCCCCCCGAAGCATTATCACTATTCACCCCCCACCATATGACCCTGTTTTGACACTTTAATTTCACCCTGTGCATGGTTTTCGTATACAGCGTCCACGAAATGGAAGGAAGGACATCTCTGCTTCCCCCCCCGTTTCGAGCTCGCCTGTGCCTTTCTTTCTGTATTCTGAATACACATGGCCCATCCATAATTCAAACAAGTCAAGGGGCATTCATCGCCCACACCCTGCTCTCCCGCCTGCCCATCCGTCCGCTGTCCATTCGGGTGATCGTCGCTCGAGGGGAAATCTGTCCAGTGTCTGTCCAGCGTCTGTCCAGTGGTGGTGGGTCGTTGTCTCTCACTCAGCCGTGCTATCCACCAGCCGAACTTCAATCAGATCTGCTTTCAGGACGTCCATCTCTCCGGCATCCTCAGGGCGACCGTCGATGAGAATGTCGGGATCGTCGATCTCAAACCGCCCACCAGGCTGGACAGGTTTGCTGTGGCATTTGAGTCGATAGGACTTTTGGAAAGGATTGTACAGCATCACCGTGGCAGTTTTGTATCCCGAAATCGCCGGCGTGTAATTTTCTGAGAGCTCCAGGATCTGGCAACAGAGCGGCAGTGACGTTAGAACCCAACGATCATTGCCTGAGCATAAATCAGTCGCAGTGGCTGAGCTCATCCGTGCACACAGATGCTACCTTGAAGGCAATCTTCGAGCCAACTTGAATCTGATCGAGCACCAGTGGATACTTGGAGTAGTCTTCGGGCGGCTCTGTCCGGGAGTCGGCTGCGATGCTTGGGTGCTTCTGCGTGGTCTTCTGGGCTGGTCTTTGCTGTGCGTCATGGGTCGGCCGCTGTCGCTTCTTTGCCGGGACCTTGGGCCAGAACTGATGGAATCCGCTTTCGACCTCGTCGCCATATCCATCCTCCAGCTCAACACGCGTCCATATTGCTCGCGGAGGGGTGGGTGTTCCATCGTCGTTCATGATCTGAACCTGCGAGTGATTCGATACGGGACATCAAGATCTCAACACGGGGATATTTGCACATGCCCCAGGCCGACTATGCCGCCGCTTCCTTCCTCAGATTAGTCTCTAAGGTGTTCCAGACGGGTCCCAAATGAGCTCTGGAAGGGTCCCAGAATACACGCGGCTGCTTCCTGCGGCCCATTTGCCAGCAATGGAGAGGCCCCTACCTGTGCAAACGGAGCAGTAGCTTGAACATTCACCCGCTTTTCAGGAGCAAGCGACGTCGCTTCAGCAGACTGCAGCAAGGCTTCCACCTCGGCCCCAAGCTCGTTTCCGAACCGAACGTGAGTCCTTGAAGCTCCCAGCATCTTTTGGAGTTGCTTGCGCTTGTTTTTGCCGAGGGCAAGCGGGGCATCGGCATTGGCCGGGGTACTTTCAATCCGATCCTCGACTGGGACTTTGCGAACATGAGACTGGGACTTTGGCGGCGAGAGCAGCCCAATGCCAGACTGCGTTGTGGCGATCGTCGGGGCTACTGGATTTGGATGGGAAGCAGAAGCATGATCGTCGCTCTCCTCGCTCTCTTCGCCATCGCTGCTTTTATCGCTTTCTTCGCTATCGCTGCTTTTATCGCTTTCTTCACTGTCGTCGCTACCGTCGCTGTCATCGTCATCATCGCTGCTTTCGTCACTGTCGTTATCATCACTGCTTTCGTCACTGTCGTCATCATCGCTGCCTTCTTCACTGTCGTCATCATCACTGCTTTCGTCACTGTCGTCATCATCGCTGCCTTCTTCACTGTCGTCATGATCTTCACCAACGCCATTATGGCCGTGAGTTGATTCCGCATGATCGCAAGTTTCTGCCTCGATCGATTGTGCGAGCAGTGAGCGAGTGCTTCGGGCCTCGGAGACAATCGCTTCTGGACCAGAGCAATCGATGCAAGCGAGTGGGTTGGTCATTGCTTGTCAGATGTCCACTTTGATCGTCGATCCAGCACACTCAGATTTTACCTTGGCTTCGATCGAGTACCTTGGATTGGCTCAAAGGCTGCTTGAGGCTCCCTTTCGAATCTATTGCCAGCCATTTTGGTTGGTCGGCGCTGGGCTCCCCTAAGGAAACATCGTATTTGCGTATGGCAGATCCTTGGCCGAGCTTTGTTGCCCCGGCTGAATCGATACAGAATGGTTCAGATGATCGCTGTCGGATCCAGTCGTCCAAGCTCTCTACTATGCCCGGCCAAGACCACTTACGATTCCTGTGATCGGCTTTCACCCTATAGGGAAGCAGAGCCGGAAATCGGGCATCAGAACATCAGTACCATCGCTGCCTTAACAAGGAAAACGGCCTTCTCGGATGCCTCGCTGAAATGAAAGGAAGCGACAAGCCGCCTACTTCTCGGCAAGGAGGGGGGGGGAGGTGTTGTGCATACGTTATTAGGTCATTCTCTCGAACAACGCCCTTGACAATGTCTCCACTCAGTAGCTCGAACCCGTCGATCTCCAATGCCACATCCGTGTCGATCCCAAATTTTTGGGCGAGATGACTGGCGAGATCCTCAACCGATCGCTCCAAAAGCACCAGAGGCACAGAGCACAAGCACTGGGACACCGCTAGCGGATGCTCAAACTGTAGTCGGATACGAAGTGTCTCTGGCATGGGATCCCCGTGGAGTGCAAAGAAAAGCTGGGATCGCTGCGTTTTCCATAGCACCGCCTGGTCGGAAGCAGGAACAGAACCGGCGCTGGAACCGACGCGAGCGGATTGTGGCTGGGCACCTCGGTCACGTGAGGCTCAGGCTGCGCCACAGCCAGTCCATCCCACGAAACCCAGACTCTTCCAAGCTCTGCACTGCGCGCTCCATCGGCAGCAATACGAGGTCGAGGTGGGTCTTGCTGAGCGCAGTGGCGATCGCTATTGTTCAGACGGTACACATATCCTTTCAGCGCATCGTAGCTGCAAGTGAACCACTGCCAATCGCCTCAGCTGCATGATCGAGCCGTCGGAGAGCAGCATCCGATGATCGGGCCGATACCATTCGGACGAGATGGCATTCCAATAGAGGGATAACTTTGAGCTGGATAGTCAGAGAGTAATATATTTCACCATAGAATCGCATATGGCTGACGGGCCGAAATCGACATGTGCTTGCACGCCAACCGGGATGGCATCAGTCGTCCTGGGGGCATAGAAGGTCCTTCAGAGGTCCATAGCGTCGAACAGGTCAAGATTTGGTCAGCGATGATAGAAAGATGTTGTTCGCGGCTGGATCTTCTGCTTCTGCTTCTGCTTCTGCTTCTGCTTCTGCTTCTTCTTTGTCCTCTGCTGCTTCCCTCCGGAACTAGACCCGAGCTCCGAGTCGATGCATGCCAGCGGGAAAACGCCCTCTTTGTTCGTGGTGAGATTGCATCCGAAAGCCCAGCCGTCATCGTGTCGCACCTTGATGAGAACATCATCGCCAGGCTCTGAATAGGAACCAAAAGTCAGTGCTGTGATAAATGCAAATCATGTCGCTGGCAGCCCCCATCGCGCGAGCCGTCCAGCCCGGCACTTGAATCGATGGCAATCAAAGTGCGAGAGAGAAAGGTAGGGAGAAAGAACTCGGTACCCAAGCGCATTCGGCGTGTGTCTTGTATCGGCACAAAGCAAAGGCAATCCACAACCTTTGATATGCTTACCAAGATCGATTTCATCGTCCATGGTGGGTTCAAAGTGCTCATATGCCTTTGCCATGGCATCTCGATGGTGCACCATCCCGTTCTCGGTTCTGTTTGGACGACGGCGGAGGCAACAGAACGCACCGATAACAAGAGCGATCAGAAGCAGCGCTCCTCCACCAACAACGGAGGCAAACACGGGTGTGCTGAGCCCAAGGATCTTTGGCTGTCCGTCTGTCGAGACCGCGGCATTGCCTGTCTGTGTCGATGTGGGAACCGGGGCGACAGACTGGGTATTTCTGGTCCCGCCGGCGGTCGAGGTGCGCTTTTCAAGCACCGCCGAGCAGCAGGAATCGGTCGAGTTCGAGCAGTACGAAGTGGCTGTGGCCTGGTTGTCGAATCCTAGCGCAGATCAGATAGTTGAGAAGTTCGGTTCAATGACTGCACCATCGGGCGGGGATAGTACCAGGTGAAAGGTTGGACGTCACGCTGTCATGAATGTTTCTACCAACACCTGTGTGTTTAGAAGCTCACCACACAAAAACTTGTCGCTTGAGAGGGTTGAAACGCAGTTGGACTGATTGGAGTTGGCCTTGTCGGATATGAGCACTCCAAGATTGCTCAGCTCATTGGCGCGAGGATCCGGCCCCGCCGAGCTGTTCCAAGGGGGACATAGATTGAAGGCTGCCGCAAGGGTATTGGCATATATGTTCAACGCCGATACGCACACGTTGATCGAAGGAGGTCGCTGGATGTTTTCGGCACAGATTGAGGCGTTGTTTGGGTTGTTGGTAGCGACATCGATCCATAGAGCACATTGCTCGACGACACGATATCGGATCTGGCTCGTCGAGAACGAGGGGCATTGGAAAGTCGTGATGCCGTTGGTCTCAAAGGCCTGGCCAATGTTGGAGGCGATGGCGGTGTCAAAGTCGGAGATATTTGCAAAAGGAACATAGGCACCTGGGGATAGGCAAAGTGGAATTGGTCGGTGAGGTCCGACTTGCAAATTGGGTCTGCAGTCTGAGGGGGGGGTGTGCCAGAGCCTCGCTTCTGGGAATGAGGATCCATGGCCGTCTGTTCACCCCAAAGCACCCTGAACCGTACTGACCTGCGAAATCGCCACAGAATCTTGACTTTTTGAGATTGCTGCAGGCTTGGTTTGCAGCGTAACTGTAGTGGACCAGCTGGACCAACACAACAACCCAAACTCCAAGCAATTCCATCGGCGATCGACTTGGATGGAGAAGGGAATCGGTTGACGGAGGCCAGGAGCATCACCGAGCGGCCTCGCCAGGGAAGAGAGGGCAGGCCCATCCACGAGGGCGAGGGGTGGGCCACAGGGACAGCAGGGTCACGCCGCGGCAGGCGCCTTTCCTTTTTCCTGCGCACAAGTGCGCCCACATGAGGGTGGACAGGCAGCCCAGGCGCCAGCAGACGGGCTGGGTTGCGAAGGTTGCAAAGGCGGCATTGCTGCAAGGTGCACCCGAACGCATCCGCAACAGTGGGCGCATCATGCAGGGTGAGCCGATAGCTCGACGACAGAGCAGGTTCCATGTGGAATCCGAGTGACGGAACTGAGGATATCTGGATGAAATGGTCATAATCCGAAAATCGGCTAATTACTTCATGGCAAGATGGCCGAGTGGTCCAAGGCGCCACGTTCAGGTCGTGGTCTCTCCGGAGGCGAGGGTTCGAACCCCTCTCTTGTCACTTTTTTTTCGCGCTGGGGTCGCCAAACTGGAGAATCGATAACGCATGAACATGAAGACAGGCATCTGTGGTGCAGCATCCAAGTACCGCCAAGCGCACACAACGGAGCGGATTGGGACTCGGGTCCGTTTGGTTCTGTGGCATTTGCTCGATCTGTGTTGCGCATTGCAGCCACTTGGATCGAGCCGGTTCTGCCCGTCACACAGACGTGTCAATGCTTCGTTGACAGATTTCGCTGGCTGTCGCTCTGGGCAGGCCAATGCGCCTGGCCTTCAGCCTGTCAGCGTTGTCGTCCAGTCAGTGCTGCACGTCAGCGCTGCGTGTCAGTCGGGGCCGTTCGGCCATCGGCATTTCCAGTGTCCTTTCTCGCGCCGCTCGTGTCTGTCCCGGTCCAGGTTCCCGCTCTTCGCTTCTGTCCCGCGCCTCGGCTTTGCTCCGCGCCCGCTTCGCTTCTGCCTCGTCTCTGTGGCACGCCTATCCAGTGGCTGCAGGCCACCATCCTCCATGGCGTTTGTTTTGTACCGCTGCATCACATTTCTCCAAGCCAGTCGGCCGATCCTCGGGTCGTCTGAGTCATTGTGTGGAATGGACCACTCGTCTGGGGCTAGCCACTGGTCACCCGCCGAGCACCCACTCGATACCCATTGGGTCCACTCGCCTCATACATGATGTAATCGATAGGGTAGAGTGATTTCATGCACACTGGTTCAGGCAGAGACTCAGTATTTGATGGCGGCTATGCGATCGAACGCTTCCGTTGCCGAGGCAGCTTCGCCAACAAGAACCCGGTCGATTGGATCGTCAGCGACCAGGGCATCGGCAGCCAGACCGTTTGAATCGATTGCAAGCCACTCAATGGCTATGAACTGGAGCTCCGTACTGCAGCGAGATAGTTTTTGGTTGAATATTCCATCCAAACGCAGCCGCAGATCGAAGGCCGTCAGTTCCAGTATCATCCTGAGCCTGAAAGGGTGTGGTGCTTTGAGGATGCATTGTCTTGGTATGGAGCGAGTCAGTGGGTTGGTCGTCCAGCTTGGGTTAACTGTTTGGGATGGCGTGTGGGCAAAATACGACTGGATGGGCTTGCGAGATCGCTTTGTCCTTGGATTGAAACTTGGCCAGCCGACCCACGACCGTATCGCTCTCGAATATTCAACCGTTTCCAAATAAGCCAATGGGCCGAATACACCATGACAACGACAGATGAGAGTATTTTGGGATGTAGATTGTCTGGGCGCATCCATATCCAAGTTGGGGCAGCGGGGTGCATCGACGGCTGTTCGCCGTGAAGTCCATATGCCATGATCGTCTCCTGTTTCGATCTGCATTTTGCTCGCTGTCGGCTTTGCTCATATTTTTAGCGAGCCCATCCAAACAATTGTCAGCCGATCAATATTGGCCCATGGGTTTAATAGCACAACGACCAACAGTCTTGTCACCACATCGACCTTCCGACTCCTCCACACAATGGTGCGCAACTGATCTCCATAGATCCGTGCTCTCGCTCCTTGGCTGATTCACATTGACCCGCACCCGCACATCCGCCGATATCTATTAATCAACGTAGTTATTCGTGACCATCATTCGCCATCAACACGCCCATTCACCCACTCATCTACACGCCCACACGCTGACTCATCCCGACGATTACAATACTCGTCCTCTGGGTGCCGTGTTGGCTGCTCGATTGTGCAGATGTGAGCCTTGCCGTTCACTCGCTGTATTTTCCACTCTCCCTGTTTGTACTCACCCGGCGAGGCCCCATCCAACAAGCAACCCTGCACAGCATATATCTGACCCCCGCCTTGACGACAACCACAACGCCAAGGAGCATGCAGATCCTCAAAGCCATGGTCCTTGTGATGGTCTCTGCTTGCTGAACCACTCCATGGATCATCAACATCTATCCATCTGGTCTGGGGTCGGGGGTATCCCGCCTCCACGCCTAAGCACGGAGCGATGATACCCAGCGAGAACTGCGGCAGTCATCTCGAGACTCTTGCATCCTGCGGGGCTCTTTATCAACCTTGAAGCAGAGAACAGCTCATGCGACTAGATCAATTCCAAGATGAGTTTGGACAACGGCAAATTTCCACAAGGAGGTCGCTGCGGCTGCCGCAGCCATTGCGGACACATGCCTCCCATCGCCTGTCTGCACCGCCAAAATGCTGTCAGGGCCCATCCGCCAGCTCCACTGAGCTTAGCCTGTACTGAACAAGACTGAGGACCATTGTCTCACTTGCTGGTTGCCCCGTCCGGCTGCCCTTGCTGGCTTGCAGCGGCGCCAACAGCGTCCCGCTCCTGCGCCACACCGACATGGTGCGCTATTCCGCCAGCTCCACCAGCACGAGCTCACAGTCCGATACGCATTGGTTGGTCAGCGGATCAGACGCAAGGGGTTGCGCGCTTCAATCTCTCCCTGCGCTGTTATCCAAACCCCTCGTGCTTCCGGTGATCCCCGAAGCCGCAGCCAGCATGGCAGGGCTGCTCCATCGGCCATAGCTATCGACCGCTGCACAGCCTAATCCGACCAAGTCTGCACTGAGTCAACCACTGCGGTGTAGCATCTATGAAGTGGTAATAAAGACCTTTGGGATAAGTCAACGCAGACACTCGAACAAATCGCACCGAGGCGACGACGGCACGCCCTTAGCATTCTCTGTCGACCGCACCTCCTACGACCATGTCAGCAACTCAGATGGCCCGCTGGCTTTTGGCGCCATCGCTGATTCATAATATGAATACACGAGAGCCACTGTATCCTCTTTAATGCAGCCAGTCGACTCGGCGGTGTCCATGACGCACAACCCAGATCCGCTCAACCCATGACACAATCAGCATGGCGCTGTGTGAATCCATGGCGGGCTGCAGGCCGCAGGCTCCGACCCAATAGGGGTCTCTGCGTATGAATCATTCCCAAGCCGTCGCTTGAGCTGCCTTTGCCACTGCTTCTCCCCATATATACACAATGGAGCTGCCAGCATGACCTGACTATGCTTCATTCGGAGGCCCTTCTGACGATCTCTGATCCTGCGCTCGATCCCTCTGTGCCTTCCACTCTGGCGTCCACTTGTAAATCACTTCATCCAGACAAAATGGTCGTAATTGCTGCTGTTCTACCTCACTGGCCGGCACCGCATTCTTCGCTATCTCTCGGGAGGCTGATGATGCGAGCACATCGACCACATGCCGTCTCCCAGCCGGGTTCTGACGCCACCTGCTGACCCCAATCTGCTCCGCTCGATCCGGCAAATCCCGCCTACTCCGCCTTATCGATGGAGTCACAACAGCCCGCCTTCCTCGCTCTTTCGCTACCCTCAGGGACTGGCGCCGCCGCCAGCTGCGTCGCCGTCGGGAGTTTCGGGGCCGCCTGCCTGCTTGCCGGGGACTACAAAAGCGCCAGCAGCTTGCCGCCTTCTGTCTGCCCCATCGGCTCTCGCCCTCATCTACCTATTGATAGAGCTCGAATACCGCCGATATGGATTCCTCGGGGAGAAGCACACGACTCCTCGAGATCGCCCTGATCATCGTTCTTGTCCTCAACTTTTTCGAGCACGCGTGGATCTTTCGAGATGTAAGTGCCGACAGAGCGTGGGTGCTGGTGATGCAAGTGCTGTCTGGCATGTTGCATGGAAACAGGCCAGGGTCGCGATGTGATTGAGTGTCCCACATGCGACTACTTGAGTCGTTGACAGACCCAAGTCAACTGTGCTGGCGCTCCTATGTTTGTGGGTTGGAGTCGGCTCTACATCTGCGGTGGCACTTGGGGCGGCACTTTGCTGCTTCTGGGTCAATCTCTGACTGCCCGCTAACAACCCCTGGCTCTTCCACCCTCCTGTTGCCGATGGCGTTGTTCTTTCTTCTTCCGTCGTCAACTCTGTCGATTCGACTCAAGTCCGGCCGCAATGAGCTCTCGTTTGCCTTGCCCAACGACCTGGTGAGTGACGTGTGTCTGTTAGTGCATCCCCGACATCAGAACATGGTCTCTAATGGTGATTGCCGCTCTGTAGTTGGGACTGCAGTGCAACTCGAGTGTGCTGAAGAATGAGTCGTCCTCGATTGGAATGGATCAAGGATCCGCCTCCATCGTGCATACCAGCTATATTGTCGTATCCAGAAAGGTGAGTTGTGGGGACGAAAGGTACTGTCATGTCTTGAAGAGCATGGTGGATCACAGTCCCGGGCGTGACGGGTGCCAACCCGGTGGCGATGGAGTCGTGTGAATGGGTATCTGCATGATTGCCTGGTGAGGGGGGGGGAAGATGGAGAATCGACAGCCCAGGGCGGATGTGGTTGAGTCACAGCGGCCTCCAGATCAAAGTCGAGGCAAGTCACAGACTGACTCGGAGACACGACCGAGGCACGGCTCTTTCTTTGGTGACTCAGCGACGATGTTGCTTCTGCACTTCTCCAGACTGTGGAAACATACATACACTCTCAAAACCGGCTCCAGAACGAAGTTGACCAACTCAGAAAGGTGGGAGTTTGTCATCAAGCAGACCGAGAGGGATACGACTATGCAGTCTGAGCCGAAGCTCGGTAATGCGGCGGGGTTGGACGGCAATCAATGGAAGGCAGAAAGAATCTGACGATGGTCGCCTGTGGTTTGGTGTTTTAGGAGCTCTCGTTCAAAGACGCCAAGATCAAGCTCAGCACTGACAAGGCCTCCAGGGTCCTTGATCTGGTGAGTCGATATCGCATGATCCTGTCTGCTTCTTCCGCTTTGGTCTGGCTACACCTTCCTTCCAAGACCTCACGCCTCATCCGTCGTTCCATATGTCCATCCATCTTACATGGTTCTCGTTTCCATCCCAATAGTATCTCAGTCAGGTGAATTCCAGCACACGTCTTCTTGGAATCTTGCTTGTGCGAGGAGGCCATCCGCGGAACGGCGTCATGAACATGTATCCTGATCCATCACCGACACAGACCAGGGCTCTCCAGACGTTTTCCAACACCCAAGTGCAGCTGATGCAGGTGAGTGATGCGTCTCTTTCAAGCAGCCTGGCCATCGGTGATATCCTTCTGACTCGGCATCATTATTCAGGCCTTTGGAAACAACACTGAGCCCGCTACCCGTCAGCAGCGTGCGCGTGGCTGGCGCTTTGGCGATGTCGTGATGGTGAGATGAGCAGTACTGATGACAGACAAACCGGAACTTTGGAAAGCGAGGGCGATAAGGCAGTTGTAGTGGCAGTAGCAATGCGATCGAGCATTTTTCATTCATTTGTATCGCAAAGACTTCGGACGTAGCTTGAGTGTCAATGGGTCTGTCTCGGAGCGGCGGAGGATGCGCTGAGAACGGATATCTGACGCCAATGCCACCCCTATTGACTCACTTTCCCTGTCCTTTGCCCTTCCCCTTGCTTCTTCGCTCCGCTGGTGTACTTCAGGTGGTATGCATCTCGCAAATCCCGTTCTTCGGCCTGCTCATGACCACCATGTCTCGAGGAAGCTCTTGCTCGATCCCCGCCAAGAAGCCGCCCTGTGCTAAGCCCAAGCGGTCTGAGGTAAGGATGTGTGTGTGTGCATCCCGACAGTTCATGTAGTTTTGGATATGGAGCCACACCGACCCACAGCTGAGCAATGCTGGTTGATAGACCTCCATCGTGAGCCGCTGGCTTGTGTGTGCCTCAGAGCGGCCTTGGCTGCGCCACTTACATTTCGTTCAACCCGGTTGCATCCGCTGTCCCTTGGCCGGCAGTTCGAACAGCTGTTCAAGGAGGCTCTCGATCGAGCCACGTATCGAACAGGTGGAGGTACTCAGGCTTCTTCCAGCAAACACGACTGCCATTCACCAGCGGATCCAGCTCAGACTCAACCAGGCAGCACTTCAACCCAACCAGAACAGGAGCATGCCCAAGCGAGCAGCGACGGCCCAAGCCAGACCGACCCGGGCCATTCCGATGACAAGGATGCTCAAGATGAAGAATTTTCTATAATTGATCGGTGCCCCAACATCCAACGGTCCCGGGAACATCATCGTGGCACTTCAAGCGATGGCAATGGCTCCACAACAAGCTCTGCCGACACCAACACCAACGCCGACACGAGCGGCGCTCGCTTTATCCGACGGTGTTTGGAGCTCGTTAACAAGGCCATACAGCTCGATGACTCTGACGACGCTGAAGAGTACGCCACAGACATCCGTAACTTGGCTAGCGACTTTATTGCTGCTGAAACAGATCCAATCATAATCAGCAGTGGATACTACTACATGGCGATGAGCCACATGTTGGTGAGTGCTGACGTTTACAAGTAAACAGCGCTGTTGTATTGCCGATACCGTTTTTGGCTCGCTGTCACTGCCGAATTTTCCGCTCTCATCGATCGCAAGTTGAGAGCTGTGATGCGTATTGACAGCTCGTCACTAATCTTGCTGCGAGTCCCTCGACTCGGATGTCAGCTCGGCTTGTCGCTGAGCTGGACCACTACTGACAGCCTTCCATTGTGGTCCGTGTGCTTCTTCAGATGCGAGAGCTTGCCTTGGTGATTGATAACTGCTGCAAAGCGCTTCAGCTGATCGAAGCAGCCGGCAAGATGCCGAAAACACCCGAAGACATCGAGAGCGAAGGCTTCCTTGTGCGGCCTTACGAGATTCTGAAGCTGAAGTTCAAGGCCAATTCAGAACTCGGCCTGTCTGAAGAAGCAACCGCGTGCCTGGAGCACATCGATTCGATCTATCCCGAGAGCCGCACTGGTGAGACATGCAGCAGCATTTGCAGGAATATCCGGCGAGTGGTCCGGTCATGTTCAGGCTGCGGTACTCATGACACAAGCATGTGTGCAGCTCGGTGTAGCTTCGACTGGCCCTCTGGCCCTGATGCCGCCGCTTTGTTCTAACAGAGCCCACTCTTCCCGCTATGCAGACCTGTCCTTCTTGATGCTCAAAGCCGACACCCTGGTCAACCTGGACCGGTTCGAACAGGCAGTCGAGGCAATCGAGGCTCTCGAGAGGCTCTCGGACAAACCTCCCACCGAAGCGCTGGAGCTCAAGGCCGAGAGTCTCCTTCACCTGGGGCCACGGTACCTCGAGGCAACGGTCAATACCTACAAGATCCTGGCCGAGAGGGAGCCAAATGGTGCGCATAGTCTCCATGCAGCCGTCCGATCGGCGGCTGATTATCTTGGCAGATTCATTGCCGTGAACGTGGACTCATCCACTCTGCTCCATCCAGTGCATTCGAAGCATTTCAAAAACTTCAATCTCACGTTCCGCGCCCTGATCAAGGCCAAGAAAATGCTTGAGCTCGAGAACGTGGATATCCTGCAGAGCAACCTGGACGAATCTTTGAAGCTGATCACGACGCGCTACCGCAAAATCAGTCTCAAGTGCCATCCAGGTGTGTAAGCGTATACCACAGCCCGGGCCAAGGACACGCAGCGTGTGTCAAGTGCCGACTGCAGTCGCGCTGGGTCGGCCTCATGAAACTGATTCGGACACTCGATTCTGATTGAATCACAGACAAGAATACCGAGGACAAAGAGCTGCATACAGCCCGCTTCCGAGCCGTCAACGACTCGTACGAGTACCTCAAGAAGATCATCCAGGATCAGGTCAAGTGTGACCGGAAGCTGGCGTCCATGGCAAGCCGCCAAGGACACTGAAGGGCCGTCAGCACGGACCCGAGGAGCCAGACCTGGATTGTGCCTTCAACAGCACCACCCAGGACGGCCGCATTATGCTAGACCACGGTCCAGCACATTTCGTTCCCGGCATTTTTCTTTAGCCACTACCTTTAATGTGCCTTGCAACTTCTTAATCAGTTCCTTCGCAAAACATTGTGCGGTTTTCTTCATTCGTTCCTTTCATGCTACACCGTGCTTCTTTCTCGATACGTGACCTTTGCACAACACCACGCCACTTTTTCGATTGGCTTTGTGCACAACCATCGCTACTTCTTCGATCGACTCACTTTCACAACACCATGCAACCAATGGACGACGCCCCAAGCGGCGAATCAAGATGAGCGCTACAACAATGCGCCGCTCAACTAGCTGTAAAGTTGTAAATCAAACGTTTCAAGATGCCAAATCAAAGGTTTGCTCTAGAAATGCATCGCTGGCTGTGATCTGCTCGATTGAGCCGCGTTCGAAGCAAAGCTACCAGTCCGCGATACTAACCATATACTCTGCACAGATGACTTGTCCACGAGGACGGTCCGCAGTACACGCCAACAATGCAGGTTGCCTGTACCAGGCGCATATGCGCTCGCTAATCCGATAACTGTTTGGTAAGACCGGGGCTGCAACCGGGCTGCTGTTGAGGATCTATGCGACTAGTGGTGCGCCGTGGACTGTGATTCATGAATGACCCGACTAACTCTGTGACTCTTCACTCTTGCCCATCCTTGCCTCGGTCTGCGCCGTAACACCCAGGTCAAACTTGATGCTCGTGCTACTCACCTCATTTGAAGAAGCAATGCCGTCGACGCTGTGCACACAAGTCACAGGCGTCCCTTGGGAGCTTCGGAGGAAGCTTCCAGGGGGTGCTTGGATGCGTGGCCAGTTTTGACTGATAGATGGAGGAGTCTGTTGACGAGAAGGACTCGAGTGGACACATCCCAGCCAGGTGTGGGGGCACCTGCTGGGCTGTGTTCTGGTTTCCCTTCCGCATCGGCTTCTCCCCAGGCCTGCTTTCGACAAATGATGTTGCGCCGGCTCTCCATCTTGACTGGTGGGTGCCACGGCATCCCCTTCCATGATATGCTCGCTTTTGCTTCTTTGAATGTGCTCGATCTTGCTTCTTTGAATGTGCTCGATCTTTGCTCTTTAAAATATGCCTGTTTGCCTCTCCGAGCGGCCATGGTCATATTTCTTGAATATATCTACATCATATCCAATCTGGATGGTCTCAATCTGTGATGGCTGTTTGGACGGCGAAATGCAGTTCTGTCGACCACGGACCTTGACTCATCGATGCACTCACAGCGAGAGCCATCCTCTGGCCATCCAGTCGACCCTATCTTTGTGCTGTGTCCTTCGTTCTCATCGCGGGTGTGCGTTCTTGTGCTGGCCAGAAGCAGCTCTGTCTGCGGCAATTCGCTGGTGATCTGTGTGTCCAGTCGTCTCAGAAGCTAGGTCTTGGTGGGCACAGGTCCTCACGGAAACGGCCAGTTTGGCGACAATTGAGCAGGCCGTGATTCAGCTACGGTCCGTTTGCACAACGAAACAAAGGAGGGGGTGCTCGATTGCGGTTGTCTCCGATGCTCTCCCGGCACGTTTACAATGGGTTGTGCCAGTTGCTTGACCGAGGTACCTGGAGTGCCAAAGTGTGTCCTTTCAGAGGGTGCAGAATGACAAGTCTGATATATTCCGATCAGACTCCAAAAAGGATGCCCAGTCTCTCGAGACAAAATCGGGATGCGCTCCAACTTCCGATGTATATCAATACAAGAGAAGCACTTGAGCTACTGACAAATGTCGCCAAATTACTCCAGGCCTCAATCAACAATCCATTGATTCTTGAAGCCCTTTTCCGAGAGAAGTCCGACGGTAAAGTCCCAGAGTTTGGTTGCGAGTTCACCGTCAGTGGCATAGTTCGATGGTGTCGCTAAAATGGCTGTTGGAATAAAATACTGTCCCCGATAGTTTTCTTTTTCGATTTCGGGCGATGTCGCAACGTAAACCTGGGGGGGGGTGAATGGAACAATAACATACCAGAGTGAATATATGGGTGCAAGTTGATGTCGAAGATGTACCATTGACTTTGTACGAACCTGAGTGAGAGCGCCGAACTCCGGCTTAACAGCCAACAAAGTCTTGAAGGCGCTCACAATAATGGGGGGCATATATTGGGCTCCGTGCGCCAAGTTGGTGTCGACAGCACCAGGATGGACGGCATTGACATAGCTACGATAGTAAATCAAGCTCCTCATTAGTTCCTGACACCGTTTTGTCGAGACTGAAGCCATACCGAGGCTCAATATCCTAGCATTGCTCCAACTAATTGCGCACCAAGGCAGGCGATAGCGGAGTTTACGCACATGTTATGAATGCCAGCAGCTTCAAGACGCTTCTGAAGCTCCTTGGTGAAGAGAATGTTGGCAAGTTTAGACTGGCCGTAGTTTTGCCAAGGGCTGTAGAGTTGAGGGTTGTTGTAATCGTCAAAGTCGATGCCGTTCTTGCGCGTTAGCTGATGAGCAAGGGACGAAAGATTGACGATACGAGCTGGCCTGTCCTTCGGAAAGGCTGGAAGCAGATTGAGAGTCAAGAGGAAATGGCCAAAATGGTTGGAGGCAAGTTGCATTTCGATCCCATCCACTGATAGCTGAAATTCAGTCTTGGCCATAATTCCTTTAAGCATAGAAGGCGAAAAGTTATGGATATGTGAGTAACAGTGAAGAAAGCTCGTGTGTCCACATGACAACCCCCTCCCAACTCTGTTAAAATATGCCCGGTAGGGATCCGGTCGACGAGCTGCCAGAAATAGTCGCAGGGACAGAGAAATATCAGGCCTACCAGCATTATTGATGAGGATATCGAGCTCAAGATGCCGCCCCAGAAATTCGGATGAAAACTTTTGGACAGAAGCCAGGGAGGCAAGGTCGAGCTCGGCGAACTCGACGTTCTGGTTGCTTGTTACAGCCTTGATTTCGTCCACCACTGGGAGGGCACGCTCCTTTGACCGACAAGCGAGGATCCTGAGAGAGTCGCCGCATTAGAGTTCCAAGCATTCCAGTCAAGCCACGGATAAAGACAGAGAGCGCCGGCGAGAGCCCAGTTGGCAAATGCGCGATGAGGACACTAACACATGAGCTCCTTTGCGTGCAATCTCCAAGGCGGAAACGCGTCCGAGACCAGAGTTGGCTCCGGTGATGATGACGGTTTTGCCATTGAGTGGCGGGATCTCGTCAAATGAAAACTTGGGCTTTCCGAAAAATACCATGGTGAGCAAGAAATAGGGAAGACGAAGGCTGAGCTCGAGGAACGGAAATATAAGGGCGGGAAGGCCAGCATCGCATTTCAAATCGCCTGGGTTTTGCCGGATTTCCACAAGCCACGCCCCTTGAAAATGACGATCCGGAAGCGCGGTGAAATGCCCCACAGCATCCCAACGCTTGAGAAAACCGACGATCCTTGGAAATGAGAGCACTTTATTCGCCAGGGCAATGGGAGGACAATGAGGTTGAGGTTGGATTACAATTTGGGCGTGGATGAGGCACCAGCCATCGGCGGTGGACTTTGGTCAAGGAGCCGCCTCTCCGACTCAAGTCGGTGTCGATAAGTGTCAGAAAAATATCCGCGAATAGCATGGGGAATGCTCGATCCGAGACCATAAGCGAAAAGACCACCTAAAAAGAGGAGCACTGCCAACTTGGATACGGAGACACTGGTATCTCGAAGAGACTGCAGAGGCCTCGAAATCGCAGTGGATATTCCGAGATTGCGGGGAAACCAGGAACGCAAGCCCACTGCTTTTGCCGATACAGTCGACATTTCTTTGGCTTCCGAGGAGGAGGATGTAGGATGAAAAGAAAAAGGGAACCAAGCAATGAGAAGCCAGCTCGACACAGAAAAAAAAATTCGGTCGGGGAGCAGATATTGGCGAGGCTGGGCGTCAGAGTTGCATCGAGCAGCGGTCGGGGTAAAGTATCACGAGCAGCGACCGCATTGAACCAGACGTACCTGGGTGCTTCGCCATAGGCCTGTGGTGATCTACGGTCTCTTGTTGCTTCAGGGCCGAAGCCGCTTCAAGTGAGCTGTTTGGCGATGCTTGGGGTGGGTCCCTTCGCCAACGGGGCACGGGCAAGTCGCCCAGCGACTTTCGCTGGCCGATGCCAGGATACCACTGACGAACCGGCTTGAATCGAGGGAGTTTTGAGCGGACTCGGGCCCGCTCTGGTCGCAAGTGATTTCCGAAAATATCCGGGAGCCTCGATAGGGACGCCAGGGAAGCCGGAGCTGCCGAGGCGAGAGCGCCGCGGATCGGTCCACCAGCAGGAAAAGCAGTCTTCCAGTTTTTGAACCGAGCCAAGATTCGGTTTTTAAGGTCCATCTTGAGGTGAAAAATCGACGCAGCAGCCGAATTTCAGAGTTGTAAGGATGCAGGGATGTAAGGACGCAATGACAGAGCCAAGGTTTGTCGAGAAGATGAGGTTGGGCAAAGAGAGGCAGACGTGGCCGAGCCATGGCCAATAGTGGCCGTTGATGGCGCGGCTTGGTATTCATGGGGCAGGCTCGCTACCGAGGACCTTACCCCTTCCCAATAGAAATAGAAAAATATATAAGAGTGTCGAAAAAAAAAAAGAATTGGTGTGAACATAATTTTATTTTCGAGTGAACCGATTGAAAGTTTCTTCAATCAATATCGATACCGGACATAGCAGTGCCATTACCGTGAGTACTTCATATGCTGCTTTCAACCGACAACTGAGCAACCGACCACAACAGAAGACGCACTGTTATACACATGCCGTGGGTTTCACCAAAGACGATCGGTGCGTCTTGAGTAATAAGTGATATGCAGATCCCATAAAAGTCAGCAGCATAATGGGGTGGCATAATACGAAAGGTGAGGTGACGTAATACGAAAGGTGAGATAGCATTCACTAACTCAACTCCATCATCACGCCGTCGTCAAGTGAATTGCATTGACAGTAGCGAGAATATGGTCAATACTTGCAACTTTATTCGGTTTATAGAGCCACGGTGCTTTGATAGTTCATTTGTTGGCACGCTGAAGGGCTGCTCGCCACCAGATAGTCAACCAAAAATATCGTGGTGCTCATACAACCACAACTCCGGACAAACTTGAATTTCAATCGAGAAGTATCTAAAGCGAAGCAAGCTATGGACAATCTACGGTCTTGTGGATTTATGTATTGCTAGCCACTGTTCCTGGAAGATCTAGATTCTAGAGAAGCCCATCTGATATGACTATTTGGTGTCTCATATCTGATCATATTGACATGTAATTCACTATCGCATCAATTGGCTTGTGTCTTCAAGTAAAGAAGAGCAAATTTGGTGCAAGAGCCGGCTGGCCGCGTATGTAAGGCTCCCATGAATCTCTACCATTTCTTCAAACGATTTCCGAATCCTTCGAGCTATCGCCAAAAAAATAGGCCCAGGATCCCGCAATTGAAAGCCCAAAGGAGAGGGAACTCACGTCTGAAGACAGTCCGCCTATCCTGACTATCCTGGATGACAATGATAAACGGGTAACCGGGTGAAGGTAAGAGATGCATATGGCGAAGCGATAGCCTCTGACCTAAATAGTTTAGAACACAGTCGACCAAGATAATAAAACAGAAGATCATAGATATGGAGAGGCACCATGGAAATGGAAATGAAAAGGAATGTCAAGTCTGAGCGGCAGGGCTGAATAAATGAGGTTCAAAGAAAAAGAAAACGCTCCTAGGTGGGCTCGAACCACCAACCTTCCGGTTAACAGCCGAACGCGCTAGCCAATTGCGCCATAGGAGCCAATCGCCCAACGTGGGGGTCGAACCCACAACCTTGAGATTAAGAGTCTCACGCTCTACCGATTGAGCTAGCCGGGCAGTGAAAGTGGAGAATCGGGGTATCGATCCCCGTGCCTCTCGCATGCTAAGCGAGCGCTCTACCATCTGAGCTAATTCCCCCAGGTTTGCCCCGATCTCGTTATCGAGTGTTCCGCGGACGCACGTTTTGAATTACTACCCTCTCATTGCCTCCCAACCTAACCAACCCGGTACCAACCATGCCCCCCGACGACTCGCCTGCCCCCGAAATGGCCGTAGACGTCCATGACAGTGTCCCTGGACCCTCCAGAGCACCCCCCGAGGCCCAAGCTCAGGCCGAAACAATCGATCTCACGGATCAGCCCACGCCCAAGAAACGCAGAGGCGATGGCCAAGAAGTCTCCCAGCCCATAGTCCCCAGTGGCCAGAAGCCGATCGAAACAACGATCGAGGAGCTCTATGGAGACTCCGAAATGTACCCCAACCCTCCCGATGTCGAGGCCGAGAAGAACTGGGCCATCGAAATTGCAGCCAAGGAAGAAAGGGGCGAAGCCTGTGAGGCCGACTACATGTCACTCACCTTTGACGAGATCACTTATCGTCGATTCCGCTTGGTCTTTGCACTCCGAGGCCACAGGGTCCGCTGCTCACGCTGTGCAGACAGGAAGCAGGCCTCATGGCACCTCGACCAAGACGACCACGACATCGTGTGCAAGAACAACATGATGAGCCCTGACAACCCGGCCAAGATTAAGGAGTGCGGCCAGCGCTTCCCCGTCCTCGCCTTTTGGGGACTAATGACCCGCACTGCGGACAACATTCAAGCCTTCAACCAACGGGTGTTCCTCGGCGACGCCAACACGGTCGGGGCCCGAGTCTGTGATGGCCGTAGCCACAAGACGCGGCGCCAGTGTGATGACCAGCATCACAACGGACCAATGAGATTGTCCCGCATGCTCTCGCCCTCCGCACCAATCATGAGTCCCCACGTGTTTGTTTGCCCCCATGCATGAGCACGCGCCGTTGCCACCCGCGTCTACTGGTTTCCTGCCTCCCCCACCGCTCGGCACATGTCCCCGGGCTGTGCCAAGCCTCTCTCGCTTGCACACCAGCCACTCTCGCACCCCCTTCTCGCTTCTCTGTGATGCTCCACCCTTCTCGCCCACTTTTGCCCCTCGACCTTCTCCCGGTCTATAAATAGCCCTGCATGTCTGAGCCTATGTTGAACACCAGTTCGAACAAAACTTGTTCTTTGGTGTTCGGGGCTAAAAGCTAATAAAGCTCATACCAAGCACTTGGTCTTCGTCCTTGCGCTTGTTCACTCCTCACACTTTGTTCGAACTCTCTTCTACTGATACCACCTGCTTGGTATCTTCCGTTCCTAGCCCCGCCCCTTTCCTAGTCCTGTCCGAACCTCAAGCACACTTGTGCCTGAGCCCTCTTCGCTCTCCTGTTCTTGAACCTCCTCGCTTTTTTTTCCCAGTCCCAGTCCCAGTCCCGCCATGGATCCTGCCCTCGTGGACCGCCTCCGTGCCTTGGAGGCCGAGCTCGCCGAGCTCCGGACAGCTCGCGATGCTCCTGCCGCTGGGTACAGCGTGCAGATGCCGGACCGTTACGACGGTAACCGGCAAGGGTTCCGGGCATTCGTAAATCAGTGCAAACTGTATATACGAATGCAGCCCCACCGGTTCCCTGCTGACCCGATTAAGGTCGGATTCGTCATTAGTCTGCTCACTGGACCGGCTCTCCAGTGGGCGACTCCGATGCTTGAGATGGGTGATCCCCGACTCAACTCTTTTGGCGATTTCCTAGAACGCTTTTCTAAAGTGTTTGACGACCCTGATCGGGCCAGGACTGCCGAGTCAGTGATCACCACACTGTCTCAGGGCAACCGCCCGTGCGCAGTCTATGCATCCGAGTTCCTTCGTATTGCCGCCGATACGACTTGGAACGACGGTGCAAAGATCTCGTTCTTCCGACTTGGCTTGTCGGATGATGTCAGAGACGAACTTTCGCGAGTTCGCCCTCTGCCACGAGATCTGGAGGAGTACATTGAGCTTTGTAACGAGCTCGATGCACGAATCCGCGAGCGCCGTCAAGAGCGCCGAAGCACGCCTGCCCGCTACCTGTTATGAACGCGTACCATGATTGGCGTTGTGGCGCAGCGCATTGTCATGGCACTCATGAGCATCCGGGACTGGCGACGGTCTAGAACCTTCCTGCACCATGCATTAGATTAGTTCATTCATTTACTTTATTTGATCACAGAGTGGCTTATCCTGTGGCTGAGCTCGATGACATGATAGATTAGATGGTCGAGGTATAAATAGAGGAGCTCAGGGGCCAGAAGGAAATCACACCCAGTGAATTATCTTATCACCTTTCTGAATATAAGATCATCACTCTCTCGTACCTTGCCCTTGCTCCCTGCCCTGCTCCTCGTTC